CTCTCCACTTGAGCTTGCGCCATTTCGATTGCCTCTCCGCTGACTTTATCTCCCCACTGCTGTTGTTTAGTGATGCTTCTTTGTGACACTGACAAGGTATTGTCATTGCTGAAGAGTGTTTCCATTGACCCCGCCATGTTAACTTGCACTGTTTTGCTTGCCTCTTTGCTGGCTCTCTGCTGTTGTTTCATGAAGCTGCTTTCTGGCAAAGTACTACAGTATCAACAGATACCAAATTTGCAAAATCATGAGGTGAATGTTAGCGATGCCCTAGCGATGCCTAAGCGGTACCCACGCGATACCCCTTTTTCTTTTCCAGACACCCAGGTGCACGTCAGCCTGTGACACATTCAGGTTTTCTGGTGGCAAATTAGATCGAGATAGATAGGTAGCAAGCTTGCCAGCTAGCCAGCCAGCTAGATAGATAGACAGATAGATAGATAGAAGCGAGCTAGCTAGCTAGACAGACAGACAGACAGAGACAGACAGATAGATATAGATAGACTGGCATTCTATCTGACATTCTTTCTGGCAAAGGTTCGGAGCTGGAGAGCTCGCTATGAAGTGGCTGTGTAGAGGTGGCTGGCCAGCTGGCTGTCCATGCTGTTGGTGGGGAAAAAGAGATTTGCAAAGCACCTCTTCCAGTAGCACCTCCTTAGATAGCTCAGAGTCCTGCAGCGACGATGCCTGATCAAAAAGGAAGCACAACCTCCGCTCTGGAGTCAAGTAGATCATTGATTTTCCTACAAGCGATACCCCCAAGTTTGCCATATATCATTTTTGTGCAACAAAGCGATGGGACTTTTCCAAATTTGTGGATGTCCATTCCGTGCGCCTAGGATTTAAAGATTGCTCATGTATGTATATATATATATATACAAATGACATTATATATATTGGATTTCAAGTTTTGCTGTAGAGATTTTTAACGAACAAACGAAGAGCGCTGATGATAAAACATGATTTTGCGATAAACGCTTTCGTCGAAAGGCAAACCAAGTCCTCCTGCGGCTCTAGATCAGGTACTATGTTGCCAAGGCATGCTGGCTTGCAAGTGGTTTAATGATTGTAGTGACATCAGTTCCCTGGCCAGGGCGCCAGGTTGGCTAAGTGCCCCTTTGAGCTCGGTTCCGTCGCTGAAAGCACTTCCGAGACATTCTGGGTTTCGTGTTTTTACTTTTGGTTTGACAGCAGGCAGACAAAGTCGCTTCCAAGTTCCAGTGCTGTGTGAAGCAACGCAACTTGTGCCCCCTCAGGGGTATAATGGTGAGAACACATGCAAGCAGTGGCAGCTTGTTCGGGAACTGAACACATTGTTCAGTTCCTGGCCTCTCACAGCTGGAGAGCTCGGGTTGCTAGTGTCGATGATGGCCGCACATTTGATAATGCTTCGACAGGCCACAGATATACACAGTAAGGTAGAAGTGATCGTCCCTCACATTCTCGGTTGAACTGCATTTGATTGAAAATGTGCGTATGCATGTATGTTTGCTCTTTGAGTAAATCGAAAGGCATGTTGATTCAGGCCGCAATTGGTAATTAATACGTTTTGATTTATATCATGGGATACTGGCGAAGGGATATGAAGGTTGCTATTCATGTAATTTTTTCAAGTATTTTGCATATTTGATCATACTTTGTGTCCATGTGTGTGTGTGTGCGCCGGCGTTTGCCTTCTTTAAAAAAAACACATATTATGTGAAAAAGTTAGGAACAGATTGAGAAGTGGTCCGAAGACTTTGCGTTTCACCGGGTAAGACCTGCTCGAAATGCAGTGCAAGGCAAGTTTCATGTTCTTGAAGCAACGTCACGGCCAGAGGCCCATTGGCTTTACTTAAGTTCAACACCATTCGTGGTGGCTGGACAGCGTGAAACTAGCCGACAGCTTATAGATAAATTCCCCGCCCTGAAAGGGCAAGGTTGGGGTGCAGCAGGGAGTTTCAATCAAGACCACATGGTCACAGGTGGATTATGCATGCTGAGGCATGCTGGTGAAGATTTGCACGGAGCCAAAAATGGGGTCGCAGGTTAAAGTGTGTACAGTAGTTCATTTTTGTTGGATCCAGAAGTATCAATTTACTTTGTATTCTATGTCAGCAGGGCTCTTTGCGAAAGTCGCGTAAGCGTTCAGGCCAAAGATTGGCCACTCACCTAGCATACTCCCTTGAGTCAAGAGCAAATACCCACGTTATTCTACATAGCGTTTTCTTTGCGTTCCCAATCGATTTGCATGGGCTAGATTTGATTCAAATCTTTTTGTTCAAATTTGAAGGCCCTGGAGATTCTTGAACATTGGGGATATTCTCAAAACCATCCGTGCAAACCTCAAAAGCATAACACGTTTGGTCAAACCATCCTCATTGACTACAGAACGTCACCACCAGATGCTGCCAATGCACCAGCTTGATCAACTTCATTGCAGCGACCACCCAGGAAGAAAATTGATGAAGGCCACCAAGGCCACACTTCATGTTTAAGACAACGGATCACCATGTCTCTTGTTCAACAGCTCCGAGCCACCTGAGACAACATTTGCAGCTATGCACTGACGCCATGACACTGCAACTCAGCAAAGCCGAGAAAAAAGGAGTTGCTTTCTTAGAGCATGAAGGCACTGTATCCCTTTTCTCATGTGAAGCGAGACTAACTTCACAGGACGTGTGCTTCTTGACTTCTCAGCCCTAGTCCGTGCTTACAGGGCAACCTGCCAGGCACAGACTACACAGCGCATGGATCAGTTCTTCCAGTGATGGGTGGTTTCACTTGCATCAAGATGCAATCGACACAGCAGGGATATGCAGCGATCAATGTCGCTTGCAAGTCTTTCAAGTATTTGCAAACCCTGGTCTCCATTCCTTGTGCTGTTTTGTTCTAATCCCGCAGCACAGGCAAAGGATCTCTAAAAAAAAATCGTTTCAGTATCAGGTTCCTGTCAGGATTCATGTTGTGTTTTTACTTATCCCTCAGATTTGCGCTCATTGCTCTCAGGGAGCCACTTGAGAAACGACTCCCACCCCTTTCATGATGTTCCCGTCAAGATGTTCATATTTCACACATTGCTTGTGAACAGGCACAACTTTGTGCAACAAGTGCAAGGTAATTGCGGCTGAGTTTTGGTGGCTCCTTTTGGCAATTTCCAGCCTAGTGATCCAGTGCCACCGTGATCCAAAGGACACGATTTCAGGAGCACGGGGTGTACAGAAGATGCATGGCCGAGATACCCGATAGGGTCATCAAGCCAGCTGAAGTAGCGCTTGATCAATCATGCAGCTGAAATGGTAGCCCAGGGGATTGCAAGGCGATTGAGGGGGGGCTTGACAGTTGGCATCCTGAAAGTTGCAACATCAGTAAATTTGTTTTTTTCGTTCAAACGGGTTGATTCCAAAATCGGACTGTCCACTAGTCACTAGTCACTAGGCTGGCTAGAGGCCTTTGGGCTAGATGTTTCTACATCTACATCATGTACGGATTCTTGCAGATACCTTTGCGGCTCAAACAGCACCTAGGAATAACCTGGCCATAGAATTCCTTTTTCCACTAGTTGGCTGGTGAAAATCCGGGGCAACCTTCCATAAAACATAAAACAACAAATAGCTAAATGATCAAAGGAAGACAAGGGAAGTTTAGTTCGAAAACTTCCGAGTCACGGACCAATGTGCAGGGGCGGTCTTGTCATCATGTTCATGTCTCATCATTGCAACCACACCATCATATCAACCACTTCGGGGCGTGTAACAGATCGGAAGCGTGCGAATTCACAGGTGAAAACATTTTTCGCCGCGAAAAATGCGTTTTTTTCCAGTACAGTGGCTCCCGGGGTCGCCGAATAGGGTCTCTGTTTCCGCGGTTGCGGGCTTCCATCTGCGAAAGTTGTTGAAACAAGTGGACAGGATTGTGGCGAGAGCTCGATTTCCATTTCAAAATGTTAAAAACAACTGACGGGCGCGGAGCACTATTGGAAGATGAGGCCGGCAAAATCTGTACAGGACTGTAGCGAGAGTTCGATTTTAGCGCGGAATCGTCCCCATTGTCAGCGTAAGGTAGGTCTTGACCATAGCGTCTTGTGCTTTGCGGGATTGCAACCGGAGGCTGCCAAACGCATTGTAACAGCTGCACAAAGAGAGGAGCTGGGTATGAATTGGGTTGCAGAAGCTACAAAAGAATACAAAAGAGCTATATGGGAGGCAGCTCAGAGCGCAAGTAGCCCAGATAAGTGGCTGCCCAGGGAAGAAGTAGCTGAGAGAAGAGGTGCCTCAGCGAGGAGAGGCAGCTCAGTGAAGAAGTAATAGCTCAACAAAGAAAAGTAGCTCGCCCATCCATCCATTCATTTATCTTTCCTTCCATTCGGTGGTTTATTGATGGATTCACTGACATTGGTTCATTGATTCACTGATTCAGTGAATCATTGATTCATCGGTTCATTGGTTCACTGGCTGCTTGCATTGAGTCATTGCTGCGTTGCTTCATTGATTCATTGGTTCATTGACAGACTGATTCATTGACTCATTGGCTGATCGATTGATTGGTTCATTGGTTCATTTACTCAGTTGCGCACGGATTCTTCATGTCATTTCGTTGGGATCTCAACAACCATTTGCTCATTCATTGGTGCACCTCACAACTTTGAAACTTCATTGCCTCTACATCGCAAAAAAAAAAAATCCTGTAGAATCTATGGGCCGTTGATTTCCTATAGCCATGTTCCTTGTTCGAACGGCGCGTGCCGTGCCGGGCATTACTGGCATTAAATCATTAGAAGTGATGTCCCACACAGACCTTCCAATTTCCAATTTCCAATCACGCAGAAATCAATCAAAGTACCAGATGTGTATTGTTGTGTGATACTGTCGGGACTTCCCTGGAACACTTGCATGTGGCACTCGGGTTGCTTACGACAGTTTTTTGATTTTCTGACACCAGGTTTGCTACAGTGGGCATGTGAATCAGCACACCGACACCAAGACTTACTTGACTAGTCACTGGTAGTTCAACTGACTTCACATCCTTTGCAATTCAGAGATGGCACCTTGGATTTCAGGCACGGTGGATGGGATGGGTGGACAGGTGCCAAGTTTGGAGATAGCTCTTGACTCGTTTTTCCTTCCCTTGGACACTTGTTGAGCAAGTACTTGGCAAATCTGTAGTATGCAGTTTTGGGTGGCTTGGTGGCTATGCTTCGACATGCATCAATATGCTACATAATATTATCAGAGGGTTGAACTATTGTTTCTCCTTTGCCGGAGGCCTGTTTGCAAGGTAGGTGGGTATGGTTGGCGAGAATGCAGTGTCTTCAGGCATTTGGGAACTAAATGTCACATCCCCACACAACGACCGCTCTGTATTTTTACGGGCGTACTGCTTGATCGTTGCGATGATGGGCCGGCTGTTGGGGCAACCCCTCTGAGAAGCCCCCGACACCAAAAATTGTTTGATGGATTGGTGCAACTGGTGCGAAATAGGAATGACGGAAATGACCAACACCTGATGAGCAAAGCAGAAACTAGTTGTTTCGCGCCGCCACGGATTTTTTTGAGCCCGCTGAATTTAGCTTCGCAAGGCGCAGTGATGGGCCTTGCGCCGCCACACTTGGTGGGTGGTTGGGCTGCATGCCATCGATGTTTTTTTTTGTTTATTTTTTGCTTGCTACTATATTGTTTTGCAGAAAGTTCCAATCCAAGGAATGACTTTGGCCCAGAGCCATTTGCTGGTTCCCGTGTCAAAGGACTGCCGCTGACTGCAACAAGAGGAAACTCTATGAGGATTTATGAGGACTTTGTGGCAAGAAAAGCATGTGGCAGGATGCTATTGCCCCTGCTATGCCTGTAGTTTTTTGGAGAGGAGTTTGCTCAGATGGCTGTGCCAAGGTCAATATAGATGATGATCAATGCAGTGCAGCACCACAAGACCTGCTGTCAACTACTAGTCTAGATGACTATCATTTCCTTCCGCATGCACGTACTGCAGGTAAGGAGCATGGTCAAATGGACAAACGGGTATAATTTGGCAAATTCGATCCAGATAGCTCGGATCAGCTACATTAATTCTATACTGTGTATGTGTTTACCTCTGATTAGCTATGGTTCGCAGAGTGCTGTGCGGGTAAGGGTCTCGCTTCGGGCACGGACTCGTGCATCGCTTCGGGGGCGAACTCATATGCATCGCCTCGGGCGCGTTCCGTACGTATATCACGGTGCAATATATAAACCCTAAAGGTGTCGTGGCCCTTCTTCAAAGTGCAGGGTGGTTGAGGTGTGTGCCCAAAGTGATGCGTCAACTGGTGCCCAAAGTGATGCCAGTACCGGCTTTGCGTGGCTCTCCAGTGTGAACTCCCAGGAGCTGTCCATTGACCTGCTAGAGGCCGCTCTGCCAGAGCAAGAGACCAGGCTAAAGAGCGGATGGACAGTGCAGAAAAAAAACAGATGCTGATGGACACTCTTCAATTTAGAATTTGTAGATACTGCCGTTCTTTGTTTTGAGACCGGAGACCTGTTTGGATTTTTCATGGAGGTAGTTTCTCAGAAAGGATGAACCAAAGAAGAATTTCTTCACACAGAGTTGTAACACAGGTTCTCAGCCAATCATCTAATTCTTTACAGTATGCAATAGCAGCAAATGCACATTCCCATTCCAGATTCACCATGTGTTTACCATTTCTACACTAATTTGCCATTAAAACATATTATTAAAACCAGTTTCTAGGCCTTGAATACTCTTGAATCATTTGAGAGCATGCAGCATCATCATGAATCATCCAGTCATGCTGAAGAAAAAGCAGCCTCTGAGGAGCGCTTTGTTGAGGGCGCATTGGAGTCGACGGGTGCAGCTGAAGGCCTCATGGCAGCTACCAAGAATGGGCTTAGGGTTTTGAAGGTCCTGAAGAAATCGGCTTTTGTGGCATTGCTATGCATTGCTATGCATTGCCATGCGTTCCCCCCTTTATCCACCAGCTTACTTGTCACCTGAGCTCGCATAGTTCCTTCCTACCGCCAGAGATGACGAATTATGTGGAAAACCAGCAATGCTATGCAAGGTGGCAAGAACAGCAGCCATCGTAGTGGATCATATGACTTGGCTGGCCTTTAGGAGATCCTTATGGCGTGGTGCTGTGGCCAGCTGCTCAAGTGGTAGCTGCGGCTTTGCTGGCTTTGCTGCTGCGGGACCACGGGTGTTTCATGGACTTATGGACTTTCATGGTGTCGGTTTGATGCTTCAACTTCATCGACTTAGTCAATATTCCATCATATCCATCATGATCAGTTCCCAAGTGTACAGAAGCCATGCCTTTGTTGTAGGAACATCATAATTCAACCTCCAAGCCCCAAGCTCATGCAAGAAATGCAGATGGAATCAGCACCGATGTCCAGTGTGTGATTCAGGACGGCTCGCGGCGGCGCATTGTGGAACTGGGATGTGGTACTGGGCTTTGCTCTTTAGCAGCTTCAACAGTGCCAAAGACAGTGGTTTTGGCCACAGATTACCGACAAGAGCCACTAGAGCTACTTCAGCAGGTGAGGCTGCCGATCCTGAGTTGTATAGTGTGAGGGTATGCGAGGGTTAGGTTTCGATTTTCCGCATGTCAAAACTAATTGCGCACAATGATTCATGGTGAACTGAGTGTCAGAGGTGAGTGTTTGGCAGATACGGCAGGTTCAGCTGAAGGATCGTTTCTCTTCACAGGTTTGAATGTCCGAATTTATGAAAGCTATATATTCCCACCACTTGCACCTGTTTGCAGCTGCGACAGGCTGCTGTTTTGAACAGAGAGCGTTTGCAAAGAACAGGCGCGATAGAAACCTCAACTATCTCAACGAAATGCCTGGACTTCACTCAGCAAGCAGTGCCAGAAGCAGCCGCTAGGCCAATTACTTGAACGTGCACAGCTGCGAATAAATGCTGGCCAAATAAGGGGGGGAGGATGTCAGTGTCTTGTTTCAGTGCGTTTGTTTGGCATTTGCACTGAAAACTGGCCGAAACAGTTTTTCCAGTGAGTCTCTCAGGATGTCATTGTCGCCGCTGACTTGCTGTACCTTCGGTCAGCATCAGAAGCATTGGCCCGAGGTGACAATTGCCACCTACAGAAGAACCAGTCAAGTTGGTTTCACTGACCATTTGTCGGCCATAGCGAGCCATGGAATTTAAAGTACGTTCGAGTCCGCATTAGAGCCATACGAGTTGCAAGGACTTGTGGCGCAGGTCCCACAACACCAATACATGCTGCCAGTAGCTGTCAGTTTGGCGTGGCCTAATTAGTCCAAAAAGAACGCAGGATGCATTGCAGCACTCAGAACTGGTTCTCATATCTTGGTGGGTGAGCCTCTTCTGCAATCTCCGGTGTTCCTTTCCTTTTGAGATTGACAGTGCCAAGAGTCTTTGAGATGTTTGATTCAATAGATTAAAAATCCTACGGGATAATAATTTGAACATATTTGAACCATTTTGCCTGAGGATTCTGATCGTCCAGGTCGTCAAGCTTTCCTATCCGTTCTACGCTCTGCCCTTCGCGAGGATCGCGGAAACTTTGAGAGACTGCAAGGATGGAGTTTGGCGTCACCGAGGCGCACGACGGGATTTGGAGCTTGGGCCTGAAAGATGTGGCGCACGACGTTGCTGTCGCAGCCACAGATGAGCCATCATGAGCCAGAGCGCCATAGAGTGCCAGGCATGAACTGATTGCATCCACATCCACTAGCACGACAAAGCCTCGCGACCTGGCAAGGCAATTTGATGCAATTTGGGCAAAACCCAAAATTTAAAACACACAGGGTTTTGGACAAGTGATATAGGATGATATAGGATGATATAACGGAATACAAATAAATATAATATATACTTATAATTTAATATATGGAATATAGAATAGTTAAATGGAATGTAATGGAAGCAGTGTGAACCCCCTTCAACCGAACGGCTGGTTCAACTTGCTTGAGTTTCTCGATGTGTGCTTCTGAAACAGGAGTTTCTTTTGATTCATGTTGCTTGGGGTCGGTGCGTACAATTGTGCTGAATTGGCATGATTTGGCATGATTCAAATGGGTTTGATGCGATTTGAATCGTTGACACGGGTTTTGTTCAATACGTTCCTGTTAGTTCCTTGAGCAAAAGAATTGGCTCGCAATCCACCAGAAGATGATTGAACACATTCAGAGGCTACGGGAAAAAATTATCTAAGTTGTGCGAGAACGTTCCACGTATTCTTTTCAAAGCGGCCATGGTTTACCTGTGGATTCCGGTTTTCCATGCTTTCAGCGCTCAGGTGCTCTACCAGTTGGATTGATGTACCTGCAGCCAGATGATTTGGCATAAAAGATGCGGCCAAATGCTGACAGCCACTGCGCAATGCCCGAGTAGGTTTGGATCTTCAATGAGCACAGCTTGCTTGCTTTTGTCCACAATCCACTTCCGAAAAGATGAGCTGAAGAACGGATATCAGGAAATTGAGATCGTGCCCCCATGTTTGTGTACTTCATGTCCTTTCTTTTCTAACAGCCAGTGTAGTTGCAGAACTGCACTACTGCTGGGCTCTTGCTGGTCGGATGTTGCATCCATCGGGTTTCGGCTTCAAGCTGAGGCTGGGCCAAAAATACTTGGCAAATGCGGTCCCTCCAAACCCTCTGGACCTGTAGCTGTAGCTCCTTGGATTTGTCTTGCTTGTTCTTTGTCTTTATCAAATTTATCGATTTGACATAATTTGATTCAAAGTGAGCAAATTCTCTATCTCTCAAATTGAAACACTACAATACCTATATCCTTGGGCCAAGAACCAGCAATGCCTGCCATGGGGCGCCGCAAGCGAATCCGTGCAGCAATGTTGCTGGGATTTGCGGTTGCATCTAGTATTTGGCGGCTTGGAACTCAGCTACCAATTGTTTGTGGTCAATCCTTGCTACCACTTGTTTCCGCGGGTTTGATTGACAGCAGGTCAGCCGGCCAGCCGCTGAACCATATTGCAATGCGCTGTGCACCAGGTCATCATCAGCATGGTGCGCAGCAAAGCTTGGGCGACGTTTCTCGGTCAAGAAGTTGAAGTCAATAGGGTTGAGGACCACATACTTATTAAAATTATATATATATATATGCACTGTATATTTCTTTATATATTTGCATGGCCTGTCATTTCATCATTTCACGAAGTTCATTCCTTCAGCAGCTTTTTAACAAGCGACTGGAAATGAAGAGAGCTGTAAAGAATTTGTCATGTGTTTTCATAAGTTCACACTGGCCGCAAACAAGAAAGCTGTGCCATGCCCTTATTGCTTGATTTGTTTCACGTTTACCCAGTTTACTCCTTCCACTTCGGCCTGCTGTCTATGCCGCCAAGGGGCAACCTTAGCCATGCCGTTATTGCCAATTTTGCAGCAGCCGTCTTTGGCAGAGGTCGTCTCTGGGTATATGGCAGGATTGAAGCACCGGTATGATATTCAAAGGACATAGATTTAGATTTTTTTAGAATCTTAAAACCCTGTTGTCTTCGACTAAGTCGCACATCTCCCCAGAGCATGATCGAGCACGATCGGATTGAATGCATTCGGGAGAAAGTTTAAACTGGAGATTAAACCAAGGAACCATTGAAAGTGCTGGAGGGTTCATAAACCCCGGGCACTGACATAATTTTGGACATGTTGGATTGTTTGTAGTGCATGATTGCGGATACAGTAAAGCTATCATCGATGGACATTGCTGTTTCGCTACTGAAGATGCTCCTGTCACTCAACTTTCAATGGAGGGTGGCGCGACTGGATGAGGCAGTCAGTCAATTTGTAGCACGAAAGGTCAGCGATATTCAATGGAACGAACCGAAGCGAAAGAAGACTTCCTTGGCGACCCTTGGCACAAAATCTAGCTGCATTCATGGTCCATATCAGCTGCTTTGCACAGCTGTGGCAATTTGGACAGATTTAGAGCCGCTTCCTGAGGAACCTCGCCGATGACTTCACGCGGGCCTTTCAACAGACGCAATGGGGAGTAAATGGCCGTGTGCAACCTCGCTTCTTTGACGACAAATTTGTTTTCCGTGTCATGGCCTTCACGACTGGGAGCACAGTTTGAATTGAATGTAGCCTGGGATCTCCGCATTTTGTTTATCCTTCACTGTCAACTCTTGCCCCAGATTGGGCTGCAACTATGGACTGGACAATCCCTGATCGGTACAAAGTAGAAAAGGAGAGCAAGAATTCCCAGGAAAATATGCAGTATTGTATCCTGAGTGCAGAAGCCTTTAAACAGGGGAAGGCTAGGCGACTGATCTTAATGATCCTCCTGTTCCCCTGGAAGAAAAGACATGTGTTTGCAAAAGACAGCAACAAAACTATTCAGCGAGGAAGGTCCTCAGCAAGGGAGCTGTTTAGACCGTCGGGATTGCTTTGTGAACCAGAGGAAGCCTCAGCGCGTGGTTGAGGGGTTTCATGGTGTTTTCATATGCTTTCATATATGTGTGTGTTTCTACTGTATGTGTTTCCATGTATCTCCATGTGTTTCTATGATCTTCGATGGTAAAGAGATGTCTGTGGAAATTGATGGCAATCATACGTGGTGAATCAGAGTGGTGTCAAAATCTGAGTCGAATTTGTTTTGGGAGAAAACTGTTTGGGTACAGTACCATTGTTTTGCTCTTGTTTGATCTCAACAAAATCATACAAAATCCCAGAGAGAGAGAGAGATAAAAGCCTGACACCTGGCACAAGGGGCACTTCAGTCCATGATAAGAACATTTGCACCATGCCTGGATATGTTAATTAAAGTCTTCATGGTCTTCAAAAGTCCTGACAGATCCTGACAGTGAGAGATGTGATCCCGCAGGTGACCCAGACGTTACTACCAATGGCCTCCAAGAGTATTCCAAAGGAACTGGAGCCGTGCTGTCAAACTGCAAGGCTGATGCCATTGACGCTTGACCCTGCAAGGAACAAACATGGAGATGTAGAGTGTAATCAATTGATTTCAATTGTGATTGTATATATATATATATATGCATATATATATAGTGTGTTGCTGTATGTTGCTGTCGTGTACCACTTTCCATCTTGACTTCCAACCAGTTACTGATGCCACTTTGCTTTTTTGTTGCTATTGTGCGGCTAAGATCTGAGGATGTCACCGTGAAGGAGCCGAAGCAGTTTGCAATCCGATGGCGCATTGCTGGCACAGCCAATGTGCCATTCCCAGGGCTTAAGATCAAACCCTACATTGTGCCTCGGTTCTCAGCGGTGTCTCAGACACAAGAAAAAAGGTAAAGTTATACGTATAGTAAGGTTGCTGTTTGCAATGTTTGCACACGAAGATAGAACTCACCGCAGCGGATACTATATATCTTAAACTGCTACAGTACAAAGTCAGCTTTATCAAAGCCAGTCTGTCGGATCTTATCAGGCTTTCATGGCAGTAAAGACAACATTTGACAAATCCCATGCTCCATGGATCTCCATAGTTTGTCCACAGTTGCTGTCAAGGTGACCAGCACCTTCACGGTGAACGACGATGGCTTGGTGGACTCAGAAACGGACACTAGACTGAGATGAACTTAGTTATTTTGTCAGTTGATGTTATTTTTTTATGCAACAACAACAACAACAACTACTACTACTACTACAACTACTACAACTACAACTACAACTACAACAACTACAACTGCAACTAAAAATACAACTACAACAACTACAACTGCAACTAAAAATACAACTACAAGAACTACAACTACAACTACAACAACTACAACAACTACTACTACTACTACTACTACAACAGCAACGTCAACAACAACAACAACTACTACTACTACTACTACTACTACAACTACAAGAACTACAACTACAACAACAACAGCAACGTCAACAGCAACGTCAACAACAACGTCAACAACAACATCAACAACAACAACAACAGCAACAACAACAACAACACAAGCAGCAGCAGCAGCAGCAACAGCAACAGCAACAGCAACAGCAACAGCAGCAACAACGACAACTACCACTACCACTACCACTACCACCACTACGTCACTACCACTACCACTACCACTACTACTACTGCTACTACTACTACTACCACTACCACTACTACCACTACTACCACTACTACCACTACTACCACTACTACCACTACTACCACTACTACCACTACTACCACTACTACTACAACTTCACTACCACTACTACCACTACTACTACTTAACAACTTTTAACAACTTCAACAACTTCAACTACAACAAGTACATCTACAACTACTACAACTACAGCTACAACTACTACAACTACTACAACTACTACAACTACAGCTACAACTACTAGAACTACAACAACTACAACTACAACAACGACTACAACAACAAGAGCTACAACAACTACAACTACTACTGCGGTTTCAACTACAACATTACAACTGCAACAACAACGGCAACTACAGCTACAACTACAACTACACTACAATACAACTACAACGACAGCTACAACTACAACTGCAACTCCACTGCGCTACGCTACATTCAACTTCACCACACTACACCACCGCTTCAGTAAACTACACTACACTACGCTAAACTACAACAACAACAGCAACAACAACAACAACTACTACTACTACCACCACCACCACCACTACTACAAGAGCTACAACAAGTACAACTACTACTGCAGCTTCAACTGCAATATTACAACTACAACTACGCTACAGTACAACTACAGCTACAACTACAACTACAATCACATTGCACTACACTACACCACACTACATCCAGCAGTTGTGGTTGAGGTGACCACTGCAACCTTTCAAAAAGCACAACTCCAACCACCTTTCGGTCCAGCAGTGTCTCGCTCTGCCATCCATGCATCACAACATTTCACCTCTCCCACTGTGTCCTATTTTTGAAACTTCCGCCACTGCCTTGTGCGGTACTACTGGTGAAAAGCAAAACTTTCCCCAATTTCACCAGCAGATTTGCCAACATTGAAGGGTTGACCATCTTGACCACATGATACAGTATTGAACGATGTCTAAACTTTAGCCCGTCCAGCACTGATGACACCGCTGGAATGCCAAGGACTCCTTTTCGATTCCAACTTGGGATTTGCTGCTGTCAGCCATCGCCCCATGGTGGCCCGGTCTCGCGGAGCCAACGCCACCCCTCACTTCACCTTATGCGTAGGACTGAAACCGTGACAGTACACTGCTCAGGGTGGAACATCCCACGTCGCGTCAGTGGTCCATGAGCTGGCCGGCGGGCCCAGGAGAACTCCCACACGTCCAAGCGCTTGGATGCAGGAGGAAAAAAATGGTATTAGCTGATTTAGTGCTTAGTTGTGTCTCCTGGTTCTGGAAATGTCTCCTATAAGATTCCTATAAGATTCTATAAGGTCCTAGGTTTGCGTATGGTATATAGGGTATGGTAGGTGTTTCGGGGGTCGTTGCTTTTCAATGCTGAAATTGCACAAGTGCTAAGTGCTGTCCTTTGTTGATTTTTGTTGTCCTTTTGATCGAACTTGAGCCTTATTGACTGACATGAACAATGGCCCTGTTTGAAGCAAAGCTGCCCATGGTGCCAAGGTTTTGCCTCATCATATTTCATCATTTATTCGCAGCTGAAATCTTGCTAAGGAGCCCCAAGAGGATCCAAAAGGTACAAACTACCCAGCCACTGGAAACCCTTCCCAGTGTGCAAAAAGGAAGTGATTCAACTGCTTGAAGATTTCAATGATTTTGAATGATATTGCAAAGCGGAATGCCGAAAATGCTGCTGTTCTGAATTGATATGATAGTGTCAGCTACAGTAGCCCCTCTTTGACATTGGACCACATGATGGCAATAAGCCATTGGCCAAGATGCCATGGCAGTGACCGGCGGAGAAGATGGTGGGGAGAAACATGCAGGGAATCTTGGAAGCATGTAGCATCATGTTGCACCATTCTGCACCTTTATATAAGTGGGAGAGGGGGTGCAAGTCAGGATAGGTTCTGTCTACTGGTATAATTTTTGAGAGAATAGTATGTTGTACGAAAGGATTTTTCTCCAAATCTGCAAACGGACCTTAGCTTTCCGCAGAATTTGATCAGCAATGATGTTTGTGCAAACACTATTTCGCCCGAAATCACCATGTATGTGCTCGTGTTGTCATGAATCCACTACGATTTGAGGACAGATATCGAAGCGCTGGAAGGAGCACTCATTGATTGGATCAACACCTGTTACTTGCATTGGGAGCCGATGACACAAACGCTGGAAGAGACTTCGACGGAATTTGTGACAGAAAGATTTGAATATACCTGAATAATCCTGAATATATCCTGAATGAAATCTCCACTTCAGAACAATGTTGTATCATGTTCTACCATGATGTTCTATGCATATCATTTAATATCCAGGATGTCAACTTAACGAAAGGTTTTGATTCGCGAAGCTCATCTCAAAAAGGCGAGAACTACCAAGGCTGTCCAGAAGCAGATGTTGAGGAGTTCGATGACCTTGCAGATGGAGCCATCCTAGCAGTTCCTTGGCATGACCATCGTAACGAAACAGGAAGACTCAGAAGGACAAAGTTGATACAAAAAGCACAAAAAAGAACATGGAAAAACCAGGTTTTGCAGGAATGCAGGAATCCCTACTTCGGACATTGGAAAAAGGATCAGTCAATGGATCTGTTTGTGGCAGCTAAAGTAATCCGTTTGATGCCTTTACACAGGGACGGAAATCTCAACTCCGGCTGTACTGAACTGCCACTGCAGTGAAGTCCGACTCGAGAGTGTTGCCTATTGCCTCCTATTGCTATTGCTCAAAGTCCCATAAATTGACAACGGACATGGCTCTCCTTGGCTTTATGGTCATCCCCCTGACATCCTTTGGCAAGGACGTCTTGCAGCTCTATGCTCCTGACGTGGACCCCACAAATAGTGCAGCAGGCAGCTTCAGATGGTTTCAAGCCAGAACAAGAGAACGAGTAGTAAGGAGTAGAACAATTACAGGGTCGATTGGGTCGATTGAGAAGGTTTTAAGTTTCACATTGAGTCCATAGCACGTGTTGGAATATGTTGGAATTGAAGATTTTGTTATTTGCATATATTTGCCGCATCGAAGTCACAATTTCGCCCATGTTCAGGTAGCGCCAAGCGTCTACACAGTTGCCTCAGCAGCTACTTTGGCGAAAGAATTGAGCTGCCAAGGCAGGCGTGTGTACTTTCTCACATTTTGCAGCATTGAAGTGAGACAGTAGAAGCTTCTACTCTAGCAACAGGTGTTCAAATCACAGAGGAGTTCTTTTGATGTGCGGAGGTTGGCGGGCAACATGCATAATGGTGCATTTTGCAAGCCAAAGCTTTTGCGGTCCTTGACGGAAGCCGTACTGCTGGCTGCTGTGGAGGGGCCACAGAAGGACTATCCGGCCTCACGGTGTGATGTTTGTATTCATTGAAGTGGGCTAATCTAAAGAAAGTCTGAATGTATAATAATCTTATATATGTATATGGATTAATTGTTTGCCACATATGGATACCTATGAAATATGCTTGTGCAAACAAGCGTGACAGGAATCACGTAATATAGTAATTCAACGTATGAATATGTATGAATTATATCTCAGTGATATTACGTCGTATACCACATCCATACGTTACATACGTTCATGTAGATTCGAAACATTTTGTGATTTGCTGCTTCGGCCCATCGGTACTGCACAGCCCAGCAGAGTGCATTGAGGAGGAAGCTGTGCAGGCCATCATGAACTTGGATGAGCGTCCTGGATTGAAGTTTCCACACCTTGGATCCACGTGACGTTTAAAGTTTAGAAGATTAGAATAGATTAGAATTAAATTTTGAAAGATCATTGTAGAAGATGTGAATCCATTGAGAGGCTTTGAGTTGATTTGCATCCTGGCGATCCGTATCATTTGGGTCCATCATGGCGCTTTAGTCTGGCTTCATTTTCTGGGTGGAAAGACACGGGAAAGGAACAAGCAGATGGCCCTGGGCAACGCCCTGCAGCGGCTGATGGCTCACTCTGAAGCCGCTGATAGACGCTAAGCTGCATGGGAGAGGACGATGGCTGCAAATGGCAGGTAATTGATGGTCTCCTCAATTCACCACTATTGACATACAAGGCAGCCTCGGGAAAGACATTGCAGAGGTATCGAACGACCATGATGAATGGTGATGGTGATGGTGATGGTGAGGATGGTGACCTTGTGCTGGTGGTGATGCTGGTGGCGATGCTGGTGCTGATGCTGGTGGTGATGATGGTGGTGATGATGATGATGCTGGTGATGGTGATGGTGATGGTGATGGACCACCTACTGTAGCTCCCAAACCATCCAGTTTGGCGCATGTCACACTGACGAGGCAAGGAAGAGATTTTGGAGACTGGCGAATCCAATCCGCCAACGCCTCGAGCACCAAGTGGTGTTTCAGCCGCTTGCATTGTGGTGGGTACTGCGCCTCTATATTTATAGTAATTTGGTGGCTGGTAAAGTCAAGGTTGGTTTGGACATGGTTGATGTTCGCATCAATCATTACTGACTACTGCTTGTTGAAGATGTTCGGTCGTAAAATCAGAGCTTAGTAGTTAGTTTCGTCACTGCTTTGGCCACTCAAGTCAGTTGGGGGGAAAGCAAGAAAAAACTCTGCTTGCCACAAAGCTTAGTTGGAAGCTCTCCGGACCCTCTGGTTTGCCAGGCGAACATGTTTGAATGTAATGTGTATTGCAAGAATGGGTGCTCCTCATAGGGTTCCTGCTTGAACCTGCTATGTGAATGCTACTCCGTGTGGTCTTCACTTTCACGATTTTGTAGTTGTCCATGCTGAAGGCAAGCATAGGCAGGCATCAAGAACAAATATGGGTGTTCCACCATCAAAATGATGAAAGATGCGATTGATACATGGCCATTTGACGACGGCAACCAAGCCGAGGAATACAAATCTTCAGCCGATGTTCTACAGGATGAAATCCAGGATGTAGAGAGCGTCAGCGGATGTGTTGCCCTTGGCGATAGTTGCCCGTGTCTTTAGGCAGACAATCACATTGATGATATTTGATGATCATCAATGTATATTATAATATATTATAATGATTTATAATGTATATTAATGTGATTCTCACCCAGGAATTTGCAGGTGGAGACTTGCGGACTCCCATTCATGGTATTCATGTTCAACCTCTGTGTGGTGGGTTGCAACAGTTGCAATGCAGGAAATGAAGCATCAATGCAAATCAGAGATGATTGCAGTCGACTCGCTCGAGAATAGTGAGAAGGACTCGCTCAACTGCATGTTGCTCCTTCAAACAGAGACGGAAAAGGTGACATGATGAAAAGCATTACATACATAGTGTCCCCGTTCGAAAAATTATGTAGGCCTCCTGGAGAACTCCAGCTCTGCCCTGTCAGTTTAAAAGTTCAGCTGCCAATGCCCCATACCTTCTGGACATTTTTGCCAGGCACTTCAAGCTCAGCTCCGTGCGATCATGGCTGATTTTGCAGCTGAAGAGGTGCTCCTTGGAGTCATGGTAGCTTCTGCATGCAACTGCTGTGACAGGTGAGTTTACTATATTGTCATCATCGTTTATATATTGGTGCTATGTCTTGTCATGACTAACACTGAACTTGGCAGAAGGAGACTATGATTCGACTATGATCATTATGATGCTCTCAGAAGATGTAGCTTGGGCCCTTTTGGTGGGTGCGTTAGTCCTCTGTTGCTCGCAGGAGCAAGCAGCGGAGACGATGGTGTCAATCCAGAAATGGCAACGACTCTATGGAGATGAAATGAGACAGAGAAAGGCAAGGATGGACAAGGTATATTAATCCCGCCCCTAATATTAACACCCTCTCTCTCTCTCTCTAATATATATATACATATATATTCCAATATGCATAATGCCAATTTATTATGCGAAAATCCCCTACTAAACAATGGTGTCGGGGGGTGTTGAATATTATGAAGATGGGATTCTAGACGATCGGTGGATATCAACGTGAAATACGGTAATCAAGCAAATAACTTTGAACCAAGTGTCAGTCACACACATGCTAGATGTTGCTGCTAGATAATCGGCATGTCATCAGAAAATCTGCGCAAGAAAATCAGACACATTTAGATCGCAAGTCTGAAATATGGTGGACTCGGGTTGACTCTGGGAGCCTTCTAGTTCAAGCCTGCAAGCGTTGCGAATTCTTTAGCTGCTTCAAACCGCCGGTATTTGTCCCTTTGACAGAGTGTTTTGGTACCACAGCCTGTCTTACCTTCTGTGTTGGCATGTAGGGGAAACCTGGAACTTTGGTTTTATTGACTGTTCTGTTGTGACTATTCTACCCGACCCTACTACCCATAAGGTTGCGCAAGTGTGCTTCTCAGATTTGACAGGCTGAGTGCAGCTTCCTGCAGCAAGAGCTGCAGAAGGAAGCCGAAAATGCGAAGGAGTTGGCAAGACGCAGCTGAAAACATTCACAGGTTCTATATATCATTTCATTTTGCAGTAGCATTAGCCATCATGGTCGCCCACTTTTGGCTGGAAAACATATGGAAAATGTCGTGGCGGTGGTTTGCCACCGAATCTGGAGGACTTACCACAGCTTCAGTCAAAGCTGCAGCTACAGTTGGACCAAGAGCTCCACGCGTGTCGTGAGATGAAGGACTTGCACTGCCAGGGCCGCCAGGGCCGCCAGGGCATTCGACAAGATGTGCCAAGTACGTCTGAATTTTGTGTTGGATTTGCACAGTTCAGCATGCATTGATTAAACATCATTGATCATCATTGGTTGATATTGGTCGTGTGCTTTTTTGTTCATTCCTGGGGTCAAAGGATTGGGGGATATTGAGGGCCCTTTAGGATCCAGAGCATTATTTCCGGCAAGTACCAGGAATGATGACAGTGTCTGGTTTTTGTCTTTTTTTCCTGATCGAGAATCTCAGGTTTATTTCTCTTGGACTTGCTTTCTGAAGGAGTAAAAGGATAAGTTGTGGCTGGATTTTCACATCGTTTTTGCCTGTTTGGTGTTACTTTCATCTCCAAGAGCACAAGCTTTGCCTTGTGTATGATGCTTGAAACAATGCATTATTATGCATCCTGCATGCCACTCAGAGCGACAGAATGGCATCACATGTGCCACGGTCTCAGCCCGGTTCAGGACAACACTGAATACTTGGATGTCGAATTCCGTGAGGCCAGGAAGATTCAGGAAGCTAGCACATTGCCACGTGCCACGCGCATGAAAGTGACATGATGAGAGACCAACTCGTGACTCGCAGCGGGTCGTAGTATCATAGGGCAAGTGTATCCAAGTGTGCAATTATCATCGAAGTTACTTTGAAGCTCAATGCTCAAAAAAGTGCAGCATTTTGATTGGAGGCTGCGCAATCCAATGAGAAGGATGATTTGTCTACGGTGTGGCCCACAGATATGTACTTGCGCAGGGTTTGAAATTGAAAGCACTGTATTTCGCAAGAAAATATGTGGATTATGATCGTTTGAGGCATGTGGCAATATATCCTTCTTTGCGCATCACGGCAGGGTTGTCCAAAACGACTACTGTCATTAGGTGAAAGCGGAGATGATGGCATCCCAAATGCAGCAGGCGGGACGGCACAGATGGGACAGTTGATTTGAACGAAAGAGTTCCGTAATCTTCTACCTGGGTCTAACCTGTCTAGCTATGTCTAGACTTGCTCATCCTACTGGCAGATAACACAACGTGTCATCATGTCTTCATTGTTTTGGACGTGAACCCGCACTGGAAGCCACTCGCCTGTGAGAACATGGTGCTTCGCAAGCTCCAACGGGCAGAGGAGGAGGAGAAAGAGCAGATGCACATTGCCTGGCGCCAAGCTATCACCCATTGCCCCAATGCCCAGCTGAATCTGATCTAGAAAAAATCTGGAAAGGGCCGGCCAGTTTCGGTTGATGTCTATATAAGTTGGTTATCGGATGTTCTTGGCGGGTTTGTTCTTGATTCAATCTTGATTGTTCTTGACTACACGCAGCAGCGCTTACAACAAGCAACCGTAGGTCAGCATCCCTTGTTTCCAAGGCGAAAGGCCTGTGGGAGAACTTGCACATGACAGAGGCGTGAGCTGTATCTATATACCCATCCCTGCCCCGTCCAACAAGGTCCAAGCGACACTCACAGCGCTGTTTTTTCCCAACGAATTCCTTCCAAAATAATTCATGAAATCCCCCCCCAGCGCGCCCAGCATATTTGACAAGCCTTTGATTTCATTATCAAATCAATTATTCAATATTCAAATGTTGGTCACTGTGCTGTGATTCATGAATGATTCATGATGCTTTTTATTTAGCATGTTCTGAATATGTACCACGGCAGCGGGGCTAGGCAAATTTCCTTGTCGCAGGTGGCTGCTTCCATGCACGACAACACCCTGCGTCAGGTGAGGCGGGTGGCTGAGAAGGCGCGGAGGAAAGACCCAGCATCCGCAGTTTGCTGCTGATTGAGGTATTTTGTGCTGGGTGATGGAAAATCGACATGATGATGATGATCATGATCATGATCATGGTCATGATGATCATGATGATGAGGAGGAGGATGATGATGATGATGACGATGACGATGACGATGATGATGATGATGATGATGGGCGCACAATTGTTTCTGGAATATTCTATGTTCATATGAACCTGATGAAAACGGAATCTCAAACGTTGACATGTTTGATTGGTGGTTCCGGGCTGCAAGTGTTGGCTTTGTGGAGGAAGAGGAGACGGAAGCCGATGTTTTGGGTTTGCTGGAATTTCGCGAGTGTGAAATGCGGCAGCTGGAGCTCTCTTTGGGAGAGTCTGTTACTTGGTTTAAAACATTGGGGGGCCATTGGATGGCGTTGCCATTGCTAGCATTCAATCTACTCATCAGATGTTGCATATGTTGCGCATGAGCCATTACAAGCCTACGTTTATACGTTTGAAGCTTTGAAACCCACCAGAAAAGCCGGGGGTTGAACTGCAAAGCAACACTTTACTTCGGAAACGTTTTTGACAGCACCCATGGCGTGCCTAGCTTGCCATAGCTTGGCTTTGTGGTAGCCCAGCCTCAGAAGCTGAGGGTACTGCGGGTGGACAAATGGGCAACAATCGTATCTTGCCATCAAATCGGGTCGGCTCAGCTTCAGGACTTGTACAGGCTTGTTCTTTGAATCTGAAGTTTATCACAGTGAAACCATGTTAAACCTCACACCGTAGTGCTATCAAAGTGGACTGCGAAGATGGCCCGAAATTCTTGGTGCCTGGCCACCTCAGGTGCAAGTATAGCTGGACCAGGCACCTGTGGCAGAAGATTGGGAATTTGCATCCAGTGTGATGTTTCCTCTTTAATTATTGTGACCATGACCAGCTTTTATCTAGGGAACTCAATCAGACTTATAATATCTTATAATCTCAATCAGAATCAGATGGGCTGTTCGTTTTTACCATACAGTCCAATTTGCTTCTTTTTTCCTTACCAACGCCATCAACGCCCGAGTCGCGGCGCCCGCTTTTCATCTAATCGTGCAAGTAACTAAGTAATAATACCGACAGAACAGTCACGCCATATCATGTCATCAATTCGGCCAATCCAGCTGATGCAGGGGCAGAGCTGCTTCACTCCGCGCCTGATATGGCAGAGCTTCTTGGCCAATGATTTGATGGGATACGATGTGATATGATGATATTTATATAATGTGAATTCATGTGATATGATATGATATTGCGTAAAAGTCTTATATGATCTTATATGAATGAGTATAAATATAAATCATAGTAATCATAATAATCATAATACCCGCACGAGGCGGGGCGGAAGTTGCCTTAGGGATATATATAAGACCATTCTCATCTATAGAACTTGCATGCGCCGTGCGCCAGCCAAGCTCGTGCGTGCGTGCATTCTGCGAAAGTGGTGTCCTGTTTCACATGTCACATTTGAAGCTCCACTTCGCACTTCACACTTCTCACTGCACTCTTCACACTCCACGCTTCACACTCCACACGTCACACTTCACACTGCACTCTTCGGACTCCACACTTCACTTTACACTGCACTCTTAAGACTCCACACTTCACACTCCACACTTCACACTTCACAGTCCACACTTCTCACTTCTCACTGCTTTCTTCACACTCCACACTTCACACTTCGCACTCCACACTTCACACTGCACTCTTCACGCCCCACACTTCACACTGCACTCTTCACACTCCACACTTCATCTCATCTGAGCTCTTCTCACCTTATCCCAGCTCATCTCAGACGCCACAGCGACAAAAAGTCGATTTTGAAGCACTTTTTAAAAGGACTTTTAAAAGGAAAATTCGTAGCGCCAAAATTCAGAAAATCTGCTGACAAATCACTGTCGCAGCCTTGATGCAACCACTCCAATACTATTTACGAGATCCAGCTTCAAAAGACAATAGTATTACGCATGCAGCCGCGGCACCAAGCAACCTTGACGCAGCCATTACAATGCGTTTCGCCGCATCACGTCGCAAACCTGCACGGATCTACGCACATGGCAACACCAGATTACAACAATCATGCAGCCATTCCAATGCAATCCGCAACCACAGATTCAAGAAACGCATAGAACTACGCACATCGACACAACCACTCGTTGCAGAACACAGGAGGAACACATTCGCGACAGAAACAACCCCAGCCGCAACCGCCTCACACACGAGGTACCTTTCATCGCCGCCTGCAACCACTTTACACGGAAAAATGCAAGGTTTCGTGCTCCGGCTTCCTCCCCAACACAAGCCCCACGCAACATTCATGCAGCCATTACAATGCGTTTCGCCGCATCACGTGGCTAACCCGCATCTCCCTACGCACATGGCAACACCAGATGACAACAATCATGCCATTCCACTGCGATTCGCAACCACAGATTCAAGAAACGAATAGAACTACACACATCGACACAACCACTCGTTGCAGAACACAGAGGAGGAACACATTCGCGACAGAAACGACCCCAGCCGCAACCGCCGCACACATGAGGTACCTTTCATCGCCGCCTGCAACCACTTTACACGGAAAAATGCAAGGTTTCGTGCTCCGGCTTCCTCCCCAACACAAGCCCCACGCAACATTCATGCAGCCATTACAATGCGTTTCGCCGCATCACGTGGCTAACCCGCATCTCCCTACGCACATGGCAACACCAGATGACAACAATCATGCCATTCCACTGCGATTCGCAACCACAGATTCAAGAAACGAATAGAACTACACACATCGACACAACCACTCGTTGCAGAACACAGAGGAGGAACACATTCGCGACAGAAACGACCCCAGCCGCAACCGCCGCACACATGAGGTACCTTTCATCGCCGCCTGCAACCACTTTACACGGAAAAATGCAAGGTTTCGTGCTCCGGCTTCCTCCCCAACACAAGCCCCACGCAACATTCATGCAGCCATTACAATGCGTTTTGCAGCATCACGTGGCTAACCCGCATCTCGCTACGCACATGGCAACACCAGATGACAACAATCATGCAGCCATTCCACTGCGATCCGCAACCACACATTCAAGAAACGAATAGAACTACGCACATCGACACAACCACTCGTTGCAGAACGCAGACGAGGAACACACTCGCGACAGAAACGACCCCAGCCGCAACCGCCGCACACAGGATCATCGCCGGCTGCAACCACTTACACGGAAAAATGCAAGGTTTCGTGCTCCGGCTTCCTCCCCAACACAAGCCCCATGCAACATTCATGCAGCCATTACAAAGTCACCACTTCCCAAAGTCACCACTTCCCTTCCTCACCACTTCCCTTCGTCACCCCACTTCCCTTCCTCACCACTTCCCTTCGTCACCATTTCCCTAGGTCACCACTTCCCTTCCTCACCACTTCCCTTCGTCACCATTTTCCTCGGTCACCACTTCCCTTCCTCACCACTTCCCTTCGTCACCACTTCCCTTAGTCACCACTTCCCCTCGTCACCACTTCCCTTCGTCACCACTTCCCACCGTCACCAGTTCCCTTTCTCACCACTTCCCTTCGTCACTATTTCCCTAGGTCACCACAGCCTTCGTCACCATCCTGCGTCATAGCCTCTTATTCTTGTGTGGTGTATTGTTATGTGATGTCAAGTCTCACACCACCCTGTGTCATAGCCTATTGTTCTTTTGTGATGTATTGTTATGTGATGTCAAGTCTCACACCACAGTCTCGCACCACCCTTCATTGCGTGTATTCTTATGTGATGTATAAAGTCTCACACCACAGTCTCACACCGCCCTTCATTGAATGTATTCTTATGTGATGTCAAGTCTCACACCACCCTTCATCAATGTCAAGTCTCACAATTCTATTTGTCCGTAACACGGAAGTATTGCTTCCCAACTTCCTTTGATAATATATTGTAATCGATCCAAAGGTCCTGGTAAAGATGTTTAATTGCGAAGACCCTTCATGTTATGTTGGGAACCCTCGCGAAAATTTTTTCGAGTTCGCGAAAGTAACATGTTGATTCGCGAAAGTTTCGCGACAGTTGTATACAATCATTATTGTATATAGCTTGTAAAGGGCTGCCGCCCCCTGCCACCCGGGAGAAAGGCACAGGAAAATTTCGGTTTGGTTCTGGTTCAGTTCCCTGTGTGGTGCTTTTGGAAAAGCACCTTGCGCTTAGCTCGGTAGCAGCCGAGCTCCCAAAGGTGAGGCTTCGCAACAGCCAAACACCATGGTCCTGAAGCACATCCTTGCACCTGCCGCTGTCACTGCCTAATGATGCTTTTTGAAGTCTCAAGAAGTCAAGCTCCACATGCAGCAGCCAAGTGTCCAAGAGTGAGGCTTTGCGAGAGCCAAACACCAAGGCCCCTGGTGTTTGCTTTTCCTTTGATGCGCCCCCTGCTGATGGCTGGGGTCTGTGAATAGGGACATTTTCGCGAAAGTTCTGCGAAAGTTCTGCGAAGGAGCGGGCGCCAGTCAAAGTACATTTTGAAGGGGGTGGCCCAGTAAACCTTGCAAACAAACTTAGTCAGCAACAATCTGTCCTGAGAAGGGGTTCCGTGATGATAGCTGCATGTTTACAAGGCTATCAAGAAGTGATCCGTGATTCTCGAGCTGGCGTAGTTTGGCAGGTGGTGAATGAATCTTCATAAGAGGCGTTGTTGCCCAACATCGGCCCCGCGAAAGATAACATGGAGTTCGCGAAAGTTTCGTGAAAGTAACATTTTTATTTGCGAAGAATGGCCGTTTGTGGATACAGGAATTTTGATCAACAACCATATATATAATCCCTTCACCCCAATATTAAACGTCCCCCCAAATAACAAACCCTTTGGGGCAGTTTTAATTTGAGGGCGGCAACTTCCGTTTAATTTTTAGAGGGTATTTAATATTCGGGGGAGAAGCTGGCCCCTAATATTACATTAAACACCGCAATTAAAGAAACTAGAACGTTCGATTTCAAAATCGATCAAAATCCTTCTTAACGTCTAGTTGAAATATTGTCAAAAATTGGATGTCGAAGTTTTCCCTCAATATTGAATTTAAAGACCTTGATCAAAAATAAATTGAAATGTTCGATTTCAACATGGATCAATTTCCTTTTTAAAATCTAATTAAGATGTTGTCAAAAAAATTTCCTTTAATATTGAATTGAAAACCTCGATGAAAACAGTAACATGTTCGATTTCAAATGGTTTTAAAAATTACCACAATTTTAAAAAACATCCTGGGGCTCATTCGTTTGTATTATGAACGGGGTAGAACCTTCAAATTGGAACTTGGTTTTTACATTGTTTTCTAAACGGGATCAACGAAAAATCAAATTGACCAATCTGAAATTTCCCAACACGAACTGTTTGCGGTAGTTTGATATTTTGGGAGGTGTTCGTAATAGGAAGAAGGGATTAAATCACATTATACAAATAGATATGAGATTCCGTCAAATTTTGTATTGGAGTGTGCATCAGCATTACTTTTTGCATGAAATTTCCTAATTAAAAGGATGGGGGAACTCACGGTGTGCCTTGCGAGTGGCGCATTTGTTGTTAAATCACGGGGGTATGGAGTGTGTATGCGCTCTTGTGTGCAGCCATCGCAGAGGTCCTGAGTGAGCATTGATTTCGCTCCAAATTCAGGTTGCGATCCCTTCTCAAGGAGCTTGGCCAGATCGCTCGCAAACATGGCACCGCGCAAACTGTTTCTTGGCAAATGGACATTAGATTTTTATAGATTTTTCATTTTTGGGTTGCGAGCTGTTGAAATCGTTTGAAGTCAAGTTGTGCTGGTGTGATGGCTCGAGGGGATTTGGTGAGCTCTTTGGCACAAGCCTCTCGACGAATCAACAGAAATTTGACCGAGGAACTAAGCCAACAGCAGCAACGCACCCGAGATTTAGCGCATCGTTTGCAGCAGCTTGAAGACGAAAGCGCTCAGCATCAAAACTCGGAGGCTGGCTGGATCAAATAGAGAGAGTGACAGGGATACGAATGTGGAATGTTGATGAATGTTGTAGACTGAAATGGTGGCAATCAAAGTACCAAATCCTCAAAATTGTAGAGATCTTTTATAGGTGAAGTGTTTTCATATGAACTCTAGTCCAGATGTCTAGCACCAAATTGAGGTTTATTTCAATTTATTTCACAGACGCCCCTTGCAGGAACCTTAAGTTCATTCGAGTTCCCTGACAGTAACCTTTCTATCGAGTGCCAGGCCATGGCACTGGCAGAATTTCGCACACGACGTGAGGAGGCAAGAGATGCTAGAGACAGAGCAAGAGAGACAGATATAGTCATAGTAACTATCATAGTATTCACGTCGGATTGTCATGACATTGTCAATGGTTAGTTTCTGAGCGATTCTCGCACGGTTTGACAAACATGCTGCAGCTCATGGTAATATTGACAGCATTCTCACATGTGCTTGTATATATTTCATACTCTTGCACAGCGCCTGTGTGTTAAGTGCAAATGCATGCGTTCCTCCAGCGAAGCATTTCAGACCTCTCTTTTTTGAACTGGCATTCAGATTCCGATGCTACCTGAGAGGAACTGCACTATAGTTCTGAGCTGCACGAACGTTCACATAGCCAGTCAATGCCGTTGGGAATCTTGGTAGATCCATGTAAATCCGACTAAGGAACAAGTGGATTGGGATGTACATTGCAGTTGGTTTTCTAGCCGTGGCTACCACTTGATGCAATGAACATGTTGTATATAAGGCGCTATCTATGTCTGAGTATTCACATAGCAGTTTCCTGTTGTGCCGTTCATGTTGAATATCGCTGAATGATCCCAAATGGATGTGCCCAAGGCCTGCTGCAGGGACTGCCTCAGCCAAGACAAGCGGGGCAGATGTTCCCAAGGGAGCAGACGGGGAAACTGCAACCTGGCAAAACAATAGCTTATCAGTACAAAAAAATAAGCATTAATCATGAACATTACATATTCCATCATATTCCGTACCTTTAAAAGGAATGATTTAATGAATCGGGGTGTTATGCCATGATACGCAATGATAGCGCACAATGTGCTTGCTGAGGCTGTTGAGGCATCTCGTGATACGGCCAGACCTGATTTGTTCGACCCGTGGCGCTTGGCACCCAGGCAGAATTGCAGACTCGACTCGTTTCCCTGCGAAGCCGGGCTGCTACCATGCTGAAGGCAAACTTCCAGTTGAGTCAGCAGATGTCAGCAGTAGCAAGTTGAAAGACAAAGCCCTACTCTGCTGCGGCATCACCAGAGAATCCTGTTCCAGCTTCACATTTTGGTCAGGAGGAGAACGAAGCTGCGACGAAGCTTGCAAAAATGCAGCAGGCAGTAGTTGATGGTGAGAGATAGATGTAGAAAGAAAGAGAGAGAAGTGTCTATTGTTTGCCGCAGTTTGCCTTCAATTTCCGCGCAGAGACATCCATAATACAAGTGGGAATATCTTAGGAACATCAAAATAGCAATTTTCCTTGAGAGGCTTGACTGATAATTCTTCGGATGACGGTTGGTCACCAATTCCCCATTGATTTTTCATTGTATCATGTAGATTACTGTAGATGCCTAGCCAGGCGGAAATTGGTTTCTTGATATTTCTTCGGTGTTACACTGGGGCATGAAGCCACGATATTTTTCTGCACTCTAGATTGTCATCCTGGTCAGGAGGAGAACGAAGCAGCTGCAAAGCTTTCCAAATTGCAGCAGGCATGACAGATGTTGTTTCTGCATGTTTCTGCAAGATCTGCAAGGCTGGAAAATTTGTTTTCATATCCTCATGTTGTGGCGCTCATTTGGTTGCACTGAACTGGTTGGCCCTTGGCTGCTGTTGGTGGCCCACGAATGTCCACGAATCTAGTGGGTGAACAGATGTGTGTGTGTGTATGTGTGTGTGTGCGTGCACCCTTCTAACACAGGGCATGGTTGATTGCACATTTTCATACAACAATGCATGGGGATGGAGAGATGAGGCTCCATCCAACGAAGCTCCTCATATGCTCCTAGGATATCACCAGCAACGCTTGGTGACGTACCTGCAACCCGTTCATTTTTTGACATAGCTCCCAGGCTAAGCTCAAACCTGGCTAGCCGATTTCCCATCTCATAAAGAACTTGGGTTTTTCTGTGTTTTGGGAGTTGTGTCTCGTTCTCTCATAAAGAACTTGGGTTTTTCTGTGTTTTGGGAGTTGTGTCTCGTTCATGCTCGACTACATCATTAAACCTTCCAACTTGGATACAGCCTCGACAAGGTCTACCAGGTAGGAATTGCCAAATCTTTTAAGTTGAAACCCTGCAGAATGAACTACGCACGATTCGACGCGACCAATCTGGAACCAGCTCCAACTCTTAAAACCAGTCCAACGTGTTATTGTCGCCCCGGCTTATTTAGTCCGGAGGTGCTCCATACCTCTGTGTAGCAGGGGTAGCGTGCAAATAACAGGACAGGTCAGTGACCCAGTTCAGGCTCGAAATGCCAACGCAGCTGAGAGGCATGCAAACAAGAGTTCGTGCAGGCTTAGAGCCATGAAACCCTGCAAGGGCCGACCAACTTCAGGCAATGCCACACATAGTCAAAGACAAGGAGAATAGTTCAGAAGAACACGTGCAGCTTTAACGCATGCAAAACCAGATCGCAGCTATGTTTGCCTGATGCATTTTTTCCCCTTTTTAGGCGTTGTCCTTTGGTGTGGTGGTTTAGGTTTTGGATTTGTTATTGTTTTGTTTTATCTCAGTACAACTTGGTTGAATACTATTTCTCTGGGTTTCTGTCCATGAAACCTCTGGGCCGTGCGTAAGATTGTCGTGGTTCGTCGATGGCACTTTGGATTATTGATCAACATCCCAAGTTGGCCCAAGTTGCATAATATCAGTCAAGCCGGTTCCAAACACACCACCACCGCAGCTTAACTTGGTTGGTTGGTAGCTGGGCGAAGCTGGAACAAAACGACAAAATTATAAACATGTGTAAAGTGCAAACCCTGCCTGATCCTGCCTGATAAGTATCTTTCGCATTCTCTCACCATGTCAACTTAGCCTGACGGCCACTGGGCAAAGTCAAAGAAACAAGGATGTCAGTCTAGCGTTTGCATGTTTGACGCCGAAACTCCGTCTGATGGCCGCTGGGCAAAGCCGAAAAAACCCGGGATGTCAGTCTATAGTGTTTACATGGTTTGACGCGCAAACTCCGTTTGATGGCCATTGGGCAAAGCCGCAAAAACCCAGGATGTCAGTCTATAGCGTTTACATGTTCCGTCTGATGGCGACTGGGCAAAGCCGAAAAAACCAGGATGCCAGTCTACTTTTTACATGTTTCGATCCGTAAACTCCGTCTCATGGCGACTGGGCATAGCCGAAAAAACCCAGGATGTCAGTCTATAGCGTTCACATGTTGTGACGCGTAAACCCCGTCTGATGGCGACTTGGGCAAATCCGAAAAAAAAACAGGATGTCAGTCTATAGCGTTTACAGGTTTGACGCGTAAATTCCGTCTGATGGCCACAGGGTAAAACCGAAAACTCTAGGATGTTAGTCGATACCGTTTACACGTTGTGACGCGTAAACTCCGTCTGATGGCCACTGGGCAGACGCAGCTAGCGGTATAGGATACATGCCGAAATAAATCAATGTGGCACCCTGGTCCGTTGGTCAATTGTCGTCTGTCGTATATTTGCAGTGGTGTTTGCTACGTGCGTACTTAGGGGTCACCACTCCAGGTTATAGGATGTTATATGATGTTATAGGTGTTGGCAGGTTCATCCAAAATGTCTTGACACTGCAGCAGCCAGTGCTTACGCCTGCCACACCAAACATACACCAAACCATGGCTGACGTAAAGGGTCCAGACCATATTGCGTATGTTGGCTTGGGTAGGCCGGAAGCAAGTGCAACATTGGCTTGCGTGATTTTGCTTGACTTTGCTAACAACGACTAGAACAGCCGCAACTCCGGCGCTTACATGTCCACAGGGGTGTTTCTGAGCAGCTTCGTAAGATTGCAACGACGCCATTTTACAAAGTACATGCGGTCATCATTGCCATGACAAGCTTTGCCCCCTAGTGGGGCGCGCGTGTGTGTGTGTACCCTTCTAACAGGGCATGGTTGATTGCACATTTTCATACAACAATGCATGGGGATGGAGAGATGAGGCTCCATCCAACGAAGCTCCTCATATGCTCCTAGGATATCACCAGGGATGCTTGGTGACGTACCTGCAACCCGTTCATTTTTTGACAGAGCTCCCAGGCTAAGCTCAAACCTGGCTAGCCGATTTCCCATTTCATAGAAAACTTGGGTTTTTCTGTGTTTTGGGAGTTGTGTCTCGTTCATGCTCGACTACATCATTACCTTCCAACTTGGATACAGCCTCGACAAGGTCTACCAGGTAGGAAACCCTGCAGAACGAACTTCGCACGATTCGACGCGACCAATCTGGAACCAGCTCCAATTCTTAAAAACCAGTCCAGTGTGTAAACCGCTAACTAACTTTCACGTGGTTAAGAGTTAAGATCACCAATTTATCGCAGCAGGGGGGCTAGTTGCTCATGCAAGTACCAGCCCAGCAAAGAGGCTTGCATGTGACGCTGATATCAGTGGAGACTTCCAGTGACGTATCTGCTTCGAATATCTTCGAATGTGTTTCGAACTGTTGAACGCTTTGTGATTTCAGGCTGTTGCAGGTAAAGGGAGATCCCTCCACATCATTTTTCTGTCAGATTGCCGTGCCATGACAATTATTTGGGAAACCCCTTAAGGCTATGACAAGCTCATCATTTTATATAAAGTTCCAATTATGGAGTAAGTTCCTTATATACTCAATCAGCAGTGTGTGTGTGTATATGAAACTCAAGAAAATGGAAAGAGCAGGAACTTCCTTCACTTTCCCAGGGGGTGGGCGCAAATCCATGCGCCTTTACTTGTCAGGAGGAGAAGGAAGCAGCTACCAGGCTGTCTGAAACGCAGCAGGCAGGGCCAGTCCGTTTTAATTTTGCATTGCAATCACAACCGCTGTCAGGGACAAGGGAACGCAACAAAATTTGCCCTAAGGTTGGGTGTGATTTGGGATTTATGACTCCTGATTCCGTTCCTGATTCGCAAAACCGCCGCGTTTGCTTGCTTCTTCCCATGGCTTCCTATCTCCGTCACTTTCTGTGCTCCATTTTTCTTTTACGAGCATTTCTCCGCACTGACGCATCAGACATGAGCAGCCAATTTTGCTGTGAACATGATTGTGTGTGCGCGTCTCTGTTCCCAAGGGTTTGAACATCGCTGAATTGTGCAATTTGAGCAGGGGGTGGCAGCAGCGACCAGAGCCTGCCACCAACAAAGACATTCTCAAACCCTGGTGAAGCATGACTTGATCAGTCATGTGTACCTTCTGCCAGTGGTATCCAGTAGTACCACACAAGGTGGCGGCGGAAGTTTCAAAGGTAGGAAACTATAGGGGAGGCGAGTTGTTGTGTTGTTGCATGGATGGCAGAGCGAACCCACTGATGGATCCAAAGGCTGAGGCTCTGAGTCTCTCTTCTTTGTGTTTCTCTATCTCTCCCTCTGTCTATCTATCTCTAGTATAGTGATCCCCCATGTATAGCTCACTATAAAGTGGACATCCTTTGCGCTTATAAAGTGGGTTTCCGGTCGCCACTTTATATACCGACAATGGGGGATAAAGCCGTGTTTTGCGCAAGAATCATGCCCTTGGACCTGGAAGATGACTTTATTAGAACGTTGGCTTTCCAGTTTATACCCGGCTGGTTTCCCACAAGGAAACGACTCAATATATGCGGCAATGCATTTTATAGACCGTTGGTTCCCTTCAAAGAATGGCCATAATATGTCACACCATCCACTTTATAGAAACATGTCTCCCCAATTATTTCGGGCCAATATTTTTCTGTTGGGGCTGTATACATGGCAAAGCACTTTATAGAGTGAAACTTGCCCTTTAAGAAGAAGAATTTGTGCTGCATCCAGGGCACTTTATAGAAAGAAAATTGCGGCAGAGCATTTTATAGAGTCATGAGATACATCATCCAAGTCACTTTATAGAGCTGCCCAGGACCCCATTCACCCTGAGGACCCCTTTCAAGGGAAATCTTCTTCTCTATAAAGTGGCCAGTCCAGGTAAAACCCCTGAAAAAACAGAATCTATGTTGGACTGGCCACTTTATACCCCCTCCCCCAACAGAGAATGCCTCTATAAAGTGGCCAGTCCAGGTAAACCCCCTGAAAAAACAGAATCTATGTTGGACTGGCCACTTTATACCCCCTCCCCCAACAGAGAATGCCTCTATAAAGTGGCCAGTCCAGGTAAAACCCCTGAAAAAACAGAATCTATGTTGGACTGGCCACTTTATACCCCCTCCCCCAACAGAGAATGCCTCTATAAAGTGGCCAGTCCAGGTAAAACCCCTGAAAAAACAGAATCTATTTGGACTGGCCACTTTATACCCCCTCCCCCAACAGAGAATGCCTCTATAAAGTGGCCAGTCCAGGTAAAACCCCTGAAAAAACAGAATCTATGTTGGACTGGCCACTTTATACCCCCTCCCCCAACAGAGAATGCCTCTATAAAGTGGCCAGTAAAACCCCTGAAAAAACACATTTTTACCTGGAATGGCCACTTTATACCCCAGCCAGTGGGCTCCAGGACTTTGACCCGGAAACGGAAGGGCTGACAACAAGGTAAAGGGGGAAAACTACAACGGAGAGGTACAACGGGAAGGCTACCACAAGAAAATGAGACATGTTACGTTTATATACGTTTATTGTTTTCAATGTGTCATATAGATTGGCGATGATTGGTATATTGAATATGTTGTAGATGTATTTTGGAACATATGTATACCTATGATTCACACATCAATATAAATATATATATATATAAATCATAAGCACGTGCCAAACCAAAAACTTTTAGCTGAGTATTGTATTCCCAATCATCTGTTGGCAAATGTCCAGCCGATTCACCATGCGTGACCCAACAAGATTCAAACTATGGATTGTTTACTTTTGAAAAAAATACTTTTATGCAAACTACATGCTGAACTTTCTTGCGAACCATTTTATAGAGGATGGGCATGTGGCCGTGGTTTTGGTCCATAGATGTCCATAGATTTTTAGGATGATTTTGGGAGATTGTCGTCATAGATATACGTAGATTCACCCAGTATTTTTTTTCAAAAGTAAACAATCCATAGTTTGAATATTGTTGGGTCACGCATGGTGAATCGGCTGGACATTTGCCAACAGATGATTGGGAATACAATACTCAGCTAAAAGTTTTTGGTTTGGCACGTGCTTATGATTTATCTATATTTATATTGATGTGTGAATCATAGGTATACATATGTTCCAAAATACATCTACAACATATTCAATATACCAATCATCGCCAATCTATATGACACATTGAAAACAATAAACGTATATAAACGTAACATGTCTCATTTTCTTGTGGTAGCCTTCCCGTTGTACCTCTCCGTTGTAGTTTTCCCCCTTTACCTTGTTGTCAGTCCTTCCGTTTCCGGGTCAAAGTCCTGGAGCCGACTGGCTGGGGTATAAAGTGGCCATTCCAGGTAAAAATGTGTTTTTTCAGGGGTTTTACCTGGACTGGCCACTTTATAGAGGCATTCTCTGTTGGGGGAGGGGGTATAAAGTGGCCAGTCCAACATAGATTCTGTTTTTTCAGGGGTTTTACCTGGACTGGCCACTTTATAGAGGCATTCTCTGTTGGGGGAGGGGGTATAAAGTGGCCAGTCCAACATAGATTCTGTTTTTTCAGGGGTTTTACCTGGACTGGCCACTTTATAGAGGCATTCTCTGTTGGGGGAGGGGGTATAAAGTGGCCAGTCCAACATAGATTCTGTTTTTTCAGGGGTTTTACCTGGACTGGCCACTTTATAGAGGCATTCTCTGTTGGGGGAGGGGGTATAAAGTGGCCAGTCCAACATAGATTCTGTTTTTTCAGGGGTTTTACCTGGACTGGCCACTTTATAGAGGCATACTCTGTTTGGGGACGGGGTATAAAGTGGCCATTCCAACATAGATTCTCTTTTTTCAGGGGTTTTACCTGGACTGGCCACTTTATAGAGGCATTCTCTGTTGGGGGATGGGGTATAAAGTGGCCAGGCCAACATAGTTTTTTTTTCAGGGGTTTTACTTGGACAGGCCACTTTATAGAGGCATTCTCTGTTGGGGGAGGGGGTATAAAGTGGCCAGTCCAACATAGATTCTGTTTTTTCAGGGGTTTTACCTGGACTGGCCACTTTATAGAGGCATTCTCTGTTGGGGGAGGGGGTATAAAGTGGCCAGTCCAACATAGATTTTGTTTTACCATAGATTCTGTTAACGACTTCGATATAGATATTTGTCTGGCTGTCGGTTTCGTTCGGTTTCGAAGTCGTTCGAAGTCTTTTGGGTTCCCCATCGATGAGATCGATGATATTCCCCCAAAGTTTGAACGTGGCCCCTCAACTTTATAGACAATCATGTCGATGCTTCCATCGTCGCGATTAAGAAAATCATCGCTACTACAACGATCGTTGTTTAGTAGGAAATCCACATTATAGTGCCACTGTTCGACACAAGTATTACTATCTGGATGTTCGGCATCTCACTTTATAGTCATGGGACATGTTCACAAGTACCCTCAAAAACCTACATCGAGTTTTATGTTTTTACGCGGCCAGGCGACTTTATACAAACGTTGGATTTTGACTTTATAGACAAAACATGTTGGCTTTCCACTTTATAGACTCCAAACATGTGGCCATTCCAGTTTATACCAGGCTATTCTCTATAAAGTCGGCCGCAAAGCATCTAGCGAGCTGTACATGGGGGATGTATAGTGTAGTTGTAGTTCTAGTTGTAGTTGTAGCGTAGCTGTATTTGTAGCGTAGTGTAGTCTAGTCTAGTCTAGTCTAGCCTAGTGTAGTGTAGCTGTAGTCTAGTGTAGTTGCGGCTGTAGCTGCAGTTGCAAGTGTAGTTGTAGTTGTAGTGCTGGGTAGTTAAGTTCTAGTTGTAGTTACAGTTGTAGCTGCAGTTGTAGTTGTAGTTGCAGTGTGGTGTAGTGTGGTGTCGTGTAGTGTAGTGTAGTGTAGCGTAGTAGTAGTCTAGTGCAGCGTGGTTGCAGTTTGCATTTGCATTGCAACTATAGATGTAGTTGCAATTGTAGTTCTAATTGTAGTGCAGTGTCGTCTGGCGTAGTGTAGTGTAGTTGAAACCTAGCGATGCGTGGTTGCAGTTGTAGTTGTACTCGTAGTTGCAGGTGTAGTTGTACTCGTAGTTGCAGTTGTAGGTGTAGCGTAGGGTAGTGTAGTGTGGTACAGAGTAGTGTAGTGTAGTGTAGCGTGGTGAAATGTAGTGATGTAGTGTAGCGTAGTGTATAGCGTAGTGCAGTGTAGCTTCGCGCCACAACCGCGTGCACTTTTTCGACATCTCAAAGTCCAGAAGTGGTCCGAACATCTGGTGCTTTTAGCATTTTGACTTCGAAATGTGCTTCGCACCACAGCGATCTCAACTGCCAAAGCTGCTCCGAGCGTAATGTGCTTTGCACCTTTTGACTTCAAAATCGGTTTTGCACCGTGCACTTTTTCAACATCTCAACTGCCAAAGCTGCTCCGAACGTAATGTGTTTTGCACATTTGACTTCAAAATGCGCTTTGGGCCACAACGGCGTGCACTTTTTCGACATCTCAACTGCCAAAAGTGCTCCGAACGTGACTTGCTTTGCACATTCTGATTTCGAAATGCGCTTCGTGCGGCTCCGCGCCCGCCGCTTTAGCGAGCGTACTTATTTTCGACCCTCCGGAGCCCCAAACTGTTGGATGTTTCGTGACTTTTTACCTGTTCGCGCGCTTCTCTTTTCTCTTGTCTGACTTCTCCTTTGCTGACTCTTTCTCTTCTCTGGCTCTTCCTTCCTCTGCTTTTCCATCTGTCCATACTGTCGGAAGTTTGACTTCTAAACTTCCGCAATTTTTGGAATTTTGGGATTCTCTTGTTCTCAACAACTACTGCACGGCTGGGGTAATCTGAACAGAAACCAGGCCAAAACATAAGCCTGGCATGCCGTAAGCCAAGCTATCTTAGCCAAGTTGCAACTCACGGGCTAGGAGGCGCCGTTGGATCCCTGATTACATTCATTACTAAGATGTAAGTATACACACGGGAATCAAGCCTTCAGGGGGGAACAAGCAAAGAGAGACACGACCATCATACCGACTTGTGTGTGTTTTTTCCGTTTGCGCTAGGGGTTGAATTGCCTCACTTTCCCCTGTAATGACCACAAAATCCATGATCCCGTACTTGTCAGGAGGAGAAGCACGCAGCTACCAAGCTGATGGAAACGCAGCAGGCAAGGGCATTCTGTTTAGATATTTCCTAGCATGCACAAGCGACTTCAGACTTCACCACAAACGCTGTTTAGGGCAGGGGGGCTGATCAAAAATATCAAAGATGTGCCTTACGATCGGACTGGTTATTATCCCGGCAAGAGACCCCAAACAGTGTGGGGGGGAGCAAAAAGGTCATGAGTTTTAATGTTGTTGATGGTGATGATGATGATGATGGTGGTGGTGGTGGCGATGATCATGGTGATGGTGATGTTGATGGTGATGATGATGATGATGATGATGATGATGATGATGATGCGGCCAGCATTTTGTGCGAGCCTGCGCAGTCGAAACGCACATGGACATGTCACAAGGGGCATTTTTGCAGAAATTTACAGGGAAAATGCCGTACACGTATCCCGCGACCAGTGTTTTGTGCGAGCCTGCGCAGTCGAAATGCACATGGACATGTTACAAGAGGCATTTTGCGCGGAAATTTACAGGAAAAGTGCCGGACGCTTCCGATACCACCTCCGTTGAACACCGGCCGTTAACTCTTACTGCAAGAACCCCTCAGTGTGGCCGCACTGTTTGGGGAAAAAACAAGAAGATAGGAGAGGAAGTCAGCAACAAATGATTTGATCACCATGCGAAATTGCCGAACAAAAAGGCAATTGCGGCTTCAGCTAGGTTGAATCCACTTACACCTTCGCAGAGGGAGGGCGCCCTAAACGCAGCCAAGAACATGGCTTTTATGTGCCCAAAAGGAGAGAGAAATACAAAGTATGTGTTCAAGTGTTTTCTGTTTTTTTTGCGTGAGGTCGGTCTAAATGAGGCATCTAATTATCTGGATAGGGGGGCTGGTCTAAATGAAGGCCTGCTTCTGAATGATCCAGATTTCTATCTGGTCTTCATTTAGGTGCTTCCAGAAAGCCACCGCATCTACATAAGCCTGGATAATGCCATAAAAGGGTTTCTGATCGGATTTTGGGCAAAATTTGCCGAAATCGCCTTAAAATATGCAAGAAATTAAATTCCAAAATGAAGGTTTTCAAACTGGTGGAATTCAGGGGCTCCATTTGGATGAGGCTGGGGAAGCTGCGTCATCTAGATATGAAGTGTTCTATTTAGATAGGCCCTTTATCTGGAAGAGAGGTTCGTCTGGATAAGCCCCGCATCTGGATGAGTCTGGTGGGCTGTCACCATCGCACATTTTCCATTGATGTATGTGGACAGCGTCGGACCAAGCCTCAAGTCATAGCGCAGATCCATGACCCTTTACTTATCAGGAGGAGAACCAAGCAGCTACAAGGCTGTCTGAGACACGACAGGCAGGATCATTCTATCGTTGATGTAGCCAAGATTATCGAAGATGCGGGTTTTTGTGTTCTTTATTTTGTAATATATGTTGACTTTCTCACTCAATGGGCACTTGATGGCACTTGGCATTGCCAGATTGTAAGTAAATTCTTCCCGGTTCACATGGTAGCGTTTCACTGGTCTATGTCAATGCATTTGGTTTGATGGAGGTTGGTACTTTTCAGACAGTTTGGGCAAAGTTTCAACTGTGAACCAGTTTTCATCTTGGCTGCGTGAGGCTATCTCGAAAACTCAGGAAGTGACTTGCCTCTTTGTCATTCTTTGTCTGGTCTAGGATTTGACTAGGACTAAACATAGATTTCAAGGCATACATGTGCATGTATAGTTTTTATGAAATACACAGTATGGAATCCTATAGGCAGGCATGTCCTATTTGCAAAGGCCCGGGAATCAGGCAGACAGGCAGCCAATAGGACATTCAAGCAACAAGAGATATAAATAGATATATATTAATTAACATAATTATAGTACACCGGACGAAGCTAAATACAATGAGAAAAGTTTGCACTCCTTTTTGTAAAATCTCGTCATGCATTGCTTGCAGCACTGTTGCAGCTGGCAATTCGACCCAAGGCACAGGCGCAAGCCAGACTGAAAAGGCAAGCCGTCAAGCAGAAGGCTGGAATGATGTTGGCAATCATTCAATCCAGGCATTATGATCATATATGATCATTATGCATGTATGTGAAAACGGTACAGGCATGCGGTTTGTGTCAATGTGTGTCATACCCGTCATACCCCTACTATATTACTATTACTATTAGCATATACATGGTTTTTATTGATAGGTGCCACCTGGCACATGGTATGCCACACTGAAACCTATTTTCAGCCTCCTGCCTTCAGACCCGCAGGCTACCTCCAAAGTTGAGGAAGCAGCTTGACTCGTAGTCAAGGGATCGGGTTCGCAAACTTGAACATGAACCGGAGAGATAGTTCTTTCTGAAAAGCTTTGATGGATTTGACTGGACTATCTCAGATGTCAAGCTGCTACTCCATCTCCTCAATGTACATGACAACGAATTGACATCTCAAACTGCACAAGGCCCTCGAATTCCTTGAGTTCCAAGCCAAATGAGCATAAGAACTCGTGTATTTTTGTGGAGGACCTGCCTGCAGAACGATGCAAGTAGTGTAGCCTGTGAACAACTAAGGCCATGTCGGCCAATGAGCCGAAGAAAGAGAAGCTTGTCAGCAAATCAGGGTTTTCAAGTCTTGACCTCGTTAAGGCAAGAAGGACTAGAAACCTGCAATTGGATTGAGATTTAGCTTCAAAAGCCGATGATTTCGGCGAAATTGTGCGTTGTTAGGATGAAAGAGCATATGCAAGTCTCGGAGCTTTCGTTTGGTTGGCATTTGTCAGTTCATGTGCTTGGTCCTTTGGGTAATGGGACTTCTGCAAGCAAGAAGCCATGCTGTGAAAATACCTTTCCTATCCATCCTGATGCATCTTGATGCCTGCGGGAAATGCAGCGCATGCATTGCATGACGTCCCTGTGCTGGTCCTGCAAATCAATCCTTGACACGAGGCATGAAAGGCTGGGGAAAGAGGAGGCAGATAGTTCCAAGAAGGGACACCAGAAAGTTGCAACCCGGCATGAACTGACTGCGGAGGGTGGGCCGTGCTAAACGGTTTGACTGATTTCACGCATTGGCTTTCTGCTAGCACTTATCACCTGGAAGCACAAGCCCGGAGCAAACAGTTTTGCATATGCACCTTTGGATCAGTTTACTGGACACAGTTCCTGCCTAAATACTCATGGTAATGGGTTTTATTAGATCATATTAAGCATTTAGACCATCTTAGATCCATATCTAAAGGCTGACAACTGATACATCACCCTTGTGCGATTGTGTTGTTTCATGCCTTTTTGTGGCAAGGAAGATCAAGCCCGGCTGAATGTGAACCGCAGTGAAGCGACAAGCCAGAAGGCAAGTCCCCAGTAGCTTTCAGCTCCCAATTGGTGCAAGCTGCCAGTTGTTGCAGGGTATAGGTTGGAATTCCGCTGAAAATCGCTGAAAATCGGCCATAGGGCTCACTGCAAAAGGATTGTTTAATCCAAAAGAGCCATAAAGATCCATGTTTTTTAATGTGAAGTGCAGTGAGCAGACATAGACCGACATCATCCCATCATTCCATATCATTCCCGTAGCTGAGTTCAAAACTTGAAGGTTACCATGGTTACCGCCCCTGTGAGGAAGATATTCAATCCGCAAGACTTTCAGAGACTCTCAAGGTGCAACAAGAGCGCCCAAGCCGTGGAATCAAGTGTTCGGGGCAATGTGGGATAGATTGAGATTGATCTGGAATTGTTGTAGAAAGCGTGCAGTATAATCATACATTTTGTATCATTTTGTATATATATATATGCCTATATATTTAACCTATATTATTAATATATACACACATATAGGTTTTAACAAAAAATATGATTTAAATTACATTATCAGAGAGTAGTATAAGAGAGTAGTCATATGTGCGCGTTTCAATGCCTGAAGCACGTTGTGACAAGGCATCTACCAAACCTTCGGATGTTGTTCATTGCGGCAGGTCATAGCCAAAGCAGAGGCTGCAACTGACCTTGCAACTTGCCTTGGAGCCCTTGTCTCGCTATTTGCAATTTCTTGGGCATTGAGGCCTGCTAAGCGGTTCTCAAATGTGTCAACTGTATTCAACTGTCAGTATCTGTCAATAATGCAGTTTGGTTGCCCCATTGGCCCGCGCTGTCCCCAAATGCTAGGGTTGGTGTTTTATGTGTTTTTCAATGTGCTTCTTGATGGTCCTTCTGGCCGCTCTAGTCACCCTTGTCGGTGTAAAGCAGCTCAATGTCAATGTCCAAACCCACATAGACAAGTCCCTTTGCCACAAGTCACTCAGGCATCAGCGAAGGAGCAGCTGGGCATAATATCAGTCACCGATGTCAGAACTGCAGCAGCACATAAGCAATTTCCAGGTGATGTGTCTTTTTTTTACAAGTCGATTTAAGCGTGTTGCTGCTTCCAATGCTGAAATTTGTTCTTGATACAACAGTTTTGGCATGGTTGAGACACTTGACAGATCTTGACAGAGCCAGGTCCTAATATTCAAATCTGTTCACCTTACTAGCCCTGGAATGTGCTGGTATGTGAGGCATGCCAAGCAAGCACGGCAGCAACTTGCAACTTGGCAGCAAACTGGACTTCGGGTGCAACATGAGCTGTTGTTGGCATGTAGCATAGCAAGTGTGACGCCAAGCTTAGTGGCTTAGCGAAAGCGCTGCCGATTGCATTTCTTCCACGAAGTGAACCCTTTTGGATCAGTCAATAACACCAGAGCTGATTCAGCAACAGTGCGATTGTGTTGTTTCATGCCTTTTTGTGGCAAGGAAGATCAAGCCCGGCTGAATGTGAACCGCAGTGAAGCGACAAGCCAGAAGGCAAGTCCCCAGTAGCTTTCAGCTCCCAATTGGTGCAAGCTGCCAGTTGTTGCAGGGTATAGGTTGGAATTCCGCTGAAAATCGCTGAAAATCGGCCATAGGGCTCACTGCAAAAGGATTGTTTAATCCAAAAGAGCCATAAAGATCCATGTTTTTTAATGTGAAGTGCAGTGAGCAGACGTAGACCGACATCATCCCATCATTCCATATCATTCCCGTAGCTGAGTTCAAAACTTGAAGGTTACCATGGTTACCGCCCCTGTGAGGAAGATATTCAATCCGCAAGACTTTCAGAGACTCTCAAGGTGCAACAAGAGCGCCCAAGCCGTGGAATCAAGTGTTCGGGGCAATGTGGGATAGATTGAGATTGATCTGGAATTATTGTAGACAGTGTGCGGTATCATCATACATGTTGTACCATTACATATATAATTTATATTAATTTATATTATATAACGCACATGATACGTGTATATATATATAGACATAGGTTTTAACCCAAAAAAATGTGAGAGAGTAGTAGTATAAGAGAGTAGTCATATGTGCGCGTTTCAATGCCTGAAGCACGTTGTGACAAGGCATCTACCAAACCTTCGGATGTTGTTCATTGCGGCAGGTCATAGCCAAAGCAGAGGCTGCAACTGACCTTGCAACTTGCCTTGGAGCCCTTGTCTCGCTATTTGCAATTTCTTGGGCATTGAGGCCTGCTAAGCGGTTCTCAAATGTGTCAACTGTATTCAACTGTCAGTATCTGTCAATAATGCAGTTTGGTTGCCCCATTGGCCCGCGCTGTCCCCAAATGCTAGGGTTGGTGTTTTATGTGTTTTTCAATGTGCTTCTTGATGGTCCTTCTGGCCGCTCTAGTCACCCTTGTCGGTGTAAAGCAGCTCAATGTCAATGTCCAAACCCACATAGACAAGTCCCTTTGCCACAAGTCACTCAGGCATCAGCGAAGGAGCAGCTGGGCATAATATCAGTCACCGATGTCAGAACTGCAGCAGCACATAAGCAATTTCCAGGTGATGTTTCTTTTTTTGACAAGTCGATTCAAGCGTGTTGCTGCTTCCAATGCTGAAATTTGTTCTTGATACAACAGTTTTGGCATGGTTGAGACACTTGACAGATCTTGACAGAGCCAGGTCCTAATATTCAAATCTGTTCACCTTACTAGCCCTGGAATGTGCTGGTATGTGAGGCATGCCAAGCAAGCACGGCAGCAACTTGCAACTTGGCAGCAAACTGGACTTCGGGTGCAACATGAGCTGTTGTTGGCATGTAGCATAGCAAGTGTGACGCCAAGCTTAGCGGCTTAGTGAGCCTTTTGGATCAGTCAATAACACCAGAGCTGATTCAGAAAAAGTGCGATCGTATTGTTGTGTTGTTTCATGTTTTTTGTTTTTTTTTGGCAAGGCTGAAGAGCAAGCCCCACTGAACGTGAACCGCAGTGAAGCCACAAGCCAGAAGAAGGCAAGCTCCCAATTGGTGCAAGCTAACTTGCTGACGAGGATTTTCGGGAATGTTTCCTTCGGCATCATGCAGCCCTGTCAATCTCAGTTAACGCCGCTGCGACGTGTCTGAACATCATCTATGGCTCTAAGATCTGGCTATGTGTTTGCATCCCTCAGCTTGTCTAGTTGAAGTATTGCTGTGCAGGGGGAGAAGCCGACAGCAAAGCGTTTTGAGCTCCCGAAGGTGCCACACATGGATGTTTCGCATAGCCCAAAGTTGAGGGCCGTCCTGGTACAGGTACAGGAATGAATGCCTTGTCCCTCGTGGCCACGTGTTTTCATAATATAAACAAGGTATTAGAAATTATTAAAATTCCTTTGGGATCTTCCTCCAGTCAAAAACCTATCATTCTTTACAGACTTACTTGGTGCACTTTTGATGAATGCCGTTCTCTAAAAAGGATCGGGATTCTAATTCTTGGAGAATTTTGGTTTTGGGCACCAGGAGTTTGATTCTTGAAGGGCTTTTCTATATACCTCTTCCGCTGGTGTTTTCATGTTTAAATCCTTTGCCAGGCGTCCCTCTAAAGAATCCAAGGGTTCATGTTCGAGACTGAATTTGAAGAGTTATGAATCACATTGAGTAAATGGCATATGTTTTGACATGATTTAGGACATGGCATCACAGGACGCATGACATATTGCTGGGTTCAAACCCTTGCAGAACCGGCAGAACCTGCAGATCCCCCCACCTAATCCACCTATATATTGTCTCCTGTGTCCTTATTTATTGCCTCTCTTACAAGGCTGTGACCAACCAGAATTCCGATACTCTCCAAAAAGGAGGCTCCTGTTTCCCACCCAGCGCTCAGGCCTCCAAAGAACCAGCAGCAAAAGGGCAGAAGCTTTACGGCAATAGTCAGAGTATGTCATAGTAGTTTCTGTTTGCTTCCATGCAAGATTGAAACATATATCATATATTCGTTTAAAAGCATATTGAATCATTCTTGCCATTGTTGGCTGGTGTTCACTGATTACAAAGACGGCAGCGGCTGCCCAAAGGGGTTGTTGATCGATCCTGACCACATGTTTGCACTGGCCCTTTCCTTACCATGGCATGCCTGGCATGTTCTTCAAGGCGCCAGCTAGAAGTGAAGGCAGAAGCGCAAAAGGCTGAGCCAAACAAGGAGGACTGGGGTGGCTTCCTTGGACGAGAGCCGGTCACAAGGCACTCAGTCCTTCCATGTTGTTCGGAGAGCCTGTAAATGTCATTTTTGCAAGAGAGGTCTGCACAATCAAAGCGTGAGGCATAGATTGAAAGGCAACAACAACAACAACAACAGCAGCAGCAGCAGCAACAGCAACAGCAGCAACAGCAACACCAACAACACCAACAACACCAACAACACCAACAAAACCAACAACACCAACAACAGCAGCAGCAGCAGCAGCACCAACAACACCAACAACACCAACAACAGCAACAACAGCAGCAGCAACAACAACAACAGAGCCCCCGAAATTACGGGCTTAATCAAACTTACACTCCGTGGAACCGGTGTCGCAATTGTGACTCTTGTTGCGGCAGTCGATGATGATGGCCTTGGGCTCATGACCTCGCTTCATGTTGCAGGACCAGGATGCAGATGCCAAGAACAACAAGGTCGAACCATGTCGAACCACTGAGTTGGATGAGTTTAGGATGACTTCCAAGACCAGATGTCAATGCTGTGCTTCACAGTGACATGGCCAGCGGCATCCAATTCGCATTTCCTTGGGTTCACTTGGCCAACGGAATCCAATGGAGTCTTCCACAAACAGCCTAGATCAGCCTGGTTGATTTGGTCTGAGACACATTGAAAGAACCACAGCAGGCCTTGCTGAGAAAGCTCCGGCAGCAACTTGCGGAAGAGGAACGGAAGCTAAGGTGGGACGCAACGGGTATTGGCTGTTGGAGTTCCTTGGGCCTTGTATAATTGCCACAGGGTTGCCACAGGGTTGCCTGTCACTCTTCCAGGTCGCGAAACAGGCGCTCAAACGATTGGCAGCATGAAGTGACATCACAGAAAAATCTTCAATATCGGCTCAAGATAGCTAGATGGCTGTGCAACACCCGCTATGTGCTAAAACTGTGGCAGCAAGTGCGCTCGTGTTGGCATCTGGGTTGGGTGTTTTTGCGACTTCAACTGACGGCTATTTGTCACTTGACGATCGCCCACGTTATTTTTTGGAGCTGCAACCAGCTCCAACTCGCAAGATCCTTCAGAAGCGTTGCCAAGAAAGGGGGCTCAGAGTCTTGGCTGAGCAGAGCTTTATGAGGGTCATAACACTATTTTGATCTATTTTGATCTATTTTAATTTTGCAACGTGCCCACCAACAGTCACAACACTTAGGGTTTTTGTATGTTTTTGTCATGTACTAGGCATTCCTAGGGTCTTAGATTGTGAGTTTGAAAAAGGCATTGGCATGTGTTCCTGCATTCCGCGGCACATTGACAGATCATGTCAGATCGGAGGATTTAGTGGCACGAAGGCCCAACTGGCACAGAGACTTCAGGCCTTTGACAAGGCAACGCAGCTGCTGGAGACCAACGCGTTGGAAATGCAGAGGCTGGATGACTTGAGGTAACTCGCCTGCACACAGCTCCACACTTTTGGATCAGGCTGATTATGGTTTTTATTTTTAAGGTTGATTCAATTTTAACCAGGTGTTTTTCAATGTTCCAACTTTTTGTGTTATGGATATATCATGATATATTTGGCCACATTTGGTGTAGAGCCAGAACCATCACTGAAGCATCCTTAAAAGCTGTCAAGATGTTTGGCCCCATGCTATGGCCTCAGGGTCCTGTGGGGCCTCCTTTGTCGACGGTCCAGCAAGAGCATCGAAAGTTTGGAACTGGTCGACCTGATCCGTCGACTCAAGGGATTTCTCGCGGCAAATGGTGCTCCTCAACCTGGCTCACAGGCAGGAATGTGAATGTTGTGACATGGATTTGTTAAATTTTGTTGAGATTGTTTGTTATTGGACTGGATGCCTCAGTCACAGGAGCCGTCCAACCGTTTGAACTTGGCAAACTGTATATCTCTTTCATTTTGCCAGGTGGACGGCCACAAGCGGGAAAGACCACTCCAGCAAGCACGTGCCAGGCAGATTGGTTTCATGATGGCTATGGCAAAGCATTGTTCCTTGGCTAAGGTTCTTTTGGCAACCTGGCAGTATACTTGGAAACCAAACAAGAGAGAACCCAGCACACCAACATGCTGGCCCACCATCTAGACTTGCTTACAATCAACCTCATCATGCCCAAGAAAACATCAAACAGATACGATTGGGGGTTGATTTTAGTCTCCATGCATGGTCAGGAATGGTTGTAAAATACCACCATTTTGCACATCATATAGACTGCAGTAACCATATAGAAACATTACCGGTTCCAGAAGGACAGAACGCAGCATCCGTGAGCAGAGGTGTGCATCCTAATTCTTGAGGTCAAACATCCTTGAGGCAGACCTTTGCGAACCAAACTTGAGAACCAGACGGAAAATGCCGATTGCCACGCCCTCATCGGCCCCATATAGGACTCAGGACCTGAAGGTTTCGTGGCCATCTTGGGATGGATCGAGAGCGACAGGGGGACATTGGCGACATTGGCGAACACGAGCGAACACGAGCTCCTTGAATGGACAAAGTCCAGCCAAGATCGGTCGCTACAGGTTGCCTGGAAAAGGTGCTTTCTTTCGAAGCAGTATGCTAATGTCGTTTCACGGCAAGAGATTTGAAGATTCTCAGATCTGAGTACTCCCCAATCGCTGGACTTGTAGCAATGCAAGCGAAAGGTTGGAGAAGTGAAGAGGGAGAAGAAAACAACAGAAAACAGATCTCATAATCAGAGACCCCACTTTCCGGAGCATTTACTGTATGGCGCAAGTGTTTGCTATTGTGACTATTGTGACTATTGTGTGCCTTCCCGCTGCCATCAGGCCCAGCATAGTTGCATTTTTGGCAATGGCAGACATTAGTGACGAACATCGTCGCGTTGCCATGGCAGCTGGGCGAGACGCATGTGCAAACATTGAAGCCGCTTGCCAAACCAAGTGTGAGGCGACCATTCGAGTTGCCATGAAGGACTGGTGCTCGGGGTCACGACAGTGCCATGCCACCTGCATGTTGCGACAATTCTACACTCAAACTGGCGATTGGCGCTTCAAGCAAAAAGCAGATCGCTGTGCTGGCCGTTGCGTCGCATGGGATTTGTGCCAAGAAGGAGCTTCGAATTCAGCCGAATGGTGGCATGGATGGCAGTTTGTCAAGAACCAAGACATTGACATGAAAATCCTTGGGTTGCATGCAGAGCACTGCCCTTTGAATGGACTACGAAACATCTTCGAGCCTTCTTACATGCTCCGGTGCGGTGCTATTGTGCTGAAGCAGTCAGAGAACTCTCTCTCGGTTGCATTCCAAAGATTGCACAAATACTTCACTGAGATCTCTACAGCAGATCTGAACGAAGTGTGGCCAGCCCGGCAAACTGAGTATGTTTGCCCTGGGGTTTCAGTTTTTTTCTTTGCGTGCTCCTGGTCACTGATGAGTAGGGTATATAAACATACTTGTGGTAAATGATTCGTTTCAAAGCATCTTATTTGCTGGTCGGTGCGCGCTGTTTCTACCGTTTTTCACTAGAGAGCTCGCAAACAAATGGATCAACATGGAGGTTTCGGCACTTTCCAACATGGATGAACATATTTTTTCAGAGGGACAGGGTGTGTGAACCCCGAAGCAGCCGAGGTTAATAGTAAGACTCCGTCTTGAGGCCATCCTTGGAGTGATTGACAAGGCCCTGAGCCGTTGCACTTGCAGAGCGCAAAGGTTTGTCGACCCGTGGCACTTTGGGAACACGCGGACGTATACATGTTCTTCTCAATGTTCCAACCCGACAGTGACAAAACAATTGACACTGGCAAGAGCCCAAATCCAGATGGCATTGGACTGTTTAACTACTTCTGCCGTTCTCAATCATCTCCTGCAGAGAAAGTCACTTCAATTTGGTCTTTGCTAGAATGTGGTTGCATGCGGATGCTAAATGATACTAAAGTTGAAAATAAAATATGTGCATAGGCAATCATAAGAATCAGAATTTTGGGTTCAGAAAGGTTGAGCTGTTCTAGAGATGCCGGAGCAAAGTCCAAGCCGACTCTGAGTGGCTAAAAGCGCTAAAATTGAATGACGGCCCACAGGGTCACAGGATGTTCGGGGTTTGGATTGAATGAGCAACCGTCAATTCAATCCAGCCGTTAGCTGTGGGCGTCCATTTGGAATCTCCAGTCACCTTTGTGCAACTTGATATGACTTGTCAGTCCTTGCTGTTGTTCACCAGCATTGACGCTGAGATGATAACCTAAAACATCCTAAAACTATTGTCAATGCAAGCCATGCTAAGATGCAAGGACTGGAGATCTAATTCAGCTGCCTTTGAAAATTGGACCTTGACAGGTGCCAGAAGATGATCCAAAATGCTCAGCCGCGCCGCCCAATTATAGAATCTTATAGAAACAGAAACATCTGCCACTCTGTGATATCATGTGATTTCAATATAGTTGTTCATTCTGTTTAATTTTAACTACATATGTTGTCTTTTATTGTTTGTCGCCGGGCACGACAAAGACGTTCGGTCTTTGCAGACGGATGAAACATGGTATGAGACCAATGGACATACCTAAAACATCATATTTTGTCATACATTGGCCATTGTTGCTTCCATTGTGGGCGCAGGCAATGGGACACAAATCAAATGGAGCGGAGACAAGCTATGCATTTGGAGACACAGTAACTTTGAGGCATTGAGAGAATGGATGGGTACTTTTGTTTGGTGGCTTATTCAATGAAGTGGAATGGATTGGAACGGCAATTCTGCAGGTTTGGGGCCCAGAGAGTCATAGGCAATGATTGGACGTGGTAAGTCCCCATACTAGTGACACCAATCAACATCAACCAACCCGAGGTCAACACTACCCGAATGATCATGATTATCATCGATTATCATGAAGTATCCGGAATGCCAATAACAGCCATAACATGTCATAAATTGATATAAATTGTCATAATCTTCCAAGTACCCCCAAGTCAAAAGATGTCCTTGGCACTCCTTGGCAAAGGGCTCTGATGGGTTTGCCCCCTCGGCAAAGGTTGATCTCTGACAGCATTCGAGAGATCGGAACCCGCTGCCAAATGCTGGTTGACAAGCACAGGGCCTTGTTGGATGACAGGACAACACAACGCCAGAAGCACTCAGAGACAATTCATAACGGATGGGTTTCATTCCATTCCTAAAGGAATCTAAAGGCTAGAGTCTCGGCTAGAGCCTAACAGCTATCCACATCCTGCAGTAGTGTCAGTTTCAGATGATGGGAAGCCCTTGCCAGCTCAAAATCACCAACGTGTTACCAAGTTTTTAAAGACCAGCAAATCGTTGGGAAAGCTGAACATGTCAAGGATGTGAGCCACCAGGATTCTCATAGGGCCCTAGAATGGCTAAAACGTGCAGTAGCCGACTTAGCCGACCAGGTCGGTTTGTCTGGCCAGGAAGCGCTTGGAGTCGGAGGCCTGATGCATCCTGATGCGGTCGACGATGAGCTGAAGGCTGGTGCCGTTTGGAAGCATGACGAATGGCACCAAGCACTGTCTTCACAGCTGCCATGAGTCATGAGTGAAACTCATGACATTTGATTTGACAAATTAATACAAATTACATGTCTACAAACAGAAGATAGTTTGATAAATATCCAAAATTGTCTTAAACACATGATATTGCAATTATCAAGTCATAAAGACAGCCATGGAGACACAAAGAGACAAAAGAAAGAGAGAGAGAGAGAGGGAGAGAGATTGATCGGTTTGATGATGTGTTTACAGAGTTTACAGCTATCTCCCAAGAGCTGTGCCACAGGACATGCCTGAGATCTCCGATGCATCCCGACCCAGCACGTGAAGACTTGGGCGTGATTCCTGTGGGGCACAGTGGCACTCGGTGGTTTTGGACGAATTTTCATCTTGCCTTTGTTTCCTAAGTTCTTTTCCAAGTGTACGGATGTTTCAATAAATCACATTCATGTGAGGTGCCCTTCTTGGGTTCTTGAGACTGAGTGACTGCTCAATAGTTTTGGTAGTGATGTGATTCACAGGACTGGTCAAAAGTGCCACCAAAAACCGCACCTGGGCAATCTGGAAATGGGGGCCAAACTTGACTAATTAAATCTAATTAAGCTGAGTTGGGGGAGCATAACATAGCATAACTGGCAATGCCCAATGCGGCCTTTTTTGTCACCTGATCTCGCCGATGCTGTATGCACGCTCAGCTCCTTGCTGAAGTTGTTGAGGATGAGTCCAAATCGTTGCCATGACAGCCGGTATGATGCATACCTGCATGACACATGGCCTTGTCAGCCTTTGTCAAGATATGTGAATATGTCAAGAAAGATGATATTATGATATATTATGATATAGGTTTCTATGATTTTCTATGGCTTTCTTGTTGCTTACTTCCAGCATCTTCCAACAAAACAGAAAATGTTCCGACGCCTGGCGCCGTTCACATGGCTGTCGCCGGCGTCGCTGGCGTTGGCAACGGATTTGGCCATGGTGGGCCTTGGGACAGCGGGCATCAAAGAGGCAGATCGCCATGGCCCATACTCGTGCTCCACAACGCCATAGCCGCCAAATTCTTTAGGAATAGAAAAACATTATATATAAAAAGATATATATGTGTGTGTGTGTTGTATATGATTGTATGTATATATAAATATATATATACATCAGGACCGATCACTTGACTAAATCTTGGTGTTTGCTTTCGTTGGTTTTAGATACATTGTCTCGCTATGTCTCTGTGAAATCTGTGTGGCTCCAGGTGTCCACAATTGTGGCAGCCATTCAAATGGGCTACCGGACTTTGGACACCGCCCTGATTTACGGGTTCCTGAGCACAATCTGGGGATGAGACATGATCAGACTATCTCTGTGAGACTGCTTCAGTTAGAATAAACTTTAAGCGAAAAACTTAAATATTCAGTAGATGTAGTAATGTAGTACAACAATTTCATACAAATTCCATATCCAGATCTACTTCTGAAGCGAATGGTGTCAAATCCAGCGGGATATCTGGCTTGGCAACCCTTTCTGGTCAGATAGTTTTGGCGGGCACATGTTCGAAGTTTGTTTGCTGCAATAGCGGCATGGAAAATCCAAGGAATCACGGCATGGTGCGAGAGGCTATTGAAGAGTCTGGCATTCAGCGGGATGAGCTCTTTCTTACATCCAAAGTTGGCTTCTTTCCATCTTCGATGGACTTGCCACAGGACAGCCACGGTGGTGTCAAGACGTGTAGCGATGTTTACAGCATTTTGCAACCGAGGCACGAAAAGGCAAACCCCAAGGCCATGCTTCCCCACTTGATGTGTATTTGACGTGTTCAATCGTGTGATGATATGACCCATGCATATATGCATGGGTCAGTACACACACACACACATAATAAATATAGTCATGCACGCACAAAATTAACATATATTAACATGTATATGCTGACGTTCTACTAAGCAAGCGAATCCCAGCTGCTCCGGCAAGCCAATGCTATTGAGAGCAGTGATTCACCACATTTCACCACTCACAACGAGCTGCACAAGAGCTGGTGACCGATGCAGGAACATCAAGCGGCTTTTGGCGTCGCGACACTGCCGATGCCGGCTGACCTGCCCTTCCACCCTTTGAACGTCAAAGGCAAGGAGATCGAGGCACCAAGAGCAATCACCTTTCAGTATTAATATAGGATAGAAACATATAGAAACAATAGAATTATATAGAATTACAGGTTTGAATTACAGTTATTGATTGTTGTGAAATTTAGAGCTGTTAGGACAGGAGGAAGATGTTACAGTAAGGTTTGTCGCGGATCGTGATTCTCTAGCACGAACATGGAGAGGAGCAAACACGAAAAGTTGGAACTTGAAAATCAAACTCAAAACGTACTCTCCTAAATTGAAAGGAGTCTGCCACTCTGTGGCTGGCAAGTGGGTTGCAATAGTTAAGGGAACACTGGCAGGAGGCAGATGTCTTCAGACTTCAGGTTTGTGACAAAGCCTACAGAAAAGCAAGAGCACAGCAGCCGATAGCAATATGACAATATGTATGTAAGCCGCCCAACACATTCCAGGCGATTGAGCTCAGTCTGAAGGAGCTGGGAGTCGATTATCTCGACTTGTGCTTGATACATGTGCCCAACTGATTTGTGATCAGAGAGCCGTCGTGGTGGAAGAGGCAGGAAGTAGTAAGAAATAGCATTCAGACCAAGCAGCCTTCCGCACAAAGGGAAGAAATACAAGGATATACCGTATGGGGTGGGTAGCCTCTCCACACGTTTTTCAAGAGACCTGAAGAGGGAAATCCTGAATATTTATATGTAACATTATGTAACGTTGGAGAAACATCCCAAAAGAACCTGTAGTGATTTCTCCAATACAGATAATACAGCTAGTTGGAGTTTCCCTGGCCACTAATGGCCGGGGCATGACGAAAGGAAAGGCATGTTAGGGTCACAAGGTGCACAAGGCATGAAAACAGACCCGAAAGATCCCGAAAGATCAGAAAGATCCAAAGCCGTTGCCAAAGCCAATCCAAAACATGGAGCCGTTGCTAGCTCATGCCAGCTCCAGGTACCGGCCACTTCAGCCTTGGAGCCTTGGACCCGAACATAGTCGAACTGTGCCATGCCACAAAGACAGTGCGACGATGTCCCGTGGTGATTCTGAGGAACTTTCCGCCTCCTTCTTTCCACACCTCTATCACTATTGGCCAAAGATGCCCATGTGGACAGAGACCTCAGTGGTTGGTGCCCTGAAAGCTCTTGCAATGCAGGCCAGGGTGCTAGAGGCCTCGCCCTACCTGCCCCCCTCATTGCTCCCTCATGAGTCCTTGAAACAAATTGATATCTCAGTGACTCAATGCCCTTTGTTCAATATTTTCTGGATCAACTCCTGCAGCGCAAAAGGAATCAAAAGGAGTTCCAAGATGTTCCAAGAGCCAGATGTTCTGTGTTTTTCTCTTCGCAGGAGGTCAAAACTCGCCAAAGTCAAGCGAAGCAGGAGCGTAAGAGGCTTTGTGCTGGGATGTGCCGAGCAGTGGCTGATCATTTGTCTATCATTTGTTTTCCTTATTCCAACGTCCTGCAGAGTCGTGGTCAGGTCCTAGCAGAACATGGAGAGAGCCAAACGGCGTGGCCTTTGTAGACACATTGGTGTTAGTAATTATCCTGTGGAGTTCATGAAGGCCAGGAGCTGTCACCACATCAAAGTGCCGCTGTTTGGACGACGTTGGACGATGTTGGACGATGTTGGACAGTTTCTGGGCCCAGGAGATTGATGAATACAAGACTGAGCCCATCTACAATGAGCAACAAGAGCTGCATCCACTGGCGCAGTCTCGAGATGTCCAAGACTACGCCCGAAAAGCTAAAGTGTCATTGACTGGTTATGGAACAGGCAGGCTGCGGAGAGAGTTTCAATATTCCTTATAAAAAGCAGCAAACACACACACACAAAGCTTGATACAACCGTTTTTTTAATGATGTTTCATCAAAGAATATCAACCATCGGCAAAGTTCACACTTTAACAAAGTTCACGCTAGATCAACCTAAGACCATTTTTTGATTTTTTTTGCATAAAATGTCCCACCTTTTACATTCTGCACATGTGTTCTCCTTTTCACCGTCTTTTCTGCTGCAGGTGTGGTGGCCTCAGCGCCCTTAGCCAAGGACATCGCCCACAAGATCAACCGGACACCTGGGCAGGTGCTGCTGCGCTGGGCAGTGCAGAAAGGGATCCACGTAAATCCCAAGTCCAACCAGGCAGGGTCAGGGTGTTGCTATGTCGTTGCTGATCTCGTTCAAAGCTGTGATTTGTTGTTGGAATTGAGCCGTTGCTGTAATCTCATGTTCAAGTCTAGTAGCACAGTGCAATGCCTATGAGGTGTCCCGATTGAAAGAGAACTTGGAAGTTCTTGATTTTGCTTTGGACGATGAGGACGGCTGAAAATCAATTTTCCTTTGTCACAGCACCAAACATCAGCAAGCAACCATCATGCTTTCCATAGCAGGATTCAAACGGAAGACCTCATGGATTCAGGGCCCTAAATAAGTCCCCCAAATATCCCAAAATTATCCAAATAGATTCTTGCCGTACCTATGCAGATGAAGCCCAACTGACAGTTTGCCCAAACCACATTGCAAACCAGAACAGGTCAGCAGATAGATTCCAGACCTGCTAGTCACTGCTAGTGACTGCTATAGTGGTTTCAGTTTACCAAGTGGATCTCATTGTAAAAGAGGCGATCAACAGGTAGCATTTCCTGCAAGCACTGTGAGGACATGTCTGCCCTGGATGGCCTGGATGTGCCCAAGATCTTCTACTGGAATACGAGTGTCCTTGTACCCCAGGCCGCGGCCTAGGAGATTATACACATTTATAATCATTATGCATTTATGCACTATAATCATCGATAACTATTTGCTACAAAAAATAAAAGTGTGTGAAAAAAGGCGCGCACATATGTTATTTTTTGTTGGTATATATGTATGTAATGTAATGTAATGTTATGTTATGTTATGTTGTGGTATGTATCTATCTATCTATCTATCTATCCATCCATCCATCCGTCTATCTGTCTATCTATCTATCTATCTATCTATCCTGTCTATCCTATCTATCCGATCGATCGATCTATCTATCTATCCATCTATCTATCCATCTATCTATCTATCTATCGATCGATCGATGGATCGATGGATCGATGGATCGATCTATCTATCTATCTATCTATCTATCTATCTATCTATCTATCTATCTATCTAATCTATCTATCTATCGGTCTAGGTATCTATCTAACTATCTATCTAATTATCTATCCTAACTATCCTATCTTTCCTATCTATCCTAGCTATCCTATCTATCGATCTATCTATCTATCTATTCTATCTATCGTTCTTTCTATCTATCTATCTATCTATCTTTCTATTTATCTATCTATACATCTATGCATCAAAACATCTTCCCCATCTTTCCCATCGTTCCTATCTATTGTATTTATCCTATCTATCCTATCTATCCTATCTATCCTATCTATCCTATCTATCCTATTTATCCTATCTATCCTATCGATCCTATCCATCCTATCTATCCTATTTATCCTATCTATCCTATTGATCCTGCCTATCGATCCTATCGATCCTATCGATCCTATCTATCCTATCGATCCTATCTTTCCTATCTATCCTATCTATCATATCTATCCTATCTGTGCTTTCTCGCCTATCTATCCTTTAATCTATCTACCTATCTATCCTATCTATCCTATCTATCCTATCTATCCTATCTATCCTATCTATCCTGTCTATCCTATCTATCCTATCTATCCTATCTATCCTATCTATCCTATCTATCCGATCTATCCGATCTATCCGATCTATCCGATCTATCCTGTCCTATGCTATCCTATCCTGTCCTATCTATTTAATGTATCTATCTATCTATCTATCTATCTGTCTATCTGTCTATGTGTCTATCTGTCTATCTGTCTATCTATCTATCTATTTATCTATCTATTTATACAATCTATCTATCTATCTATCTATCGATGGATCGATCTATCTATCTATCTATCTATCTATCTGTCTATCTATCTATCTATCTATCTATCTATCTATATTTCTATCTATCTATCCTATCTATCCTATCTATCCTATCTATCCTATCTATCCTTTCTATCCTTTCTATCGATCTATCTATCGATCTATCTATCTATTTATCTTTCTTTCCATCTTTCTACCTTTTTTTTATATCTATCTATCTGTCTGTCTGTCTTTCTGTCTGTTTGTTTGTCTGTCTGTCTGTGTGTATGTGTGTGTGTCACTGGTGGAAAAGGATTGGTAACCAGGGGGCTATTCAAAATGAAACCTATGCAAGATGGCAGACAATGCCTGATTGGTTTCTTGGATCTATTTCTTTTTCTTTTGGAGTTGAACCTACGGGAGGCGCCAACAGGATAGTTGTTGCATTGGTTCCTGCATGTGATTTGTGCCTGCAGCTCGCTTGTTGCCGCAGGCGTCTGCAGCCAAAGAAGAGTTGTGAGCCAGCAGGACAAAAAGAGTTTGATTCTGGGGTTGCTTGCCAGCTGTTGTCAGCAGGACAAAAAGATCACAAACAGCTGTATTCCTTTGTATGTCATGAGTTGGGACTGACCTGGGCTCAATGGCTTGATGGAATGACTCCAGTGGATTTTGCTTGGTGATCGCGGAGCGCATTGCTAAAACATTATTTGGTATAGAATAGCATTAAGATCAGATAGATGCATTAAAATGACAATTGTAGTATAATATTGTATAAACATATTTGAGTTCATGGGTGCAGAGAGACTTCTTGGCAGTGCGCGATATTATGCGATATTAATGTGTTAAACATGATTTCATAGGCCACATCCAAGAATACAAGCATCTCTCCTGGCTGCGCGTGCACCGGACAGGGATCATTCCCTTCGAAGAATTTGTGTGTACGCTTGCTCATTCATGGCATGGCATCAAGAACACATAGCACTTAAATTTTGGAGTGGAATCTGCCGTTGCTGACCAAACAGCCTGCTGGAGGATCCCCATCAGTCAATTGTTTGCACTTACACAGATGAGTCGCGTGAAGCCCCTTTTGACCCCAGAGTATTGCTTGGCATGTTTGGAGGAGAAAAAGCAAAACATCAGTCATGGTGTCAAACTGACTTGCGTGTACTGCAGACTAATAGGGCTGCCAATTTGGCTTCACGGCACTTACACGTCGTGAGTGTTTCACTACGATGGATGGCAGCTTTGGCGGCCAGCGCAACTCTGCATCTGCAGGCAGTGAAGCAGCATGAACCAGCAACAGCCTGATGTTTCGATCATTTTCTGATCATGTTCTATCTGCTGCTCCAATCATGCTCGGGACGCTCGCTGTGCATTTTGCATCTCTTTACATTGTACGGCTGAGAGAGATGGCAAGCTATATCAGTCTTGCATGAACTTGAGTAGTAGCCAGAAGTTCAGCCCCGGATGTTTTCTTCCTCCAGTGCCTGAGAATAGAATAATATTCGAGAAGTCAGCAGCTTCACCTAAAAATCGCGTGGTGCTAGCATGCTGCTGAGGGATATTGTGCCCTGCAGGTGCCTTGCTCGCACACATTTGCAGGGTCAACAACTCGACATGTGCAAGGGCCAAAGCAGCCGAAGCAGCTTCGTCGAGGCTGGAAGAGCAGTACCATTTGCTGTAGATGTTGTTCGATTTGTAATGATAAAGTCTGTGTCAGCAGTCGCTTCAGAGTGGATTCGTCTCCAGGTGTCAATGGGCAACCAACCAACCAACCAACCAGCCAGCCAGCCAGCCAGCCAACCAACCAACCGCTCAAGCAGAGCAACTGCCGAAGCAGTGAGTCGCTTCCCCATGCAGTCCCCTGCACGTACAAAGACCGTACGAAGACCCTTACAAGTACTCGTCAGGGGTGGCGACAACATGCAAAGGTGGCACTGCCGGACACAGCAAGCAGAACAACAGCAGCCCAGCCCCAAACCCATCCATCCGCACCCCCCACACCCCCACACTGACATGAGCTGCTATAGGGACTCCAGATCATGTTTCTTTGATTTTCTTGGTATTTTATGCTATGTTATCCAAAGTTTTGCCTATTTGAGACCGGGTTGCCAGGTTGAGGATACTGTTGGACACTGCTTTTGTGAACCATTGACAGTGATTGCAGGTGACTTTTGTTGTGCTCCTCCTTGCCTTTTGTCCAATCACTGCAGGCGACTGGCACTTGCTATTGCGCGCTCGAAACCCGGGGGGTGTCAAGGTGTGGTTTCAGGCTAGCGGCTGGCAGAAGAGTTGGGCTGGAAGAAAACCTTCACCAGTTGATACATGCGATACATATTTGCAAACTCTGGTGTTCGATAAATTTCTCATGTACTACACGGTCTTTTGTTTGCGTTTTGGTTCAATGGCTTTCAGGCAAATCGTGCTGTTGACATCCTTTGCCAATTGGATGCCCTTGTTGCAAGTAAGTGCCACCTCGCAACGAATTCTACTAGTACAAATGTTGATATTTTTGTGCAAGTCTCCTTATGTGCTTGTTATGTCATAATTATCCAGTCACATGCAAATACGGAAACATACGGAAAAATGATCAAATAATCTCAAATAATGTTTATATATTTTATATTATATATACAGTTATATTTACCAAATATATATATATATATATTTCAAACATGTGAGAAATTTACAATCCTTCTTGCAAGTCATTGCAAGGTATTGAAGTGAAGAGGCAACCCACCAAGGCATGTCCAGCTGTCAGCATCCTTGCATCCAAAAGGCTTCGCCGAGGTGCCGTGACTAGCTTTTTTCCTTGGGGAATTGGTGAAAAAAAAGACCACTTCGACAGTGGAAAATGTCTCAAATGGATTCCAACTTGTCTCAAACTTAACTATCACGTTTTGACCTATCATGACCTATCTCAACGTATCTCAACCATCTGGTTGTGGTTTGATATATTTTTTGCTCCATGGGGAACGCTGTTGGCATCCAACAATCTCAGTCAATGTCGAAACAGCCATTGGAGGAGGCCACAGACAAGCAGAAGAGGTGACGGGCAACGTGATTGGCCTTTGGTGGATTCATTCACTGTTGTGCCAGCAACTTCTTGAGATGCACAATGTGTGTTTCATGAGTTTGTTATTATTATTGCGATTTGGTCCCACCTTCCATTGAAACTTTCAACCTGCAAGTTGGTAATTGAAAATGATTGAAAATCTGTTCATTACATGTGGTGCATATCATGTACAGTACTTAGTGGCCTTGGGCAGGCGTGCCGCTTTTTGGTGCCGCGCTTAGTGGAGGCCATGAACAACAAGGACAGATGTGGGCCAGCAACTGGAACAGTAGGATTAAATAGGAACCATAGGAACCATTGAGCATTCTCATCATTCTTTGGTCGCTTCTCCTAATGCCCAAGCAAGACCGAAATATAGCAATTCCATGAAAATGGCCCTGTGACCATGAGAAACTAGAGCAAAGGGATTAATCAATTAAATCAGCCCAGGTCCTTGCAAGTCAACAGCTGTTCACTTTAAATTGTTGAATCATCTTGAATCAGTATAGTTGCAAAATTGCTGGCCAGTCCGAATGCGCCCTTGACATACCTTGACTTGGTCCTACACCCTCGTCCCTTCCGAGATGTTTTCCCAAATCCACACCCACAGATTGACACCAGGAGGTAGCACACTCTGCAAGTACCGCTTTCATCCAAGAGGCATGGTGATCCTTGGTGATCCTTGACTATCAAAAAAATGTTTGATCATTGTGGCCTACTGTTTTCTTTGTGTAAAGAGCACTTGAGTATCCGCCCGTCGTATCTATGTAGCTGGATCCATTGATGCGCTTGGAACGGTTGCGCGATCTATATGTTCCATGATTTTTCTCGATTGCCAGAAACTGTTATCGGTTTTACGGCGAGCCAGTTTGCAATACTTTGCCAGGGTTTTGTGTTGTCTCGATATAGGCCGCCGCTGTGGTGGATGACATGCTGTTAAGCCCTCTTCTCATTCAGCTGCAGCTTCTGTCGAGCCGGTGAGACGTGTTGCATCATTTGCATTTTTGCCGGATAATGATACATGATGCGGTTCGGTGTGTTGCAAAACACAATGCAATCATATAATCATACTCTATGTTGTTTAGCACCTACCACAATGACTCAGAATGCCAAACAATGTACGATATGTTCCGATGTCGAAAGGAGGAAGTGGAATAGAGGGGCAGAGGGGTTTAATGGATGCTAGTAGATGACATGGGCTCCAGCAGGATAGAGTATGGTCACACTTTGGCACGCACACGAACGCAGAATACAAGGCAGTTGCCGATTTGATTTAAGCTAGTGATATTCTGCACACCCTCTGAATGTGTTTGAGTATAGTATATTACAATATATTCATATGTTTCATATGTATATCATATATCATAATATATATATATATACATATTCAGTCATATTCAGTATAAATTATTATTTTTTTCTTAGATTATTTCTATTTTGTGAATGTGTTGTTGCTTTTCGGGTTCTCGTGTTGCACAGTTGAACAGCGAACAGCTTTGAGTCGGTTTGAGCTTGGGGTCACCAAGGCCCTGGGCCGCGGCGCAAGGAATTTCTGGATGGCCTTGCGGACATGCGCAGACCAGGTGAAGCAGTCACCATGGATTCACCATGGATTCACCATGGATTCACCATGCTTAATGCAGGTCTTGCCCACCTTCCCAAACTCTGAACCCCAAGATCCACACATCATAAATATGTCATAACAACTCTTTACACCCCCAAAAAATGCACACCAAGATCAGTAAACCGCAAACAATTCATCAAACAGTTCACAACACCTAGTCACAAACTCCCAATTCGCAGGAGAAATCAGAAGAACAACTCACCACAGACACCAAGCACCAAAAATTCTAACGGATAGCAGCATAACCTTGCCCATCACAAGATATCACAAGTATGTTCCCAAATTTTATGTTGAAAATTAGATGTTTGGGGTGGTGGGTGTTGCAATGATTGGTGTTTGTAATTCTATGGCATATGATTTGATGATGTTTATGTTGTTTCATTTTGTTCACGGTGCAATTTTCCTGTTTTGTTGAGCGCATATAATATAGAATTATGTTGGATGATGGTTGTTTGGTTTTTTGATGAACTGTGTGTGTGGTTTGTTGTTATGATTGGTTATGTGTTGGGTGGTTATGGTGAGTGATGAAATGCCTCATGATTGTTTGCAGTTGATTGTTGTGCTTGCGTGTTGTGGTTTCTTGGTAAGCTGTTCTGGAATTCTGTGTTGAATGCTAGTTGGCCGCCAGGTCGTTGTGAAAGCCCTGCACGGACACGGCGGAAGCGAGTGCACCAGGCAAAGGATGAAACAGTCATGGTAGATTATCAGTACTCTAGCAGGATACGAGTCATTCTGCAATTCTACTTATTTGACTTTCTGATGAAACAATGTGCTGTAGAATTACACATATAATATAGATGAGTAAGTTACATACGTATTAAATCTTATTAATACGTACATATGTTAAGTGAACACAACGGGCAGAAGTTAGAAGATGACATTCCTTTCAACATGGTGCATTATGATGCATTGGGCCACCCATATGCCAGCTTGCAGTCAAGAAACATTTGCGGATGTTTGCGGCTTCCCGACCACAGCACGCTTTGTGTTTTTGACAGCCGATCTGGCAGCAATTCCATACTTTTTTCATACTTCCTTCATTTGTCAGTGCGGTTACGATTGCCATTAGTGCAATATGTGCAACTCCCACCCTGAGATAGTACGGACTGCACTTCACTGAGCTGTGCAACTGCCAATGTGCATCCTGTGTCACCGAGGCACTGCACAACCTTTGCCGTTATCTGCTAGACGACACTGAGAGGCTGGATTCACTCGCAAGTGTTGTCAGGGCCTTAATTCGTTGGCCCATGAACCACTTGAGTTCTCTTTACGGATCAGTCATTCCTTTTGGAATCCTTGTGAAATATTGTGAAATATTGTGAAAACAAGTTGGCAAGCAGGTTTTCCATGGTTTTACATTCATTGCATGGTGCAAGGACCAGCAAAACTGCACACACGAACCCTGTCAAATTATATAGTAGTCGTAGTACAACAATAATCATGACGATGATGGTGGTGCTGTTGCAAGGGCTAGCGCATGATGATGGTGGAGAAGGGACTGCGGAATTTTACTTTCAGCCGGCCACTTTCGAACGCATTTTGGCTTGTAGTTTCATGTAGTGTCTAGCTCCCCAAACTTTGTCAAATCGTGCCTGGCAGCTTCCGAAGAACTTCGGAAGAATGCCGCGCTATTCACTTGATCTCGACAGCCTGAGTGCCGATTTGGCATCAAACCAGCTATCCTCTTCCACGCTTGTGCAATTGTTGAAGGACATCTCTCCCAAAATAAAAACACAACAGGATCAATGTGGTAAACCCAATAAAAACCATCCCCCAAATCGCCATAACTGGGTGGTACGGTATAAATCATCCCCAGATTGTAGGTTTATCATCAAGTTGCCCAGCCTGGCCGAAACCACTAGGAGAACGTGGACCTTGAGAAGGCCTTTGGAATCAGTGCGCACTTTGCCGAGACAGTCCGTCTAACCTATGAAGCTTGATTGGGTAAGACTTACAGCAGTGGGTTTTGCCAAGTGGAGCTGCTTGAGATTACGCAGATTCTACGTTCATTTTAAACTATCCGATCCCATATTACAGTTATCACACACACGCACTGATTTTCAAGGAAGAGCTTCGAGATGCATCACGTATGGATGAATGCGACATGCTTTCCATGATCCTTTGCTGCGACGTGTCTTGGACAGCGTGGTAAATAATAGGGGGTCTCAAACCAACCTTTTCGACGCATGCTGCAGCTGTCAAGGCCATGTTCAGCAGCTGTTGATGTTTGGTTTAGATCCAATGGATTAAGCACCATTTTACACCCTGGAATCGACTGCCGAGACCATATCAAGATGCTGCGAGTCTTGCTGTCGCGATAACGACACATCGTCCACGGAACACAAGAAGGACAAGAAGGACAAGAAGTCCAGGCTCGCAGAAGTACCAACCCAGGACTGCACCTTGAGACTTAGTGCTTTAACTCAACGGTTAGAGTCACGGAAGCAGTCGGCCTCGGCAGAAATTGTCACGCGAGCATGGGCCAAAAGAATGGAAACAATGTCGTCTCATCTTACCAAGTTGGGGTTGTAAGGAGCCAGATTGCAATTGATAGCAATCCTTAGAAACACTATCAGAAACCGCAAACGCAACGTTTGCTCAATCAAACAAGAGCTTCTAGAGCAGAGAAGGCCTTTGAGCCGTAGAGTCATGCTGTTCCTTTTCTGTATCCTGCTGAAGGCAGACAAGATGCAACGAGTTTCTGTCGGATTTTGTGCCCCATCCAACCTACAGTATTCCAAGCTCGTCACCATTCGTCACCCTCATCTAAGTAGATCAACCATGATCAACCTATTTCCAGGAAGTGATGCATGACGCCCCCAACGAGATCCAGCCAAGTTTGCTGGAGCGTTTGGCGCAGCTTTCATCCGATGATGTGCGAAAGATGATGCATTCGAAAGGTGCAGGGAAGATGGAAAAGTTTGGCATGTTTCTCTTCAAGACACCCGGCTGCAGCATGCTGCAGCTGGACTCCCGGATCTTGTGCGCCGAAAGATGTTCGATTGAAACAGTGATGACATGGTGATACGCAAAGCTCATGGAGGAATCAAGGTAGACGAAGGTTGCTTCCCAAACATTCCCAAACTCTCCAACGATATCCCACCTTAGGAAGAAATTTGGTGAGGAGGAGACGAAGCACATGCAGGAATGCGCGTCACTTGGCATGCCCATGCGATGTTCCGAATTTAGTATTGAAAAAGATGGTCAATTCCTCAGGTACAGATGCAGGATGCAGCCATGGTGCTCCATGTTCTCAAAGGCTGATCAGTCAGAATCACAGGCAGTCTTTCAACAGCAAAGAATAGGTACTGTTTTCATGCTCAATGGTAGCGCTCTAGGCCTATTACATCCTATTACAATCTATTGCAGGCATTGCAAAGGGGGAGTGTCCCCAACCAAAAGCAACTGAGGGAGACCGTGAAGAAAGTTGGACCAGATCTTGTGGAAAAGGACAAATTGGACATCGACGATTTGGTGAAAAAGAAACTTGGTGACAAAAAAATAGAGTAGAGTTATATAAATTGGCACCCCGCCATCATGTTTTTGAATCCTGGGGAGTCCCATGTGACGTCACACACCGATATCCAGATCGATTCCATCGGTTCTCCAGCCCGGAGAAACATATATGATCATATATGGCATATTCATATATCCGTATATATATATAATTATATATATACACATATTATACATATACACATATATACATTTTACTATACACATAGATGCCAGGAAATATATGTTTTTTATGGCAAGGTGCTAGGGCAATGTGCAAAACACCCGCAGAATAGCCCCTTACATTTTTCAACTTAAACGCAGAGGGAAATTGTCCGTTATATGTTTATACATTTTTGGCTAACCCATTGTTTTTTATTACTCATTTAACTTATATTCTTTGGTGGTTTATATTTTGTTGAACCTCCCCAAAATGTAACTCACATGTTTAAGGTTCAAAGAGTTGGGGGAAACAAGAATGTAATCTTTCATTTTCCAGGTTCAAGTTCAACCCCCCCGAAAACGTTAGTTACATATTTTAAGGCCCAAATAACGGTAGGGATCAAATATGTTCAATTTGTTTGTATGGGTTTCTCACTGGCGGCAGTATTATTTGGCTGAAAGTGCCACGTTTGTCTCCTGGTGGCCATCAAACACCTGTATGTTCATATTTCTTAACACTCTTCCGTTTTGCCCTTGATCAGGACTAAGCAGGCCGACGTAAAGGCGTTCGCAAAGCTGATGCGTGTTCTGGGCACTGCATTTATGGCCAAACATGGCCAGTCGATCCATGAAAAAGGTCTTGATGCAGTAGGCCTCGGAAGCTGTGCTCATGTCTTTTGGCTCATGTGCAGGATAGTGTACTATAGCGTACTGTAATTGGTTTTTAGGTCGAGGTCAGTTGGTCTTTCTTCGGAGGGCATGAAGGCTATGGCTGGGCAGATTTCTTGAGCCTCACTTTTTTCAGGACTTCAAGGTACGAACCACAACAATTGCGACGACCTTCCTCTCCCTTACATTGCCATCGAAAGACAATGCATGAAATGAGGTTTGCAATGGTTTGCATATGTGAACATGAGGTCCTTTGCGCTGGTAGCATGAAGTATGAACTCGATCCCACTGGCCTTCATAAATGCGCTTCTTGGCGATATAGACAGTTAGATAGGTGAGTAGCTGTGAGTTAACTTGGATGATTCATTGGTGCATGTTTCACATTTTTCTATATTTTGTCAAGTGGTCGATATGGGTTTGTGTATACATTATTGAATGATTATTATATATGATATATATATATAATATTATATATGTATGTATGTTTTTTCTATGGTATGTTTTTCCTATGGTACACATGATGTCGGAATATCAGAAGTAGCAACCCCTCAAACCGCACCCCCAAATCATACCGCGAGTACTAATTACTTCCAAATCCGGACGCCTTATTTCAAGAAGGACCCACTTTGTTCCATCTCATTCGATCTCAATTTTGCACTGGAAGACATGAATTAGACATTTTGTTGGGTTTTGCATATGATTGAGGGCCCACTTTCAGCTGAGGTTTGGACATGTCCACCAAATCATATCCCGGATCAATTCCAAGCCATTGGCATTGAGATTCCCGCAGATGGTGAGAATGAGACGATGACACCATCAATGGTCGAAGCTGAGCGTACTGGCGATGATCTCGTGAAGGATGCAGACTTGGATCCCAAAAAGTATGACGCAGGGCTGCAAACCAGGGGACAAAATGGGACAAATATGAAATGATAACAAATGACGATTCATGAACAGTTTGGCCTGCCTCTCACTTGATCACATGAGGAAAAATCAAGTACATTCAAAAAGTGGAACGCCATGAAGTTCAACTTCCACACTGCATATACGGAGGCGGGATTTTTTAAGTGTTCGCCCTCGGGCCTGGTATTTTTCAGTGCCTTTGCATGTGTCTAAGTGGTTCCTGGTGGGTTGAGGCTGAAGAACTCGAAGATCATCAAAGACTTGGTCTATTTTGGTCCTGTGTTGGTTTGGCTGATTCAATCATGCCTTTCGAATCCATCAAAACAATGTGTGTCCGTTGCGGACAAACAAGTGCGATGGACGGAGGTCACAGCTTGCACTTGTTCCATCTTGTTCCTTTGTAAAGTCCAACAATAGTGCAATTTTTGCAGAGAAGATGGCAAGGCATGACTAGGAAGAGGAAACCTCGTGCTGAGATCCCGATGCCTCCATGTCATTCCATGTCCATTGGGAGCTGCAACGAGCATGGCCAACACAGCCTTTCCATTTTGCACTTTCTTTGACCTACAGAACCCCAGTTTTCCCAGCAATTGCAGTCCGCTGCGTTTTTTGCAAACTCAGACTCACATCAAGAAAAATCGTTAATCAGGATTTGGAGTTTTGCAGTAGCTCGATTTGTTGAAACATGGATCATTCCGACTGGTGGGATTCAAATAGCTTTGCATGGCCATGCTCAGATCGGTCTGCGTTGCAGGCGCCATTGAGATTGATGCAGAGCGACAGCCCTACAGAGTTTGGCCACGCTGTGCCGCTGTCATTTCGCTACCATGGGAAATGCCGGCCCATCGCCTTTGAACTGCACGAACGTGTTGTGTTTACCGGAAGTTCTCCAAAGGAAATTCCACCGGGCCAGCTTGTGAAGATCGAACGCCTGCCAGGCTCATGGTCGTTTAAGAAGCAACTTGGATAATGACAGATGAGAGACTCAGACAGAGAAATATTATACATATTTATAAATTATATGTATATATTACACGCGTATATACATGCATACATGCCATTAGATGACATTACATGGCATTACAATGCATTACATTACGTACAATATATATATATGCATATTCACGTCATTGTCCATTCAGTTCTGTTCCTCCAAGCATCTCGAAGCATTTGCTATCATATTTCCAGAAACTTGCGATAGCTGCGATAGCCTCAATCGAATTCAATCGACATAACGGACAAATCAGCAGACCATTTGTTGCTGTGAGCCAACCATGGTCACCACTTGGGGCAATTGAAGACTGCCCAACATGCAATCTTCACTCATGTTTGTTTTTGAGGCATGTCTTCACTTGCTCTGGTTTCTGGATTGTCTCTTGTTTGTTCTCAGGAAGTTGCAGAAAGACGAGCTGGAGGTGAAGTACAAGGGCAAGGCTTACAAAGTGAAGCAGAGTGACTTGCATCGTGAGCCGTTGGCAAAGCTCAAGGCGTGGTTTTGAGATTATTTTGGGCTTGGTATAGAGCAGCTGTTGACTTTATTGTATGGGCAGCCATTGGGAGATGGCAACCAAGGGGATCAAAAGAGATCAAAAGGATTTGCAAGGATTCAAAAGGGATCAAAAGGGCCTGTATGATCCTGTATGCTTGCAAATGCTAGTATTTGATAGTGCTGGCGGGTCCATGTTTCCATCCTGATTCCAGTGGAGTGGAGTGTTTTTGGCAATGACGTGGGAGGTGGATGAAGGTGTACAAGACTGGATGCACAGCACTGGCGATACCATCCAGGTTTCCCTGCCAGCCCTCCATGATCCCAGCACGAAGCAGAAGGACACGCTGTGGTTTTCTGTCTCTTCAGCCAAGAAGGAAGACAAGGAAAAGAAGGAAAAATGAAGGACAAATGAAGGACAAGTAGGATAAAATGATCAGGAACTTTGCTGCCGATCAGATCAATTCCAGCTGCCAAAAGGTGCGGCATGGTTGCTTGCTGACTTGAAGCGGTATCGGATAAAAAGGTTCCTGCCCCCATGCAGAGACATCCTGTTGAGTGCCAGCACGTCAGAAACTGTGGCAGACAAATCAGACAGATAAAGAGGTCACAATACAACGTCTTGATTTGATGCATTCACCACATTTAAGCATCCTTCAAGCGCGATATTCTCAGTTTGCCTGTGAATCAAGGCCGTGTGCGAAATGCGGCAATTTGTCATCGAGGCGAAAATGGAGTTCTTGTATTTTCTTGTTCATGAATTTAGCATTAATTTAGCTGTATCAAAACGTCTCAGTGTTGTTTATTGATTCCGTTGGCAACAGCTTGCACATACCCAACGCAAGTGCCTTTCGAAAGCTCTGTGAACGACGGCCCTCAAAAGAAAACGCTTCCAATTCCACCCTTTCAGCGGCTTTCCAACCTTTCTGGATATTGCTTTTCCATGCTTTTCCTAAATGGTGCGAATCAGGCACCTGTCGGAAACTCGTCGAAATCGCAGTCTCATAAACAGTTCTCGACAATAGCTGAACCATTTAATTACTGATGACCGTGTATGAAGGCTGTAGCCGCAGCATGCGGCAGCTATGGAGTAGGCCCATGGTACTCATAAGATCTCAAAAGCTAATTGCCAGCACATAAGTCGTTCCATCAAAACCGGAGGCAGGATGTGCAGTGTATGAAATGTATCATTCAGAATGCGCTTTTTTTTATCCAAATTTATTGTCTAATCATATAGAACTATCAATTATTGCGTGATGACTCACGGATTGGTTTAAATAGATAACGAGGGCTCCTGTGCCACTGCAAGCGCCAGAGTGCATTCCTGATTGCCTCTTCCGGTTTCAGTTTTGCACATTGCACATTGTGCGTGGCTGATGCGGCGATGCATCCAATTTAAAACTTTCTTGTCCGTCCTGGTCAGACATGCGAAGACAGTCGCATTGTGACAAGGTGATTGAACGGAAGCGCTACCTTCGTCGCCTGAGCCGCCGGTTCGGTCAGTTGCAACAGCAGGTGCTACGCCGACGGAGAGTCAACGGAATTTCGGCCGTGTCAAATAAACCTCCTCGTCAGCGCACTACTGCAACATGCAAAAAGACATTTCAAGAAAATTATTTTGATGCATGCAACATGATGGAGCAGGTGAAGGGCAATACCAAATTGATTATACCGACATATACCAACTATACGGCCCATTTAATTTGAGATCATTTGAACATAGTGTGGCCACAAATACTTGCTATATAGAATCCTACAGATCTCTATACAGACAATAATTTTAAGATATCTTAATATATCTTATATATTAAATTATATATGTCTTGTTACAAACAACACCACTTGACCTCGCGAGGTGCTGCGCAGCACCAAAGGCAGCAGGCATAGTCTGGTCAATCTCAAGCTGACTCATCACTGGTCCCACTCAGTTGAATTTGTATGAATTTGTGATATCAGCCAATTGACAAAGCCGGCCTTGGAACTGCAGTCCTGATGCGCAACTTGCAGCGGCGTACCGGGATGCTGCGCTGGGGAACATGCGGAAACGGTCTGTAGCTCAGGTTTGCTGCATTATCTGCATTATTTAAAAAAACTGGTGCAGGAATAACAAGTGTTGGTGTGTTCTTGAGCTCAGGAGCTAGTTTGCAAGAATGCCAATTGGATGAATTTGGCCGATGTCCTCTCGTTATACTTAATCTTGCTGGCCGCGTTTCCCGCATTCTTGGATTCCAGGTGGAACGTTGCCTTCCATGAGTGGTGTGTTCAGGTGGGCAAAGCCGAGTTCGTTCGGCAATTTTGATATTCTTGATCTAGGCCCTAGGCAACTATTGGCTGCTCTTATTTCGGCGGGCATGCTTCGGTTCTCTTCGATTGTCTTCCGTTGAGGATTGGACCAGATCTGGGAATAGTTTGGTTGCAGAGTTGCAGAATGTTTCTGACAGCATCTGACAGCATCTGACAAGGCCATCGAGTACTACTATCTCCTGGACACTGAGGTGCAACATGTGCAACTCCTGGGCAGTTCCTCCTAGCCGCTCGGGGTCATTGTCATGTCATGCAGCTCAAACACAAGAACAATATGAAGAATCAACAATGTTGATCAATGTTGTAGCATGATATGCATTATGTCAATGATGTGGCAAGTTTTGGCATGTTTTAGCATGTTTTATCTGCCTCATGTCATTACAGCCACGCAAAATATTCAAAATTAATGAAAATAAAACTTGTTGGGCATTTTGCGGCCTGATTTCCCATGTCATCCCCAGCTGCTGCCTTTGATGCTCCCAGCTTCGAGAACGTTGGCTTCATGGCTCTCGTGGGGATCGGCCGCGGGCGGGGACACTCGGACTAGTGCCACCATTGTCGGACATGCATCCATCACAGAACAACGAGGATATGTTCTGTGACACGCTTTACAACTGCAACATTGTTCACAACTTTATGCGTTTCTTTCCGGACAGTACCCAAGGTCACAGTTATCAGCGAAGCACTTCGAAAGGCACCATCTTGTGGCAGTTTTGATGATTTTGAAGTGCGCATAAACGTTTTGCAAATAGTGGAGGCAGCGCCTGGCACTAACAGGCATCAGTTGGCGCAGGCTGCGGGACGGAACAGGTATGCCAGTTGCGATACAGCGCTGCGATGTATGTCATGTACTATGGTTATCTATGGTTGATATTGATCATTTGACATGAGCCACCACAAAAAATCTGGGCAGTAGGAAACATGTAAGGGACATGATATTGGTTTACAGAAATATGCAATAGTGAACATGAGGGCGATGGGACCTTCCGAAATAGCGATGCTTCCCTGTGAAGATTATGTCATACCTGTGAACATACATACATCGGTTTCCTTTGAGCAACGATACTCGAATATTGTCATCCATTATTTTTGTTCAAACGCGCAGTAAGCGATTGGACCTTCCCAAATTTGTTGATGTCCTTTTCGCGAACCTTGAGTTTGCGAGATTGCTCATATAATCATATACAGTAATTAGCATTATATAGCATAGGATGAGACTGAATCTTTTCGCGTTGGTGGAGGGAATCAAGTGTCCGCCCCTGTTTTTTGTCCATGTTGCTGTTGTTTGCACAGAAGGCTTTGCTCGTGGAAGAGCTAGCAGCAAATTGTTCTTTCAAAGGCACGAACAATTATATACGAAAGTGATTTGAGTCGTGCAACTATATGCAACTCATGAGGTTTGCAAGACCCTCAACAGATGGAAAATCGCGGAATGTTCTTCTTGTCTCCTTATGTCTCCTTTGTTGGCAGGAATTGCCCACTCGTTTGAAGCTGCTGGATCTTGGCAGCTGAGCGACCCCCAGAGTCTTTTTGCGAGCCTGCGCTGATTTGCCCTACGAAACCCTCAACGGTGGTCACGAGCAATCACCCCATGATATCCATTGATATCCCATGAATCCTCGGAGAGAAATGCGCCAAAAGACATTTCACGCCTTGCTGAGGCGCAAACTACTTTGCTCGTCTCGTGCCTAGCTTGACAAAGTGGAGAAACGAAAGAGTCCGAGAGCCTTCAGTTCAGAACAAGACATCGAGTAAATGATTGGCAGAAACTGATGGTTGAAGCATTTCTTCCCCCCTGCTTGACGTTCAACAAAGAGTCACTGAGCCTGACCTGTCTGAAATGCCTACGGAGACCTTGGAACCATTTTGAGCCACCTTTGATATCAGTGTTTAATAGTTTTGACATGTCGTTATAATTCGTTATTTATATGTTTTTTAAATGTTATTGCCAAGTTATTGCTGTTTCATGCTCCATGATCTCCACGGCGAGGCCACAGTACCTTTGATGTGACGGCCTTGGATTTGGCCCGGGAAGCTCAGCAGCGCCCAAGGCATCCCAGGGCCCCGGTCACTGCAGGGTGCGCGATGCCGAGGCCCCTGCAGAGGCGCGACGGGAGGGGTTGAGGCGTTGATGGTGCATCGCGACACCATGCGACACCTTGAAAAGAGTGTGACATTCGGATTGTGTCTATTGATGTCTTAGTGTGGTGTGTTGTGCTTATGTTGTCATGAGAATTTGTGGGACTCTGCTATACGTATATATAAATAATTACATATATTATATATATATTATATTATATAAATATAGTCTACGCATTTCCATCCTACAATGTCTTCTGTATGGCATTTCTTTCATGATTTGGCGATATATTGATCTGTGATATCTGGGTGTTCAGACACCCTTTCTTCCTCCAACTGGTTGTAGCGTCACATGATAAAGAACACGGCAAGCCACTGATTGATCCCAAGCCCAAGACCTTGGCCAATTCAAGGCTCCCCAGATTCAACATGCCCATTCAATTTCATTTATCATTCAACATATTCAGCGGCATTTCATCGTCCGAGCAATCATTGCCGTGATCACAAGATATCACAAGCACTGGAAAGAATGCAGAAGAAGTCTGGGGCCGGATGTTGTCAATCAGCATCATTGAGCACACAGGGGACCGTTGCGGTGCATTGCGCTTCATGCTTGTCACATGAGCTCATGTGACGACGTGAAGGATAGCGTTCTGCAGTGCGACGTGCTCAAATTGAAGATAGGCGTGAGTCATTCGAAAGTTGGCATGCATCACCCAGTCATGACATGTTGTGAAACATGTTGTGAGTGCTGTGCAGTTGTTCCATGTTGTTCCCATTCACGGGTGAAATGCAAAAGTCGTTTTCCCAAACTCAAGGGTAGTGGCCAAATATGGCAAAACTGTCAGCTCCGATCCCAAAGGTCCAACGGCACCGCTTTGTGCAGGTCCTGCAGGGAGCGAGCCAGTCGCGGAGGCCACACTGCCATACACTAAAGATGGCATCAACTTTTTTTACGGTTGCAGTCCGATGCCTGGGCCAGGGCTCGCACTTGCACCAATTGCCTGCTCAGGCAGGCAACCTATCTAATATTCTCGATGGAAACTGAGAACACCCTCTTAGTTCAAGACATTGGTACTCACTCTGGATTGGACCAGTATTAATAACCTTCTACCAATTTGGCTTGCAGAACTCTCATCATGTGTTCCGCGGTTCCAATTTGCAATTGTTTCCTGCCGCAGGGCTTTCAAGTGGCTGTTTTGGCACTGCTTCTTTCGTGCTCCGGCTGTGCAGGGTTGTTCGCACTTCTGCGTGGACTTTTCTAGATTCTAGCAGGCAGAAAGGGAACAAGGAACACACGACAACAATGTGACAAGGAAGGGTGGAAAGGTATTGAGCCAAACCTCACCTATCAAAGCGTCTTTGGAAAGTTAGAGGGTATGAAAAGCAATGGAGTGCATTCACCGTCCGTTTTCTTCAACAATGCTTATACCCACAGAACGGGCTCGAGAAACCCCACTCTGCAGCTCGTTGAAGCCTTTGGCTGGAAATGCCATGCGCAACATTTGGTGGTGCATTTTCATATTTCTTGTGCCTGCCTGCGGTTCAGAGTGCGTGTCAATGGTGCAGCGGCAGGCACTACCTGTGATTCCAGCGGGCAGGCAAAAGCCAAAACCCTGGGAAGTGAACAACTACATTGTTGCAAGCTATCATAAGGCTGGGGTGACCCTATCAGAACACCTGGCGTTGAAAATTCTCAATATTCTTGGCGCTCCGATGGAAGTTCTTGGTCATGTTGAGTATCCCTGCTACAGCTTGAGGAAAGACGGCTTGTCACAAGTTTGCTACAATCTGGATGCACCGTTCCGACTCTATACTGATTCATTTAATGCCTCCCTGAAATCTGCAGAACAGAGGAAATCTGGAAACAAAAAGGTGCTTGTGGCCGGTCTTGTGAGGGATCCACTGGAAATGGTGGCTTCCGCTTATTGCTACCACCACGACGGCCAAGAGTTTGGTAATTGGCTTTTTCCGGTGCAAGACATCATGCAGATGGGACCGGAGGAAGGAACGGAGGTGACAGCCAAAGCTCTTTTGCCCTTGGCGGAATGGATGACCAGCGTGTTTGAAAACCCAGACAACAACACTCTCCGATTGGAATTTGACGATCTAACCAAGTCTTCTGCTGGATTTGATCTAGGAGTCCAGCGTTCCTGTTTGTTGCACCAGCACTTCCTGTTTTTTCTTGTTGAAGCCATGGGCAGCCACGGGGATGTTGGGGAGGATCTCGGAAAGTGGGAGAAGGTGAAAGGTTTTTTGGGGTATCAAGTGCAGATTGCTCTCGAAGAACAAAAAAACAAAACGGATTCAGCTAGTCTGCACTTCCTGGGGCTTGGGCCTGGGGCTTCAAAAATGGAGAGCTATTTATTTTGGTATGTTATTTTCCGTTTTTTTTTTGGATGTCTGATTCCTAGCTTCTCTAATGTCAACCCTGGATTGATAAACCATGGTTAATGAATTAATTCTGATGCTCTTTATTCTGATGCTCTTAATGTTTGAGGGGGGGTTATTAATCCGATGTTGACATTAGGGATATTAGGGGGGTACTCCAATAGTCATAATTACTCTAATACTTAAATGGTACCCTCCCAATTAAACAGCCTAGGGGTTTATTAATCCAGGGTTGACATTGCCTTACTGCTTTTCCCTGCCTCTTTTCTGCTTTTCCGTGCTTCTTTGCTTTCGCTTTTCTGCTTTCCCCTGCTTCTGCTTTTCTGCTGTCTGCTTCTTTGCGGCTCTGCTTCTCCGTTTTTCCTTGCTTTTCTGCTTCTCTGCTTATTTGCTTTTCTCTTTCCCTTCTTTTCCGTGTTTTTTTGTTTCTCATAAATAAACCCTAAGAAACATAATTTAAATAACCCAAAACCAACCCCCAAAAAGAATAACTCAACTCTAAGTAAAGCCCAAACACACCCTGAATCAATCTGAAACTAAGTCCAAATAAACCCTAAACCGACCCTAGATGGATCCCAAACCAACCCCAAATAGATGTTAAACCAAGCCTAAATAAACCCTATATAAACCAACCAGATTCTTAAACCAAGCCTAAATAGATCCTAAACGTTCCTAAACCAACCTATAAACAAACCTCAAACCAACCCTAAATATATAGGTCTTAAACCAAGCCTACACAAACCTTAAAATTAACCCTGCATGAACCCTAAACTAACCCCAAACAGATCAGATCTTAAACCAAGCGTAAATAAATCCTAAAACCAACTCTAAATAGATCCCTAACCAATAAAACAAGATGCAGCCCACAAACCCGAATGCACACGCACGTATGATAATGGTACACAAGTCGAAACACATAGACAGGAAAACATCACAGATGTGAAAGAGTGTGGAGTGTAAAGTGTGGAATGTAAAGTGCGAAATGTAATGTGTAAAGTGTGGAGTGTAGAGTGGGAGTGTACAGTTTAGAGTGTGGGGAGTGGCCAATTAAAAAAACAAGATGAAGCCCACGAACCCAAATGCTCACACGTATGTTAATGGTACAGATGTCAAAACACATGGTTATGCAGTCACGCACAATACCTTTCTGCAATAGTTTATTTGAACAGTCTTGTACATGTTTCCCTTGTTACCAGTCTGCAGTGTGGAGTGGAAAGTGTAGAGTGTGGAGTGGAAAGTATAGAGTGTGGAGTGTAAAGTGTGGAGTGGAGTGTAGAGTGTGTAAAGTGTAGAATGCGAAGTGTAAAGTGTAGAGTGTGGAGTATGGAGTGTAAAGTGTAGAGTGTGGAGGAAGAGTGTGGAGTGTAGAGTGTAGAGTGTGGAGTGAGGAGTGTAAAGTGCAAAGTGTGGAGTGTGGAGTGTAAAGTGAGGAGTGTAAAGTGTGGAGTGAGGAGTGTGGAGTGTAAAGTGAGGAGTGTAAAGTGTGGAGCGAGGAGTGTGGAGTTTGTAAATTGTAGAGTGTGAGGTGTGAGTGTAAAGTGTAGAGTGTAAAGTGTAGAGTGTGGAGTGGAAAGTGTAGAGTGTGGTGTGTAGAGTGTGGAGTGTAAAGTGTGGAGTGTAAAGTGTAGAGTGTGGAGTGTGGAGTGAGGAGTGTAAAGTGTAAAGTGTGGAGTGTGGAGTGTAAAGTGTAGAGTGTGGAGTGTGAAATGTGGAGTGGAAAGTGTAGAGTGTGGTGTGTAGAGTGTGGAGTGTGGAGTGTATAGTGTAGAGTGTAAAGTGTAAAGTGTAGTGTGGAGTTTGGAGTGTGAAGTGTGGAGTGTAAAGTGTAGAGTGTTGGACTGTGGAGTTTAAAGTGTGAGTGTAAAGTGTGGAGTGAGGAGTGTAAAGTGTGGAGTGTAAAGTGTGGAGTGTGGAGTGGAAAATGTGAAGTGTGGAGTGTAAAGTGTGGAGTGAGGAGTGTAAAGTATAAAGTGTGGAGTGTAAAGTGTGGAGTGTGGAGTGTAAAGAGTGGAGTGTAAAGTGTGGAGTGTGGAGCGTAAAGTGTAGAGTGTGGAGTCTGGAGTGGAAAGTGTAGAGTGTGGTGTGTAGAGTGTAGAGTGTGGAGTCTGGAGAGGAAAGTGTAGAGTGTGGTGTGTAGAGTGTGGAGTGTGGAGTGTAAAGTGCGGAATGTAAAGTGTGGAGTGAGGAGTGTAAAGTATAAAGTGTGGAGTGTGGAGTGTACAGTAAAGTGTGGAGTGCGGAGTGTGGAGTGGAAAGTATAGAGTGTGGAGTGTTGAGTGTAAAGTGGGGAGTGTGGAGTGTAGAGTGTGGAGTGAGGAGTGTAAAGTGTGGAGTGTAAAGTGTAGAGTGTGGAGTGTGAAATGTGGAGTGGAAAGTGTAGAGTGTGGTGTGTAGAGTGTGGAGTGTGGAGTGTAGAGTGTAAATTGAGGAGTGTAAAGTGTGGAGTGTGGAGTGTGGTGTGTAGAGTGTGGAGTGTGGAGTGTAGAGTGTAAAGTGTAGAGTGTAAAGTGTGGAGTGTAGAGTGTAAAGTGACGAGTGTAAAGTGTGGAGTGAGGAGTGTAAAGTGTGGAGTGTAAAGTGTGGAGTGTGGAGTGGAAAGTGTGGAGTGTGAAGTGTGGAGTGTAAAGTAAGGAGTGTGTAGTGTAAAGTGTGGAGTGTGGAGTGTAAAGTGTAGAATGTGGGGTGTGGAGTGTAAAGTGTAGAGTGTGGAGTGTGGAGTGTGGAGTGGAAAGTGTGGAGCGTGGAGTGAGGAGTGTGGAGTGTGTAAAGTGTAGATTGTGGTGGGGCGTGTAAAGTGTAGTGTGGTGGAGCGTGGGGTGTAGAGTGTGGAGTGTGGAGTGTATTGGTGCGCCAGCCACACAAAAGAACTTTCGACACGGTATAAAACAGGTTGGAATGTCACAAAGTGCCACGCCTGCCACGCAAAACGACATGACAACCTGCCTGGAAACATTCGAAAAGGAGAGGTTTTGCAGCTTCCCCCATAGACACGGCGACGCAACAGGAAAACCAGAGACTCGAGACAAGACCCGTAGGAACATCAAAACCAGCATTCCGTACGAGACTTCCTCCAATTTTCACAGTTTGAAACATGCCGAAAGGACAAGTTTTGCAGCTTCCCCCAGAGACTCGAGACGAGCCGCGTGGGAGCACCAAAACGAGCATTTCCTGCGAGACTTCTTCCAATTTTCGCACTTTGTAGCTTCAAAATCGACGTTTTCCTACGAGTTTTCCTAGGAACCTCTAAATTTTGCTACCTCAAAATCGATGTTGCGTGCGAAGCTTCCGTCAATTTTCAGCACATGTCACAAAATGCCACGCCTGCCACGGAATTTGCACCTTGTCGCCATTTAACGCAGCCCTGCCAATGCGATTTGCAAAAAACACGCAACGCGACGCATCTAAAGTGCTGCGCGTGCCACGAAAAATGACGATGGACACGTCCAAAGTGCTGCGCCTGCCACGAAAACTGCAACACATCTTCTGAAAACGTGGCAAAAGTATTGCGCCTGCCACGCAAAACGACTTTCGACACATTGCAGAACACGTCTGAATAATGTCACGAAGTGCCACGCCTGCCACGCGAAACGAAGCAACGACACATTGGAAACCTCCAAAAATGACCACCTCTGCAGAACTTCCCATAGGCAACGGAGTTCGTACGGACGGTTGCGGACGGTTGCGGACGGTTGCGACCACAAACGCAACGTCGAGCGAACACACCCTCAACCCCCAGACCCCCAGAGTGAAACGGGAACCCTTGCTACGCATTCGGGAAAAGCACTGAATAAACTCTAACTCTAAAACCAACCCTAAAAAAATCTTTAAAAAGACTAAAACCAACCCAAGAAAAACCGTAAACTAACCCTAAAACCAACTCTAAATCAACCCTAGTTGCAAACTACCATGTTACTGTACATGAACAGTTCGAGCACCAACATGTTGCAAATACCATGGAAAATGAGGGGTTCGAACTCAAAAATGCTGCAAATACCGTTGAAGCTTCCAGCTCCAAAATGCTGCAAATAGCACCAAAATGTTGCAAATACCATGGGAAAGTAGTGGTTTGAGTTCAAAAATGTTGCAAATGCCGTTAAAATGGCAGCTTCCAGCTCCAAAATGTTGCAAATAGCAAGGAAAATGGACAGAACAGGAAACGGTCAAAAATAGGCCGGCAACGGCTGACAGTTGTTTCTTGCATTCTTCTTTTCCCAGTCTCATAATATCTCATAATGATCATAATAAGCCGGCAAGTGCGATCTGGATTCCAGAGATATTTGGGCCGTTTTGCTGTTGTGTTTGAGCACCGTGTTTTATCTATCGGTTTCGATTATTCGATGGTTTTGGTATGTTTTGGTAATAATCAATATAGTAAAAAGATGCATAGACGAGTATCCATCATGACGGCCAAACAAGAACACGAAATAAACAACACACAACCTGCACAATGGACTGAGGTTTGCTGGATCACTTCTTTGGTGCCGGGACCGATCTCATCTCCAAACCTGAGCGCTTCCACATTACTGAAGCAGCCAAAGAGTTGGACGCAAATCGGAATCCAGAGGCTACGACGGTGCGTAGCCCGACATCCCACCGATTCAGGGAGCACAGCAGCAACCCCGTTTGCAAGGAAGTCGCACATTCAATCTTGCATAAGTCTTTGAATCCTGCACTTTTTGCACGCTACAAGGAGTCTTGCCAGTGAATAGGAGTTGTTTGTTTGTTACTTTATGTGTCACCAGATGTCATCAGTCAGGCCCGTCAGGCCAGTCAGGCCAGTCAGGCCAGTCAGGAGAGAGTAGAGTGTGTTACCCAGATATGCTGTTCATCGAAACACCATGAAACACCCTTTTGAATCCTTTTGATTCTCTTGTTGAGCAAGGATCTACAGCGGCGGCTGGGCTACCCAGTCCACGCGATGTAGGAACTACTGAGCCTTTGGAATGCAAGCAATGCCGGCAACAGCGGCAACAGCCGCGGTAGCCACGTTAGAACTGCTTTGGTATGATGTCAACATTTGCACTTTTGACAGGGTACAAAAAAGGCGCAGAAGTCCCGTAGCGAGGTTGGGCAGGTTATTTTACTCCAGGTGTGGGTGAAAACAAATTTTGCCTTATGAACGCCATACCGTTTCATCCAGAATGTGGGAAAGCTTTGATAGTTTCTCCAGGTGGTAAGTAGCATTCAAATGCCCTCGGATGCCTTCACTTTTTTTAAGGAAAGGCGAATCTTTTGGGTGTGTTTTCCAGTTTTCTTTGGCAATGGTTTTCCCGCTTTTGGGTTTCGGTGCTAGGAAGGAGAAAGGGAGGAGAAAGGAAGGAGGGAAGGAAAGGCGGAAGGATACATGCATCTCTGTGCAAGAAATTTTGTGTATAATGCGTGAAGGGTTTTCTGCCCACGTAAATTTTCTCTGTGTAAAAGTTTCTGCGTGCAAAAATTCTGTGTGCTACAGCGCCTGTGAAAAAATGTGTGCGTGTGTGTGTGTAATCCGCTATAGCATGTGGTTTCCCTATGTACAGATAGCAGGGGCAGATTATCAGAGTCTTGACAAGATGTTCACGTGGATGCATGGTCTGGCAGTCATCCACCAACGAAGACGCTGCCTTTCCATGGTGATATGACAAAGGGACGCCTTTGTCACGTACCTGCTATCTCAAACCCAGTTTTTGCAGTTTTTCAAGTCGTAAACTGAAGGTGTCATGTGACATACATACGCGATTTCGAATTCACTACTTCAGGCATCTTCAGGCCTCGATTCCTTAGGTCTCGCTTTTTTAGATCCTACAAGGCGACTTGCAGCACATCATTGTTACCTTTCTCTTTCAACCTTATCACCAGTGTGTTTGGGCGCTTGGCCTCACATGGTCGCACCGTCGGCTCCTTTCGGGGAGTCCGAGCAGTCATCTCCGGTATAGATTAAAGGCAACCACGTAAGTGTGAAAAACTAGTTATGTGGGCTACCAGAGAAGCTGCCCCCAGTATTTTGGTTGGGTAAGCAGATAGAGCGCCGGAATCACTTTGCTGGGTAAATTATAACGACCTCACTACGACCTCACTGGGAATCATGGTTAGTAAGGGGAATCATCCCCAAATGGCCTTAATTCAGGTTGGTGAAGTATTATAATTTACCCAGACTTTGTGACGAGCAGAGACTAACCAAAAAAAAGGAGACGGTTCATAGAACCCACAGCAGACGTTTTACGTCAAGGAGTAGGTTCACATTTGAACCAGCAAGATGGTTTTTCACAACCACAGAATCTGTGATATGGTGCAATGTCCCAAACTCAGTTGTTTCAATTCGACGTGATGAGTTGTTTCTTTTCTGCATGCAGAAGCCAAAAAAGTTTTAACTAAGTGTACCCAGAGATACCCTGATCTGGGATATGTTAGCTATTTTTGGGGGATAGATTCAGCCAATAACCACTCACATATCTCAAAACCACACATCCTCTGAACAACACGGACGCGTTAGGTGGACGCTTTCCGAGGCCAGTCATCCAACCCTCGCTAAATGCAACTGGTTTTTGGAATGCACCCCCAATCTTCCTGCCCACCCACGAGCATCATCTATGATGCGCTCTTCCGGAAGGAGTTGGGAACCCTTTTTTCTCCACCATTTTGTTATCAATGCGGTCTTTGATTTGAGCCCTATTGGGGTCTGGAAATAAGGATGCTGGGGCGTCCGGGGCAGTAGTCTTCTGGCAGTTTCCCGGAAAACCCCCAGAGGGGGGGGACAACTTTTCCACTAACATGTCCATTCTGGATTTTCAAGTAACATGTCTCAAGTATAGGGCATTTATCATAGCCTATGTTCACAGCAGCTAACGTATCCCAAAAAAAAACACAAAAAAATTGGACACGTTTGTTCCCTAGAGAGTATGTTTTGGAAGGAGTTTTTTGCGTGCGCTACTTGCCTTTGGAGAATGGGATGTTTGTCTCCAGGTTTCCTTTCGGGCCTCACTGTCGTTTAGTGTCCTTTGCTGTCCAAAGCGTAAAATAGCAACGCAATGCATGCTGAGAACCTTGCGCGCACCATTCAGGTACGCACTTGTCCTTTGAGAATGCGAAGTTGTTGAATTTTCTTTTGTTCACTATGCAGCGTTTCCATGATTCATAAATGTGTTGACATGTCGATAGACGGGCTCGAGAAACCTCACTCTGCAGTTCGTTGAAGCCTTTGGCTGGAAATGCCATGCGCAACATTTGGTGGTGCATGTTCATATTTTTTGTGCCTGCCTGCGGTTCAGAGGAGTGCGTGTCAATGGTGCAGCGGCAGGCACTACCTGTGATTCCAGTGGGCAGGCAAAAACCAAGACCCTGGGAAGTGAACAACTACATTGTTGCAAGCTATCACAAGGCTGGATTGGTTTTATTAGAAACCTTGGTTTTCAAAATTCTTGATATTCTTGGCGCTCCAATGGAAGTTCGTGGTCATGTTGAGTATCCTTGCTATAGTTCAAGGAAGGACGGTCTGTCAAAGGTTTGCTACAATCTGGATGCACCGTTCCGACTCTATACCGATTCATTTAATGCCTCCCCGAAATCTGCTGAGCAGAAAAAATCTGGAAAGAAAAAATTGCTGGTGGCGGGTCTCGTGAGGGATCCACTGAAAATGGTGGCTTCCGCTTATTGCTACCACCACGACGGCCAAGAGCTCGGAAGCTGGCTTTTTCCGGTGCAAGATATTATGCAGATGGGACCCGGGGAAGGAACGGAGGTGACGGCCAAAGCTCTTTTGCCCTTGGTGGAGTGGATGACCAGCGTGTTTGAAAACCCAGACAACAACACTCTCCGATTGGAATTTGACGATCTAACCAAGTCTTCTGCTGGATTTGATCTAGGAGTCCAGCGTTCCTGTTGGTTGCACCAGCACTTCCTGTTTTCATCTGTTTTCTTTGTTTCAAGCGAGATGCTGGGGGAGGATTTTGGAAGAGAAGTGGGAGAGGGCACGGTTTTTTATTTGAACTAATATTTTGCTATCAATAATCATGGAATGTGGAAGAGCTCGAGCTGGATTGCAAAATTATTCGGACCATGTTGCCGTTGTTTCTTGCGCACTGACCATACTACTGACATATCTACTGACTGTCATATTTGTTTTGTCTTGTAAAGACAAGCTTTCTGACACACGAGTGTCCATCATGATGTCATGATGGCCAAACAAGAACACAAAAGAAACAACACACAATCTGCGCAATGTACTGAGGTTTGCTGGATCACTTCTTTGGTGCTGGGACCGATCTCATCTCCAAACCTGAGCGCTTTCACATTACTGAAGCAGCCAAAGAGCTGGACGCAAATCGGAATCCATGGGCTACGACGGTGGTTAACTCGTCCCACGAACTCGCGGAGCACAGCAGCAACCCCGTTTGCAAGGAAGTCGCACATTCGATTTTGCATAAGTCTTTGAATCCTGCACTTTTTGCACGCTACAAGGAGTCTTGCCAGTGAATAGGAGTTGTTTGTTTGTTACTTTATGTGTCACCAGATGTCATCAGTCAGGCCCGTCAGGCCAGTCAGGCCAGTCAGGAGAGAGTAGAGTGTGTTACCCAGATATGCTGTTCATCGAAACACCATGAAACATCCTTTTGAATCCTTTTGATTCTTTTGTTGAGCAAGGATCTACAGCGGCGGCTGGGCTACCCAGTCCACGCGATGTAGGAACTACTGAGCCTTTGGAATGCAAGCAATGCCGGCAACAGCGGCAACAGCCGCGGTAGCCACGTTAAAACTGCTTTGGTATGATGTCAACATTTGCACTTTTGACAGGGTACAAAAGAGGCGCAGAAGTCCCGTAGCGAGGTTGGGCAGGTTATTTTACTCCAGGTGTGGGTGAAAACAATTTTGCCTTATGAACCCCATACCGTTTCATCCAGAATGTGGGAAAGCTTTGATAGTTTCTCCAGGTGGTCCCTGGGAAGTAGCATTCAAATGCCCTCGGATGCCTTCACTTTTTGTTAAGGAAAGGCGAATCTTTTGGGTGTGTTTTCCAGTTTTCTTTGGCGATGGTTTTCCCGCTTTTGGGTTTCGGTGCTAGGAAGGAGAAAGGGAGGAGAAAGGAAGGAGGGAAGGATTCAAGGAAGCAAGGAAGGAAGGGCATTATATGATAGAGAGAATAGTTTTACATATATATATATAATATGCATGTATGTATAATATATTATATAATTTGTAGAACCCCCATTTGGCTTAAGACTGCTTTTGCCGTTTTGGTGCAGGAGGGGGTTCTTGCCGATCCATGGATCCAGTCGGGATCCAGTCGGGCACCAATGTCGGGAGGCAGCCAAATTCATAAAAAACAGCACGTTTGCAGGGTTTTGGCACGTTTTTGGGTGATTTTAGCTACTTCCCGACAGGTCCAAACGTGGTGCCAAAAACTTGAAAATTGGTGCCCAACTACGTCCCGACTGGATCCCGACTGGTTTTCTTCAAAAAAACACCTATTTCCCAAAATTTGAGCGCCTATTTCTGAAATTTTAGCACCTTGCCGTGCACCACCCCCCCCCTTCCTCCCGACCCCCACCCCACCAGTCTTAAGCCAAACACGGGCAACTCAAATTATAATTTGATAACATACGCATGATAAGACAGACAAGACAAACAAGAAACGATAGATAGCAAACATTTAGGTAAGATAAGACTGGACAACTAGATAGGTACTTAGGAAGACGGATAGATAGAAATGTAATAGATCAGCTTAGATAAAGTAAGACATGACAAGACAGATTGGGTAAGCAGCATGAAAAAGATAGGAACATCAAGGGAAAGAGTGGTTTGAAAAGATAAGCCAAAGACAACAAAAGCAAAATCAAGATAAAGCCCTCAAAAACAGGGAAAAGGAACAAAAGATGAAAAGAAAAACGCTCAGAAAATTCAGTCGAAATGCGAATATTAAACAGTCCAGGGTGCTTGCCACTGCCGAGCCCACTTCGCACAGACATGTCATGATTGTTTGGCAGTTTCAAATACCTTTCCAATGAACCTCATAGCATAGCCCAAAAATCATTGGTGTTCAAGTGACAAGTATATATATATTATATATATATTATATCAATGGGGCATAATGGGGCTCCCAACATCGATAACAGCCAGAGCCGCCTCCAAAAAGCCAAAGTGACTCGCGATTGTGCGGCGCAGAATGTAAGATGCGCGCTGTATCATTTGCAATGCTGTCATACAGCTGTCATAGACTGCCTCGGCAAAAAAATAATAAAACCATTGTCAAAAACATTGTTAATTTGCTTGCTTTCTGAAAGGGGATTGCATCCCCCCTCTTAGTTGGAGTGCCAATTACAAGGGATCCCTAGTGATGGTGGGATGACCATGCCCCATATACATCATTATACATCCATGTACCATGTTTTGACCATGGCACATATATGCAACTGCTTTGTGCAGACACTACTTTGAGCAGGAAGCTGGTACATTGTTGATGCGGCATGCACAGTTCCAGGAGTTGCGCGACGGGAGTTTATCTTCCAACCACTTTGAGGATATATGACGATTTTGATTGTTTTAAGAGTCCGTTCACATGATATGTCTGATCCTTTGCTGTCCAAGGCGTAAAAAACAAAAACATATATATATAATAGGTAAATATAATCTTACGCAACCCTCGCGGCCTACGTTTGTGCGGTCACAGTTGAAGGCATCAGGGCACGTTTTCTCAGCGAAGAGATGTGTTGATAAATCAGAGCATTAAAAACTATTGCCAGTTGAGAAGCCGAAGAGGTTGAATTTGGATAAATTTGGTATTGTTCAATGTGCAGTGCTTCGATGATCCTATCACTGAAATGTTTTGACATGTCGATAGACGGGCTCGAGAAACCTCACTCTGCAGCTCGTTGAAGCCTTTGGCTGGAAATGCCATGCACAACATTTGGTGGTGCATTTTCATATTTTTTGTGCCTGCCTGCGGATCAGAGTGCGTGTCAATGGTGCAGCGGCAGGCACTACCTGTGATTCCAGCGGGTAGGCGAAAGCCAAGACCTTGGGAAGTGAACAACTACATTGTTGCTAACTATCACAAAGCAGGGGTATTCCTGTCAGACAGCTTGACAAGGACCATTTTCCAGATCCTGGAAGCTCCAGATGCAGTTGTTGGTCATGTTGAATACCCTTGCGACAGCAATAATCCTTATACCTGCTGGAATATGGAGGCATTCAATTCCTCAGTGAAATCTGCGGAGCGGTTGAAATCTGGAAGGAAGAAGCTGTTGGTGGCTGGTTTCGTGAGAGATCCCCTGGAAATGGTGGCATCGGCCTACTGCTACCACCACGATGGTCAAGAGATGAGCAACCAACTCTTTCCCGTGAAAGAAATCATGCAGATGGGACTAGAGAAAGGGACGGAGTTGACAGCGGAAACTCTTTTGCCTTTGGCGGAATGGATGGCCAGCGTGTTTGAACACCCAGATGAGGACACACTCCGGTTGGAGTTGGACGACCTCACCAAGTCTTCTGCTGGATTTGATTCTGGAGTTCAGCGTTTTTGTCAGCTGCACCAGCACTTTTTTGTTTGAACATGTTTGAACCCTATTTAGATCTATTTAGGGGATGTTGTAGAATATTTAACTAATTTTGGAAAAGGAGTGAGCTGGTGAAGATGTGTGAATTTGGCATCAATGCATTTGTTTGGGTCAAAAGATGTCAAGAGAGAGAGAGAGAGATATATATATATACAGTATATGATATATGGTCCGCAGTTTCCAGGGATATCATGGGATATCTATGAAGGCAACTTTGTTGCACTTTGTCTTTGGACCCGAGGTTTGCTGGATCATTTCTTTGGTACCGGGACTGATCTTATCTCCAAGAACGACCGTTTCCTCATTACCGAAACTGCCAAACTGGCGGATGAAAATCGCAATCCACAGGCTACGCAGGCGTTCAATGGGAGTACTTCCCAAATAGTCGAGCACGGCAGCGACCCTGTCTGCAAGGAAGTCGCACATTCGATTTTGCATAAGTCTTTGAATCCTGCACTTCTCGCACGTTACAAGGAGTCTTGCCTGTGAATAGGAGTTGTTTGCTTGTTACTTTGACATACGTTGACCATGTGTCACCAGATGTCATCAGTCCTCACTGGCCAGTCAGGAGAGAGTAGAGTGTGTTACCCAGATATGCTGTTCATCAAAACGCCATTAAACACCCTTTTGAATCCTTTTGATTCTTTTGTTGAGCAAGGATCTACAGCGGCGGCTGGGCTACCCAGTCCACGCGATATAAAAACTACTGAGCCTTTGGAATGCAAGCAATGCCGGCAACAGCGGCAACAGCCGCGGTAGCCACATTAAAACTGCTCTGGTGTGATTTGGCATACTGATACTGTAATTCATGTGAGAATGTTTGAGCTTTTGAAAGGATTGGCCGTGAAAAAAGTGCGCAGATGTCAGCACTATATAGCAGCATCACATTCCTGATGGTGGTCTTCCAAACACGCTTGATGCAGAAAGTGTGGGTTCATTTTGTTCGTGATTTGGTGTGGTGTATTGCAGACTTCAACACCAGCATGAGCCATGCCGTCAAACACTGAACTGAACAGGTCGTGCCAGAAACTTTGGATGAATAAAGAAACCATCCCAAAAGCAGACGAGGTACATGCCTGATCCCAGCAGCCGTGCCAATGTCATTGCCAAGGCTGGGCAACCTCTGAATTGTTGCGTTTTTCCGTGTAGAGATTCTTTGCACGTGTTCAATTGTTGGTTGAGAATGGTTGAGAGCTTTATTTTTTGTTGCTTTCGGCTTTCGTTAATGTTTTATGTTTCCATGATCAGCAGAGTTTGCGCGGCCAATCCTGAAGTGTTGAAATTGGAAACCACAAGGTGCGGAGGTTGCTTCCAAGTGACCACAGCGGGTTGCTCGTCATTGCGGACACTGCGGCTTGGCATGACCTTCGCATGCCTTGCCGGCTCATGCCACGACGATCCAATTATGAGCTTTCCATGGTTTTCCTTTGTTTGCCTCAAATCTGGAATCGCAAATGCATGCAAATGCACGCTTTTTCCTGGTACATCATCATGGTTTGTCATCATTGTGATTCATGATTATTGTGGCCATCAAAAGAATAGTGGCATCTCCAATTTTGAGACCAACTGGTACACATTAATCATCATTCATCGCCGCTATCTCGCAAAGTCCAACATAGTACCTCCATTCATCCACAAGTTCTACAATATCTCCATTCACGTGAAGACACCTCATGACTTCATTCATTCATTGTGCTCAAGTATGTTGGTAATATTAATATATGGTAATAACATGTAAGAACATTACGTAAGCTGGTAAGGCAGAGGGAGTAGGCACGACCTGGGGGCTTGCTGAGGTACCAAGCATCGGGAGGCTGCACGTGGAACGGAGGATGTTTTGTAGTATTGGTGAAATTCAGTCAGCTGAGTCAGCTGTCAGAAAAAATACAGGAGAGAGACATTCATGACAAGTGGAACTTATGATGCTTATGATGGATGCAGCATCAGCAAGCATGCTACTATTTAATGAATCATAATGACGCGCATGCAGCTTCACAGGCTGCACAGAAAGATCACCACAGTGCACATTTTTACGACATGACATAATCCAATTGTTGCCGAAACAGCCTCACTTGAAGTATGAAAGCATATTGAAGCTGCCAAGTTGCAGGAAGGTAAAAGTTTCAGCACGTTTCGGCTGCCAGGCATTCAGAAGGACTTCCAGAGTGGGTTTCCAGTGTGGAGGCCTGGGGTCTTTCGAAAGTAGTTGATGCCAGAGCAGGGCAAACATATCAGCATTCAACAACACGCGTAAATGGAAGCAAAATGGAGCAATAATATGAGGCGGTTGATATTAATTATATTGGGCTGTGTCCCTCCAGGATTGGGGAACATTAGGGACATGAATGTCAGTTGTGGAAGTCGAGAAGAGGGTTTGAGATGTTTGAGGTTTGAACGTTCTGGTGGATTGAGCATTGGAAGTGCAAGGCGAAAATGAAAAAATCCAGCATGTAGTGTAGTGCAATGTGGTGCTATCACCAGCCATCTAAGGTCCTAGTCTAGGGGGATTGGTTCAAAAAGATGTCCATAGATAGTTGAGTTAAGTGTGGTTGAAGGCCAAGCTCATGTCGGAACAAGATCTTGCGAACACTCCCATGACAAGGCGCAAACACGGGGCCATATTGGGCGGCGAAAATGGCAACACGTCGCAGCGCCAGGCAGCTGGTTACCGTTTGCTGCAAGATCCGCAGATGCATTTCTCCAGAAAGCGAGATGTCAGGACGCACAGGGGTCGACCGGGTCGGCTCAATATGGCAGATTGCGCCTGCACAGCGACACTTGAGGCTTCTGAGCAGACAGATGTATCACCCGAGTCGGCCTGTTTGTCCTGTTTTTGGAGCACATGCGCATAGATTTTCCAGGAAATTGTAGGAGAGTGACTGCTGATGCTGAATTGCTGCGAACAGAGAGGCAGTCTGAGTGTCTAAGACAAAACAGAATTCCGTTTCCTCTATGAAATAGAATGATTTGCTTTGAAGTCCAGCCTAAGCACTTATTACCTATAGGACAGGGCTTGGAAGCTATGAGATGCAAGATTGATCAAGATTGGCTTGCGCGAAAATTATATGGAGTTCCGATTTTAGCGATTTCAGTTGGAGTGAAGGTTGCTTCATTGTGGAGCCCACGCGAAACCCTTTGCACCCTTTGCCGGCACCAGGACTGGGGTAGTGAACCGTGCAGCGTGCTTCTCGTTCGCAACGGCCCAAGTTTCAGGCAGGAAAGAGCAATGATGTGAAAAAGCAAAAGCAAAAGTACATAAAAGAAAGGAGAAACAAACAATACAAAGTCCATACAAAATCCATGACTTGAGTCATTCTGCAATATTCTGCATCCTTGTAGGTCCTGGAGAAGTTCTTTTGAGAGTTGGAGAGGGGTTGTGTTTTTGCATGTTTGGAATTGATGTGTGATGAGCATCCAGTGCGAACATGCGTAGCCATGTAAAGAGCATGTCAGGGAGTTGTTCGCGTTTGCGAAAGAGAGAGAGAGAGAGAAGTGAGGATAATTATGATAAGTGCATATTATGTACATTATATTACATTATGCCAAAGTATGTGCATTCCAGTCGTCAGGGCCACTCATAAATACTGAAAGATGCGGAGACTGTTTGGCTACAGGTGAGTCCAAAGTAGAGCCTTTACCTGGATTACGCTTGCTGCAAGACGACAAGTCGAATCAGAAGGCCTGAACGTTCCTTTTGGTAGGTTGGCAGAGGAATTGCCTGCAAGTTTGATTGTTCAGGTTGTGCTGTCCATTGTGTACATTGCGGTTGTCATCTGTGTGTGACCGCTTGGGAGCGAGCACTTGTCAACTGGTCCCTCAGGATCCTCAAGACTTCGAGACCATGACAGGTTCTATGTAGCACTTCTAGGTCTGTGGTGAAAATGAAGCCGACATACTTGTATGGGTGGGCCATCATGCGAGGCCCCAACAGCCTCAAGACGACAGCAGCAGCGCCTTGGGAGAAGTGGGAGAAGACAGCGCGGAACGGAAAGAAGAGCACCTTGCAATTTGCTTTCATGCAGTATCATCCAGTACTCCATCTCTTCAGCCTCAGAATGAACCGCCCATCAGCTTGTCACATGGTCTTTTTTTTGAGTTGATGACGTCTTTTCTTGTGCCTTATAACTCGGTCAAGTACATGCTAAGAAGAATAAACGGCATTGGGATGGAATTTGGAATGCGAGCAGGTTCATGCACAGGGTGTGGGAAATTGCAGGAAGACTTTTTGACACGTTTTGGATTCTCTCACATGCCACCTAAGCTAATCGTTTTGCCAGCCGTTGTCTTCATGGCATATGTTATGGCGTCGAATAAGAACATGGGGTGTGATGAATGATGTGCTTCGTCGTTTTCATCGCAAATATCTCAAATTGTAAGCTGCATCATGCTGGACCCTTGAGAGCATGATCATCACAAGATCATCAGAGACCATGGCAAAAACAGAATGAAGGCATCAGTCCAAATATGCCTAAAGGGTTGAAAAGATAAATGATAAATCTATCACGATCTATCACATATATTATGCAATTTGCTTTGTTCCTTGCTTTGCTTTGTGCCCAACATCCATGAAACCGCGAAGACCTTGAAGAACCTTGAAGAAGTACATCAGTGACTCCAGGGTCCAGAAAAATGAGTGGAGTATGAGTAAAGCATCATTGATGTTTCTTGTTCAGCATGCAAACTCACACCATGGGCAAAGAGAGCTGCACGATGTAGAGTTCCCCGTTGCCATGCCCAAGATCGATTCCGACTTCTATGCTGTGTTGGGTATCAGCAAGGACAAGCAAATGAGCTGAGATCATAGTGAGTCGGAGGAAATTGCGACCAACTGCTTATCTTCCCCGCAGGAATTACATGGAATTACACTGCCAACTTCGCTTTGCCTTCAAACTAACAGATACTATATAAAAGTGCCCATTGAATCACATTAAGAGCAGCACGGCTTCGTGCAGGACGCAAACTTCGACGACGTTCGAAAGGTCAATTGTCCTGCATGAAGAGCGCAGCTAAATCGAATTGCAAATTAATCCCAACCGGCTATCCTGATTTCTGTAGCTCCTGCATGCACGTACCAAAATATGCAGAAACATGTATATACAACATTATACAACACTTATACAACATATACTGTAATATCATATATATATAATTATATATAGAGAGTGTATCATTGTAATATATATACATATATATGGTTCTATATGTCAAAGTGTGTATGAATGTGTACGTGTCGGTAAAGGCAAGCAACTGCTTCATGCACTGTGCTCAAAATGCGGGGGGGGGCAGCCTCAACGGAATGAAATTGGATTTAGCTCATTTGATAGCTTTGCTATTTTGCCTGGCAGATCCTCTTTGAGAAGTTCGGGTTAATGTTGCATAATGTTGCCAGTGATGATGTCATTTTATACTTCATGTTTTCATGCAGTCAAAAAGATGGAGCCCAGGGATGTCCAGGGCCTCATGCCGGTGCGTGCGGAGTTGGGCAGCATCGCTTGAGGCATACTTAAAAGCAGCGCTGAAGTGGCACCCTGACAAGAATCCGGACAGCAAGGATTTTGCTGACTTTCAGTTGCACTATCAGTGGTTGGCTGGAAGCGTGCCTGGTGGCTTTGAACAACTTCTAGACTGAATCAGACTGAAGGTATTTTTTTCCGTTGGAAGAGCAGAAAAGTACATGATTTTCCAACAGTGGCAAAGCAGCACATCCTTCTGCTCCCCCTTGCTTCCAAGTCTACAGAAGATAGATTTGCTGCAAAGAACGGAGCGAGCTTCAGTCCCTAGCCAATTCCCATCAATGCCCCTTTAGGATCCTTTAGGCCTTTCGTGTTTGCAATGATTGTCTTGTACCACACATGCCAGACTGAGGAGAGTATGTTCAAACGCGTGGCCCAAGCCTACAAGGTCTTTGGAATCCGCCGGGTAGCTTTCCTGATGTCCACATGTGGTATCGACAGAAACTGAAGGTCAGGCAGGTCAGCCGCCATAACTGCAGTGCTGACACCTGTCAGGTGTTGGGCGATTCCCTACTGCGCAGCCAGTATGATGTTTCTGGCGAAGACGGTTTGGCAAAGGATTGGTGGCCAGATGATCCAGACGCAAGCAACCCGAAGCAAAATGTAAGTGGGCGATGTAGCCGATGTCGCCGATTGCTTGCTTGATTACTTGGTTTGGTGATGCAGTCTGTTGACAGACGCTGGAATTGCACGCTAAGTTCCAATTCACGCTAAACATCTGGAAATTCCTTGAAAGTGATGTGAGAAGTGCGCTTTAAAGACGAGACAAGTAAGGCAAAGATATGGCTTACCTTTTCTTCATCCATCGTGTCCCGGGACGTTCAGTCAGAGAAGGCTTCAGTGAGGCCCACTCTGCCCCATTTCTCCATTTGGTCCATCTAGCTTGTGAAGATGTTTGCAACAAGACGGTCTGATGAACAAATTCCGATGTGTGTCGGGTTTCTCCGCTTTGCCGTGCGTTCCTCCGGGATCTCGAAACGCAAATGTGCTGACACCTGTACATGTCAGCTAGTTGGAGTTCTGCGGAAATTCCATTCACATCCTTTCTCCTCTCGCAGGCGAAATTGCGGGAGATTTTCCCACACCTCTTTGGCCGCGACGTGGCAGCATAACGGTTGCCATGTCAGGCAATGCCTATAGACGTCATGACAGCCTGAAATCTTTCATTATGACATGTCTGATCAGACTCGGCCCAATATCGATAGCTTAAGAATGTTTAAGAGCAACTGGAGAATCTTCCTTTGACCGCAAAAACTGAGGACCAGATGCTGTCAGGGATGAATCTGGACAATCAAAGCGGAGGAGTTCCTTGTGATGTCTTTGGTGTGTCGTGAGCTTTTCAAGCTGCGGTGCTTTCCCTTAGGCATTCTGTTCCGAGTCCCCCAAATTCCCAACAGTCTGGCAGCTCAGCGCTTCAAAGGCGCTGCTAGGATGTACCAACGAGTACAACCCAGGGTTTTGCCGCCATCACCATCGGCAATAGAAATGTGCTTCGGACTTGCTTGCGGCTCATGCTGCATGACATCCCAACCTTTGTGAAAAAGAAGCAGACCAAAGAAATCCAAAGAATGTGAAGACCACTCACTTGCTCAACCATGACAATTGCATTGATGCTGCATTTTGCAGTGGAAGTGTTGCCAGAATCATATTAATTATATATTGATCAAAGACATTGTACATGTTTGCCCAACGTGCTTTGGAAACGATGCAGCTCTGCATTCATTTTAGTAGGATCAAGCTCTTGGGCACATGCAGCAACTAAAATGTTGCTTAGGGTGTGGGTTTCTTGTCTTTACATGTCAGTTGTGGAGGGTCATAATCTCACGACTACTTCGGTGACCACTACGAGCACGCTCAGGACCGAAGAAGCCTAAAGATGAATGTCACATTGTTGTATCATGTGTGATGTGCATTTGTTCCAGGAATGATGTTGTGAGCGTGTTTTCTTGATGCCCATCCTAAATCTTCAACTTTCATTTCCAAATCAAAATCCAAAAATGATGGGTTCTAGTGGCATCACGGTATCACCGCGGGGATCCGCGGGGCTAGTGGCTTCAGGACCACAACTTTTACGACAACCGGAGCTCTGGATGAAGTGGATGAGCCAGATGCATCCACAAGCAGGACCGCAGGGATGCCCACTGTCCTGATAAATCTTGCCATGTCCAGCAATATCCAACAATTGGATGCAGTTTGTGCAAATACATGGCAGATCATGGCAGTATGTGGCTATGTGGCAGGTTGGTTACGTTATCTAGGAATTGGATATGTATTTTACTGGAGCTGCTGGTGGTGATGACCCTGATTTTCTGAAGCAAGAGCTGGTGCTGCAGGGTGCAGAGACTAAAGGGTGCCAGTAGTCATTCTGCGGACTATCATGTGCTGATGCCAGTTATGCTGGCGCTGGTGCCAACAAGTCCTGAATGTGGTCATTGAGGTGGTTGAAATTTGAAATAGTTGCGGAGAATCGACAAGAAAAGTCGGAGAAGTGCAACAGGACCACAATGGAGCACATGAAAAATAATGAAAGGTATACAGGGTGTGGTTATGTTTGGTTGATTTCTTCCACGCGCCAGTAGAATTTGTGCATTTAGATGGATTTGGTGTGTAGACGCACAGGATGGAGCAGACCCTGACTACGTCAAAGCAAGAGAATGCGCCAACTTCCACGGAAGTAAGCGATGATTCGGACAATGCAGTGGATTTGAACAACTCCAATGATTCCAATGTCTCTGACTCCAACAGCTCCGATGACTCCAGTGTAAATGAGCATCTTGGCTGCAATTAGAAGCGAGACAATTTGGAGTTCAACCAGGGGCACATGCCCAATCATGCTAAGCCATCCGAGCTCTATGACGGAAAACGATGGAAAACTGCGCAAGCTTGGGAGACATGGACCTTATTGCATTTTATTGCATTCTGCGTGTGAGGTCAGACACGATGTCCAACACAACTACAGCAGGTTCAGCACAGATCTCTGGCAGCCGCAGCTGGGGGCATATCGCGTTAATTCAATGGATTGTGGCCTCACCAATGTTTCACCTGCTTTGATACCAGAATTTATCTTTCCACTCACTATCAGTGTGCAATTGTGCATGTGGTTCGGCCATCGAATTCGAAAGGAATCCGCTTTCATTCTCTGGATTTGCATGCTTTGCCTCCTGAAATTCATAATGCTTTAGCTTTCCTTCGCTGAACTCACTGAGACAGTGGTTGACCAGAAAAAAATATTCGAGAACGAAGAATGTTTAAAAAAACGGCAGAAACATTTGTTATAAAAAATATATGATGCAAAAATGAACAAGAAATGAAAAAAAACAAAAATATAGGGTAAATAATTCATAAAGATAGTAATTCTTAAACCCATGTGCTAACGGTTGTGTCGGGCTCGGTCCGTGGTGATGCTCAGCAGGGCAGGGGCGCGTCTCTGTCCATGCCCGTCGCAAGCGGGAGAAACAGCAGTGGAGACGCAAGAGGTGCGCACCGTTCTCAAGACAGGCAAGACCAGAGGCATATGGCATATGGAAAGTACATTGAATTGCTACGTTATTAGATTACAGCCCGAGAGTTGGTTAAGAATCCGAAAGCTTGAGGCCCAGGGTCCCTCAAATTTTTATTTTTCAATGCAGGCAAATTTCCACCCCAATAGGTCGAGGGTCCCTCGAATTTTTAGAGCATTCTTAGTTGTGTATCTGCGCAATTTAGAGCGAGGTCAAAGAGGGAACGAGGTGGAGTTAGCAGATTTAACAAGGTGCATGCGAAAAAGCAAATTTTCATAGCCTGAAAAATTGTATTTTTGCAAAGCCGGGCTTGTCTCATGGGTTGGCCCGAGGACAGAGAAAGAACAGTTGCAACATTTCATTTCTGAGTCTCACAAGGGCAGTGCCAAAAATAATAATTTTGCGGATCGTGAAAAAAAACACGCAACCACAACCCAGGCCAAACCCCAGCCCCGAACCTCGCGGTTGCTGTTTTGCGCGACCATTGGGATCTGCCCGTAAGTGATGTTCTTATTTCCAAATATTGATTTTGAGTGGACTGGAAGCAGTGCAAGCATTGCGAAAAATATAATTTTTCAGAGCCCGAAAATGTGTTTTTTTCCAAAGCCGATTTGAATTCAAATTTGACCAAGAAGGCCTTAATTTGGAATTGACCTTTATTTGTTTGATTCTAATTTGGGCCCAGTTGCGCTCCAATATGGTGTAATTTGGCCCTAAATTAGATCTGTTTGGGAATAATTTCGGCACAAATTGAGGTTTATATAAGTTTGAAATAGGGAATATAGCCGGCCCAATCCGAACTATTCAATAATCCCTGCTATTGATATATGTCATATTTTTTAATATCGATAATTATTCTCTATAGGAAATTCGATGCCTTCATATGCTTTGCTGCGTTTAGTTGAGGGAAAAGAATTGTGGAAGTCGATACGCGCGGCGTCTAGTTAGAATGTTGAAAAAAAATAAAAATAATTATGTTTTTTTACCATGCCCATTGATATTTCCCTTATATTTTGGCAGGGGCCGACCCTATTATATCCTGTTATAAAATATTATAAATTATAGTTGTATATATATATATTTTAATAGTTAGAAGAAATCTTATAGCCGTAATATTTGTAATAAGATATTTATAATAGAAAATTATACAGCCCGAGCGTTGGCGAAAAAAATATTTTTTAGAATCTTAAATATTGTTTTTTTATAAAGCCGAATTTATCTGAATTTTAGAAAAATAGTGTGGGAAAAAAATAAAACCTGATTTTTTTTTGTAAAGCCGGACTAGTTTGAATTTTAAATAATAGTATGGAAAAAAATAATTTTTTAGAACCTGAAAAATTATTTTTCTTTATTTATAACCCATGTTAAATTTAGCCCTTTGTAACCAGAGGAAAAAGAGTCGAGATAGTAGACCTTCTGTTTCTCTGGTGATCTGTATTTACCCTTGCTATAACTGCAGCAGTAATTGCGCAAAGATTTGTTCTGCTCCGCCCCTGTTGCTCCATTTGGGCTTCCATTTGGATTTCCTGGCCCATTCATTGATAATGGGAAAATATTCCCGATATCTTATTTAATAATGATTTTGGATAATTCCTCAGAAATTGTCCAGTATTGGTAAATAACCTTTGCAGATATTTCATATTGAGAATGCCTTGCACCAATCTTATCCAATTCCGGTCTAAGGCGCTAGGCTGTGCTGAATCAGCACTTACCTACCCTTGATCCAGATAATTCACCCAAAAGTCGGATTCCCCAGAATCAGAGCCCAAGGGCTCCGCTACCATGCAAAAATAAAGTAGCAGTGAATAAGGACCTCTTCACAGCGGGTAGCTCATTCTTTCTCTATTGGGCTCAAAATCGTTCAATCTGATTTCACAATCAAATTAAAAAAGGGACTACGACATACATACATATATTATGCATGCCACAGCACAAACAAACATGACTATATTAAGCGCTATATCTCTACAATATTATATATAAATATAATTGCTTTTTATTTTTTATTCGTAAAAATAAATTTTAAAATATATATGGATTCCCGTCCCCGGGGGTTAAGATGCTAACGTTGTTGATTGTCCCTCTAGTGTTCAGGTTCAAGTTGATGGGTAGTTGCCCGCATTGTCACGTGTTCTCCGGTGCCCCACGTGCTCTGCTTGCAAGACCTTCTTCCGGATTGGCGCTTTGCTTCAAGGCGGTGGGCTTTGCGTCTACCAGGAAGGGTCTGTGGTAACAGCCCTTCGGAACTGCGCTGGGGCCTTATCGGACCTGACTGAGGTGGGCGTGTCAGGACCCTTTGGAGGACACGTGGACAAGCCGGGAGTGAAGGTAGAGAAGGAAGTCGGGGCAAGTCCCTTAGAGGAGGAGAAGCCGAAGGAGGAGAAAGCACCCGTGGTTAAAAAAGCCGTTGAGGAGGAAAAGCCTGACGTCGAGAAGGAGCCATCGAAAGTAAAAGCCGTTACAAAGGAGAAGAGAAAAGCCAAGAAGAGAGACAACAAAGCCAAAGCTAGGCAGGCAAGTCAGTCACCCAAGAAGGAAAGCCAAAGTCAAAAAAAGGAGGACAGGCCTGATCGGGGAGAAGCCCTGAGATCATCTGGCAGCAAGAGGCCAGCCGAGGATCGAGAGAGGTCAAGGACGCCCAAGAGAAGCCGAGAAACAAGGGAGGAAACAAGGAAGAAAGACCGTCGAGAAGGTAAGAAACGCGAGGAGGACATAGACAGGGAAGTTCGTCGAGACCCCGCCAGGTTCGGGTTGGAACACGTCCCCATCCGAGGAAGTGCAGGGAGGAGCCAACAAGGAGGTGTTATCCCAGCCGGTGCACGGCGCCCAGCTGAACCTCTTGGGCCCCCACCGGAACGATACGAGGGAAGCCAGCGAGGAAATTACGACAGAATCTACAGAGATCGCCAGACGGGGCAGAAGCCCCCTAGGTGGAAAGGGTACAGCCACTACACCCAAGGGGTGGAGTACTGGAGAGGAAAGAAAAGGGGCCGGTAAGGATGCCGCCCAAAGGAGTTGCCAAGGCCAAGCCAAAGGTGAGGCCAAAGGCGAAAGCAGGAGGAGTAGCCAAAGCAAAAGCAAAAGGAAAAGCAAGAGCGAGGGCCCGGGGAGCTTTAGCCCTGAGACGGCCCGCCATCCAGTCAGGGCACACGAGATCAGCCTGGACTGGCTAAGGACGGAGAAAGGGCTGGTCGTGGAGGAAGCCAAATACTCCCACAAAGACTGCAAGTTGGCTGGACAGGTGGTAGGGACCACGATCACCGATGGCAGGGTCGAGCTGAGGATGCAACCCACCGGCACGACAGACGAAGGGCTGTTGAAGCTTCAGAGTGGACAGCCCAACTTGGAGTTGCGATTGGTGATGTGCCCGAGCGATTGCAACCACGAGGAAACAGCGGAGGATCTGGTCCACGCCTTGAGGTTGAGGAAGAGGAGGCCTCCCGAACGAGAGGAAGCGTGGATCAACAACTTGGAGAAGGTTGCTCCGAGGGAAGATGGCGACGAGCTGGCGAGGCTCCGAGCTCATATGGGGATGGATGCAACCCATGGGCAGCCTCCAGCACCGCCAGACAAGGATCAGGAGGTGAAGAAGAAGACAAAGAAGGAGAAAGACAAAAGAGAAAGAAAGAAGAAGTCCAAGGAGAAATCCAGAAGGAGGAGTATAAGCAGTTCAGAGGCTGCTTCGGGGAAAGTAGCCCTGGACGGCAGCAGGCCCCGGTTGGCGGCGGAAAAGACGCCAGGGGCTCTCTACAAAGGTACGGGGCTGGATCCCTTGGAGAAGATCAGAAACAGAGTGGCGAAGATGGCACGCCGCTATGTGAAAAAGAAAGGACGGAAATCGACCAGCAGTTCCGCGTCATCCAGCAGCAGCTTAAAAGGAGGCCGCTCAGGAGAAGAGGGAGACACGATCTTCACTCAGGCCGCCAGAGTGCGGGGGATTGCCGAGGCGTACCCAGGGGTACTGGCAAATCAAGCCCTGGGACAAATGCGGTCAAACCTCCTTCAAAGCTGGGGAGAAGAAGAGAGGACAGCGGGAGTGCCCGCCATCGCCGTCCAGTACTTCCGACAGGTGCTCCAGAAGAAAGCTACGGGTGCAGTAGCCAGGGAGCTGTTGACCCTGTGCGCAACGGCCGATCTCTTGATCAAGGCCAAGCCGTCACAGGCGCTCGACCTTGTGTTGCAGCGCTTGAAGAGCGCGGAAGCAAAAGAGCGCGGAAGCAACGTTGGGCGGCAGTCACTGGTCGGTGTCACAAAAGTTAGAACTGCTACCGCCGGAACAGAGCAGTCTGACGGATGCGGCAGAAATGAAAGAGGCTCAGAAGGTGGCGATGGAAGAGTCAAAGACGCGCTGGATGGCCTCGCAACCGGACGGCAGGGTGCAGTCGTCTCAGAAGGGAGGAGGAAAAGGAAAACCAGGTGGCAAGGACGACTATCGACGTGGAGGAAATGGTCCGAAAGGAGGAAAGCCCAAGGGCGATGGAAAGAAGAAGGAGGAGACAGCGGCAAAAGGAGGCTGAAGGGTGCAGGATTGAGGAGTGAGGCAAAAGCGGGGAAAGACATCCCTGCAGAGTGTAATGAAACGGGGACTGTGAGCCCTGGTGCAGCCGGAAGAGGGGGCGATCGAACTGAGGTCCCGTCATATGAGAGAGGGATGGAAATGGCCTCTTAGGCGGAGAAAAAGCTGAAGCCCTCGTGTCGGAGCCAGACGGCTGAAAAAGTTTCCTATGAGGCTCCTTCGCAATCAGTGCATGCGGCAGCCCCGCCCTTTGAAGACGCTCTGGAGTTAAAGGACCCTAGTGGCGGCCTAGTCGAACCGGGTGACTACTCGGGATCAGACCGCCGTGGGGCAGGAAAAGAATTAGAGCAGCGAGTTTTTGAAGGGCTTCCGTTGGGATGGTGTGGAGTTGGATTGTTTAGTAAACTCCTAGAAGTATTACTACTTCGTAGCCAGGACACGGGAAAAGGAAAGAAAGGTGAGTTGTTTCCTTTGCCCACTTCTAGGGTGCTCTACTCGATTTTGATCCTAACTTGCTCGAATTTGAGGTTTTTTGGTACTTGTCAGTTTGTTTTAGTTTGAACTCGTTGTGGGGTGGTCCTTTGTACAATGAGAGTTTGGTAAATGAGATACAGCAGGGCTGCCTGCACGAGATATTGAAGGATGTGAAACGCTTTGTGGCGATTCGAGATGTTGTACCTTCGGTGAATTGGGTTGATTTCTTTTCAGTCAAGTCTATAGACTACAAGGGGGACGAGGTTAAAATAGCTCAGTGGTTTTCCTGGTGTAATGTGGAGCCAGCGCTGCCCACAGAGGTGGGGAATGTGCCTCCTCACGATGTTTGTACTCGTGGGGCCCGTGACTACGTCCTTAATTTTGACCATTACCTCAAGCCCTCTTCTGAATGGAAAATTGCACGACCTCCGAAGGTCATGGTGAAAGACGAAGACTGGCCGGCCGTGTGCCATGGGCTCGTTACCTCCGGGGTATGTGTATACATCCCTGAGGAGGAAGTCTTTCACACTGACTCGGGGCCATTGCTAAATGGAATGTTCGGGGTTCGCAAAAATGAAGTCTCCGACCAGGGACACCAAATCTTTCGATTAATTATGAATTTAATTCCGTTGAATGGCTTGTACAAATCCCTTTCTGGTGACGTAGATACGCTCCCGGCATGGAGCAGCATGAACCCGTTCTTTTTACAGCCGTGTGAGCAACTCCTTATCACTAGCGAGGATGTGAAATGCTTCTTCTACACGATGTCGGTGCCCCACTGCTGGACCAAGTTCCTTGCTTTCAACAAGGAAGTACCTGATGTGGTGCTCCCGGCCGAGTGGAAAGGTAGAAGGATGTACTTGGCCAGCCGAGTTTTGCCCATGGGATTTCTAAACTTCGTGAGCCTGGCTCAGCATGTTCACAGGAATTTGGTGAAGTGGAGTGGGTCGCTTGAGGCCAACGTCGAGGCCGGGGTAAATGCCCCTGAAGCTGAATTAAGGAAGGATCGGGAGTTTAGCAGCCATGCAATGAATTGGTGCGTCTACTTAGACAACTATGATTTCTTGGAAAAAGTGAAGTGTACAGAGGTGGATAGCTTGCGGGGCAGCGGTGCTCCCGGGGTTTTGGCCCTGAGAAACGAATATGTGCGATGGGGAGTGCCACGCAATCTCAAAAAGACTGTGGAAAGATCCTCTCACTGTGAACTTCAAGGAGCTACGGTGGATGGAGAACTTGGTGTAGCCTTTCCGCGGGAAAACAAGTTGGTAAAGTATTTTTCCATGGCTCTGGACCTTTGTCAACAAGAATACATTACGCAAAAACAGTGGCAGGTCGTCTGTGGGGGTCTGGTGTATGTTAGCATGTTCCGCAGGCCGCTCCTAGGCTCACTGAACCAAGTCTGGCAGCACATCCTGGAGTATGACCGGAGGCAGAAGAGGTATCTGAAAGCTTCATTGGAATGCCGACTGGAGGTCTATCGTTTCTTGGGTATGTTCCCCCTCTTAAGACTGGATTTTAGGTTGGAAATTAACCCTATGGTCACCTGCAGTGACGCTTCTACGAACGGGGGAGGTTTGTGTGCAAGTGTTGCGCTGACTCCGTTGGGGAGTTTGGTCTCGGAGGGTTCACTGCGGGGCGATGTCCCTG